TCATTCACAGCCTTTCATTACCTCACTAAACCCCTAAAGTCTAAGAACTATTCATATCAATAATTTTCAAGAATGCGATTAATTGTTGGCATTGAAACTCAGGTCAGTGATGTCAAAGATTATTTGACTGCTGTTGGAATGTTGAAATACGAATTTGGTTACTATTCACCTTGGTCCGAGAAATTAGTTGTGTGTTTGGATGGGAAGTTTTTTCTGCCCCTCATTATACCAGAGACCTTGTTACACGATTATGAAATGGATACCAAATAGGATGGTTTATAATTTCGATGATTTGGATCCAAAAATCTTCGATATCCCGAATGAAAGCTAACTAATTTTCTTTCCCTACAAAACGCAAAATGAAAAAGGTGACAAATAGGAAGAAATTTCAATTCTTTAGAAATTAATTTTCGTTTGAACGTTTAAACGTTTGAACGAGATTAAACGTTTGAACTAGTTTGAACATGTTTATGTTGTTTATTTTTGTTTAAACATGTTTATTGTTTAAAGTTTAACCAAGTTTGAACGTTTACAGGACAAGCCTACACTGTTAGAAACTCGAATATCTTGTTGAACTATACTGACCTTCACGCGTGAAACAGCCCAACAGTTTGGCGCCTTAATCCGTTACAGTATTTAAAATTCCATGTTTGCAAAAAAATAACGAAAGCGCTCTTCCAAGTATATTGCCATGACGACCAAGTTGAATTATGAAAATTATTCTCATCAAACTGTTCGTGATGATTATGAAAAAGATAACGGGAAAGAAACAACGATAGACTCGGATCCTTACTCTGACTTGTTTCATGAATACGAGGAAGAGCCTTTAAGGTCGGAAGCCTTCAATACTTTCCGAAAGGAAAGAAGCAATCCTTTTCAGGCGTTCCTAGAACAGAGAGAGAAGAAATTACAACAATCTAAATTAACAACCAATTCACAGCTCTATCCCAGATCAAAGCCGAGCGACTCATCAAAAAACAACGCTGTGGATGATCATCATTACTTTAAATCTTTAACTCAACACAAGCCATCCAAAGGACTGGATGACTCCTTCATTGCAGAATCGGAAAGCTTTTTGGAGGAGATGAACAATTTACAAAAGATGACACTCGATGTTAAGACTGTAGACAAGAGAAAGTCAACAGTTTCTAAACTTAACGACGATCTTCGAAGAAAAACAACGCAAAAAGTTTCCCATTCGGAAGAACCAGCTGCTGGCAACTTTCTTCAACAACATGCAACTAATACGGAGTTTTCATCATCAACATTTCAAATGTTCAACTTTTCCAACCAAGAGGAGCCTTATTATGAGACCTCGTTTAAAAAACAATTAGAAGCTCGAATACGAGCAAGAAACGACACACATCGATTAATGCGAAAAGGACAGAAAGAAGAGGAGTCTCAAACGAAGAACTATTTTAAGCCAGATGATCTTCGCAAAATAATTGCTGCTAGTGTCAAGAAACCGGAGAAAGAAGACAACACACCTAAGGCTTTTTGTCTTGCAGGGTTATTGGACGATGTAGGGGAAAAACAAGGAAATCCTCCTCAAAAGAGCAACCACTCGAATGGTTCAAACCGATTTTCAAAATCCATGCTGCAAGAGAAATCCAGTGTTTCTAAAAGTCTCGATCTATCAAAGTCAAGCAAGAACTCGTCCACAGATGGAAGCAGTGCTAGCAGGTCCTCTAGTGCTAAAAAAGTTCGTTTTAATCCGCAAGGAAAGTCACAAAACAATGAGAGAAGCAAGTCTTTATCGAAGAAAGAAGGACCAACAGAAAACTCATCTAAAAAGATTTCATCTTCCGTAACAAGTTCCAAACCCTCCACATCTAATGCAAAACAAACATCTCAACCACCTCAAAAGGGATCGCTGAGAGAACTCCTTGCCCAAAGGAAAGGTGTTTCCTTAGACCAATATACTTCAAAGCCACCACCTCCATCCACTACTATCGTAATACCACATCGATTCCTAAATCCAACAACTACTCTCAAGATATCCCAAGACCTCACACCTCTCTAGTTCCTTCAAAATCTGTACAACAACCACTCGAAACAATCACGATCAGCCTAAAGGACAGCATTAAAACACTTGAACAAGCATCAATGAAACACAACAACAAACCAATTCAAGACGAGACACTGTTACCTGAAAGCAACAACATGGAAAAGGTGTCAAAATCGAATACACAATTCAGTATTGGCTCATTCAACAATGAGGACGATGAGGATGACTTTTTTGAAGCTCGACGACTCATGCACAGAATATCCATGCTTCGTAACTTTATTGGAGGAAACTCTTCTAAAATAAACGAAAATTAAAAAACAATTCACTACTGAGGTTGTGTGGAATGTAAATGTTGATTTAAAAATGAAACGATTGTGTAAGATGGAAGCTGCCACACATCAAGAACAGAAGAAAACTAAATTTCACACCCTCTCGGAGACCACCAGTGTCAAACTTCAGTTGATTGACTCCATCCAATGTTCATCATCGATTCAACTTATTTCAACACTCAAGATTCGATTTATGAACACCGTGACAGCAATGAGAATTATTTTGCAAGAAACCGATCCATCATCACACATTCCCATATTCCCATTCTTGAAGCTTCCCGTCTTTCTCAATACAATGCAGATGATCAGCAAATTATTGCACACAATAACATGCTCGTTCGACAACCATGTCATCATATGTTGGATGACGAAGAATGTGTCCTCTTCCTAGCTCCCAAAAACATTCTGGGATTTTGGTTGGTGAAAGATTATACCATGGTCATCATTCATCTTGGGAATGAAATTACACTTCTCGATTTGAGAACGAATTTAGAAATATCAGCTCAAGGTCTTGATCGTTTCAATTCCTACCTTAACGATCTCTCTTCAAAAGAAGTAGATGTATATTTTGATAAAATCACTCAACAACTTGTGATAGCAACCATGGACAAAGAAGAAGAGCCACCACCATCCATCACATCTCTTCAACTACATCCTCCACGGATTCATTGCTGCTTTTCATTACAAATTCTAGAAAAGAATGCATTCCAAGACCTCTCAGTTCGGAAATATGCCAACAAATCGAATACCTCGGTGGGCAATTACCTGAACATATCTATACCGAGTTGCATTATGGACAACAAACCGTACTCTCGAGAGCCTTAATCTATTTCTTGAGCGTGAACTTTCCAAACACGTTGTGTTGGGAACCAAAAAAAAGTGATGACTACACTCTGTCCATTCATCCGCATCGTATTGGAGCGAGTCATTGGTGTGTGGAGTCTCAGAAGGCGTTTCTAAAGAGTGGATGTAGTAAGGGACGATTACTTCTCTCACGCCCAGAATTCTCTTATTATTTTGGATCGTCATGGTACTTTTATTCGGCACGAATCGATTCGGAATGTTGTGATTTTGAAATTGCTTGTGATTATGGAAGTGAAGATTCATTACAAGATGTGACTTGTCTTTCTGAATTTCTTTCTGAATTTCGTCCATATTATTTCATTAATACTGTGAGGAGTGGAATACGATCCGAATTGATTATGAGCTCATAGTTGAGGAATTGTTACAAGTTTCTGAATTGAAAAACCAGAAAAGAAATCCATTGGCGTATTCGGAACAATTGAGATTAAGCTATGAAACGTTATTGATCTTTGATTCTTCGACGACGCTAAGACTCTCCAAGAGGACAACATCTAGAAAGAAGCCAAACACCTCAGACGCTACTACCTTAACACTGGATGGGTGTAAAATCGCCTTACTTTTGAAAAGTACCTTCGGGCAACGAGTGAAAGTGAACAGATCGGTTTATGTTCTACATGAACTATTAGTGTTGTATTTGGTGTTGATAAAAAGCTGCACAGGAAATGCCATTCTGGTGGCATGAATTTAAAGTACTTTTCACAAAGGTGGTAAACTCGTACGCCTTTGTGAGATATGAATTGCAGAATGAATCGAAATTGGAATTCACACTTTATTCTGAGCTCAGAAGGAAAACTGCTCAAATGTCATCTATTCAAAAACTGGCTGTTTTTGACTGACTGGTGTTGGCTCAGTTTCGTCATCGACAGAACGTGTAACATCAGAAGTTTCATTACCTGAAACCATGAAGGTACGAGCGTTACGGAAAGTGCTTCCATCCTTAATAGAGAGCTTGTTGTGTTTGTATTGAACAACAACTCCTTCTCCAAAGTGTAAAATCCACTTGAAGCGATCACAAATATGAATTCTGTCTGCATGATTATTAGAATTCTTGTTCCAAACTTGCAAAACATCTTCCTTAGTTCTCAAACTCAAAACGCATCCAACAACATTTCCAGTTTCTTTTAGAGATGCAACATTTTGAGATGATTCAGTTTTTATACGCAGAACAACACGACAAACTTACCAAATTGTTCACAAATAGTTGAGAAGATGAGTTGTTCCCACAATCTGTCAATGAGTGTTGATGTTTGGCCATTGTCTCCTTTTCTAATTCTCACCATCCAACATCCACCTAATGAATTCATTAATGAGCAAAAGGAAGAGTAATTATTATGTGTACATACCTTGAGGAAATCTATTTCGTCATGTAATTGTTATTGAAATAGTAATTCGGGGCGTGAAATTCATTTGTGTCATTTGGCAAGAAACATGAGTCGAATTTTCATTCCGAAAATTGAATCACAACAACAATATCAAATACTATTACTAAATCATGATTAAATAATACTATACATACGATTCCCACATTGGAACAACTTCATGTCTAAATAATGAAATGTTACTATTCTTTGGCAATTTACTTGGCTTTTGAAGATAGGCGTAAACTTTGCTGAATTCAGCAATTGTTGAAACGGTAGCCAACTTGTTCAAACAATCACGGTAATGAGTTCCGTTATCTTGTTGTTGTTGCTGGTCTTGCGGATGACCTTCTTTGTCTACTTTTGTGTTGGCATACCAAAAGGTCCATTTGGTTTCCAATGGAAAGCCTTTTGCTTTTAATTGTTCATCGTTATCATAGGTTTGAGATTTTGGTTTCTTCTCATAGGTTGCTCCCGAGCTTGTGTTGTTGCTGGTGGAGGCTGATGATGATGAAACTGTGATTTGTGGTTGAGCGACAGCTGTTGAGGACATTTTTTGTGTTAATGCTTGGTATGGAAATGGGATGCTGAAAGGAATCTCATTGTTGATGGAAAGTCCTTCAGTTCCAACCAATTGTACTCACACCTAATACTCACTCTGTATTGCAGAATGTGGAAGGTGTTTTAGTGTTCAGCAAATGGGAGAAGCAGAGATTGAATTTTGGAATTTTCAGTGGCTCTGAGACAATTGAACAGTGCCATACGTACGCTATGAGGTTCTCGTTGCTGAGGCAGCTGATGAAAATTCGAGAGATGCTTGTTCATGTGAATGAAAATATTCTTGATGAGAGAATGGTGCTCAATTTTGAATACAGAGTGCTTGATGATACAGTCCATGTTGTTACCTTCTTCACAAAGTGTGAATAAATTCAATAATTCCTTCTCCAATTGTTGCATCCAGTTGAATTGTTTCCTCAGATAAGCACAAAGTGTTTGGATGGTATTTCCACTCAAAGATGATGAATCTAGTTTCTGATGCGAACAATTGAGAAGCATCAAGGATAAATCCTTCTCGAGATCTCCGTCGAGCCACTTGATGTAATTGAAACAAGTTTCTTGAATGATGGATTTTGGAAGTTGTGTATCATTCTTAAATACACAATTGGAATATTCCAGAATGAACTTTGAAAGAGAGAGACGGTAGTGATAGAGAGGTGCTTTGATTTGGAAAATGGTAACTGCTTCTGGTGTATCCAAATTCTTTTGCATGACCTCAATCAGCTCAATATCTGGTAATAAATTGCCTTCAAGGAGAGTGTGAATTGTGTCTTGCAAATACAACATGACTTGGTGTGAATTGATAGGTGAAATCAATGGAATGGATTGTAAAGTATAACAGTTAGTAAAATATGGAAGGCGTTGCCGACAATGTTGTGTGACATGTAGATAGTGTTGTAGATCAGTCCAATCGGTAACATAGGCTTGCGTAAATGTGTCATCCTTATACAGGCATGTGTAGCCAACAAGGATTGGGCTACCCGTTGATTGCTCGTCCTCATCAATAATTAAAGTAAAGCATTGAATTTGTTCAAACATCTCGGTATGTTCCCCACACTCGCTTAATAAGTTCTTATAACAATCAATATCAAGTAAGCAAAGATCTCTACAGGAAATAGCGCTCCACCTCTTCATGTCAGAATTCCAACAAATTAATTTCCTATGATATCTTTTCCCATACTTGACAAATAACTGGGTTTCCGTGTTGTTCACAATGCACCTTTTTGGTTTTTTTGATGATAACGCCCATGTGAGTGAAAAGCATGGCAGTATTGGAATTCCAATGAAGGTTAAATTCTTTTTTTCGTTTATCATAACACACAATCCGCTCATGCAACATTGAACCATTGGGTATGTATCTGAAGGGCTTTCATCACTTGCCTGCAAAATATACATGTTATTTCCTAGTGATTTGTTGTTAATGGAAAAGATGGAATGAAAACTATCAAGAGTTCCAAAATGCTCATAGAATTTTCTAATTTCTGAAAGGTAATATCGACAATTATACTCTCTCGTTTGTTGAGTATTTTCAATCTTTGTAACATTAGGTGCTTTGGGATATAGCAAGCAATATTCAGAATTTGTTGTAAAATTTTTCATCGCTTCTGTGTACACGTTGTGGTATTCCTTCATGATGGCGTTATAAAGCTCCCTGTTGTCAGTGTACTTTTCTGATAAGTGTAATAAATGCATATAAATGGAATTTCCAAATGCAGAGAATCACAGACAGTGCCATATTTCAATAAATCTTGAGCCCATCCTAAAAATCTAAAACAATACGTGATCAGTTTGATTCCCTTTTGTACTGCATTTTCTTTCACAATTTTGTTGAAAGCTTTTTGCCAAGCACGATTTACATCACTCAAGACCGAAGCAACTAATTTGTGTTTTCTAAAATACTTTTTGTAATACCAAGCTGAAATACTCTCATTGAGCGATGACTCACCATGCATGGGTAATGTTTCCTTGATCCTCACTAGTTCGCTCTCGTTATGAACACAAAAAAGAATAAATATTGCATGTTCCTCGATCATCCTTTCGAATACGGTCTGAGAATAAATTGAAATATTGTACTCGCAATCACCTCTGATTTCACTTGTCAAAAGTTTCTCAAATTGTTTGCAATCATTAATTGTAAATAATTCCAACATGAACCTAGATTTAGGATTTAATTTCAAATTTTCAAAATACTGATCCGATACTATCACCAAACAATCAATGTCGGACGAATCTTTATCAAATGCTCTATTGAAATAAACTCGTGATCCGAATAAATAAACATGAAGCACAGGAATGGCAACGACGTCTTCAATGACGGTCAAAATCATTAAGCGACGAATAAAGTCCATTTTTTTGTTTACAATTTCCACAAAACAAAAATGAAACGCAAGAACCCAAGATCGTTTGTGCAACAAATGAGCAGTGAATACATTCAACCGAGTAAATACTTGATTTGTGAGAATGAAGATGACCATGAAACCGCTTCGAATATTGGCACAAGCAGACAATCTAAAATCCAAACGAGACTCGTTTCCGATCATGAAGAACACCATCTCGTGTCAGAGTCAGATCAACACCCAATTTCCTCTCCGAACAACAATCAATTTTTCGAAATTGGAACGGATTGTTTGGAATTAATTTTTTCATATTTGACCTATCAAGATATGGCTTCCATTCTTTTCATTTCACATCAATGGTGCAACATCATCGTTCCACTCTTTTATGAGGAAACGTTTCATGTGTTACAAAACAATGAGCATTTAATTGAGCTAAAAAAAGAAGGTAGGGACTATGATGAAGATGGGTATGATGGACTCTTCACGGAAAGTGCAACTTGGAAGCCGACGCTTTGTTACGACACAGACGACAATCTAGATGCAGCTCGAGAAGAACTAATTCAATATAGTGACTCTGAAGATGATGAAGAGATTGATGATGACAAGAGTCACATTCTGTCAAACTCACCTCAGGAAACCACTGGAAGTTCTGCTTGCACCACAAATAATGAAATCAAAGATAGTGGTAATGATGTTACTAGCTCTCCAAAGATTTCAAACCTACAACACACGAATTTCGATAAGAGACTGCCCTTTGGAACCCCGCTTTGTAAAAACACCATCCAGGATCAATTTTATCTTGTTCAAGACGCACTTTCTAAAGATGAATATGTAGAGCTCATTGAACAGTATTTGAAGATTAATATGAAAGATACCATGAATCATCAAGATGGTCACGAACAATTGTCTCCCCTATACATCAATCCATTTCTTTTTTATGATCAAATTCAACATGAGCAAGCGCAAATTAAGCCTTACATGTGGGAAGTAGCGAAGGCTGTTCGACGAGATGGCCGTGGTCCCATTGTTGTTGGCAATTTCAGTGGACATACCATCTACAGTGACGATGAATATTACGAACATTATCAAGCATCAGGTAAGTCCCAAGTTGTAAATTCATGGTTACTATTGAAAATTTGCGTGCTTATTGCAACTGCATTTTCTGTAAAATTTTCATTTCATTTTGTAAATTTTTACCTTCACACCAAAGACTGGGGTTTTGTGTTTTATGCATTGAGAGGAGGTATTACTCGCTTAATGAAAAGAGCTGGTGTAAAATATTTTGAACCTCAAATGGTTGAAGATTCTTGTATATTCTCAAACATTTCATTAGGAAAGTTTTAAAAGTAGCCTATGAAACAAAATTTAAGCATCGTCTAAATGATTGCAAATCACTGTCTCAAACAGTGACGAAGGTGAAACAATAGATTCAGATACATCCTCTCCATCACCCACAATTCATAGAAAGTGATAGTCAATATCATGAAAGATGGTATCCGGATCCTGAATATAAAGGACCGTATTGCAATGATGAGCTAGACAGTGATTTGAAACTAAATCATTACGACATTGCCAATGCAGTTGAAAAAGTATGGAACGGACGTAAATTATTCTTTGGCCAGAATATGATCCTTATAATTTGAGAAGCTACGATGAACTTAGCTTCGAATCATTGGATTTAATCAAAAAAAGAGGTGACGACGAACAATTTCAGGAACACAATACAGAGGACAATACTCAACAAGAGGCAAACAAGGAAGAAGAGAACGGCGATAATATTAATCAAGATGATGATGACGAAGACCTTGATGATGAAGAGGATTGGGATTTTACTGATGACGAATCTGAAGATGAGAATATAGAAAATACAAACTACATTGATAACTGCATGACTGACCTGACAAATCTTCAACACAAGAATTCACATGATTTTATTGATGATTCAGAATTGATCAAGGATGAAAACATCGACGCAAATATGAATGACAATGAAAGAGTCGATTCTTTGCAAGATCGTCTTATTAAGGTCTCCATGCAAGTCCACGAGGAAGTTTACGGTCATGAAAAAACACATTCTGAAAAATTATATTTGAAAAATTGGTATGGAAATGGAAATTTATTTTTCGCACATGCTGCAAAACATTTAGGAGATGACAATCCTGAAATCTTGATGAGTGGCCAGGAAGAAGAAATAGTACGAGTGAGAACGACATTATTGATAAGGCTCGAAAGGAAGATCTGGCATATTTCGGATATTCATTATACGAGGATGACGAAGATGAATTACCAATATTTTCGTATGATGATGAAATGAATCAGGATGACGATAAAACAGCAGAAGATAATCAACACAATCCAACAAACACCAGCAATTCTCAAGGAATGGTTAATATGGAAGAAAATGTTGCAAATGAACGTCAAGCAGATGAAGAGACAAGCAAAGAATATCATTTGAGCGCTTATTACGAGAACGATCTTTTAGGTGTATTGAAGCGTACTTTGCAGAGCAATGAAAACTGAAATCAGAATATTCTTCAATCTATTCGAATTCGTTCAATTCCACAAATTAAAAGAAGTCTATATATATCTGGTGTTCCTTCGAGCAGTCGAACATTTAAAAATCAAATCAAAAAAAATATTTTTTCTTCTTCATCAGCACACACCAGTTATTTAAATGGCCCCAAAAAGAAAGAGAACCATTGCAGACGAAGAAGAAGAATTCCAACCAGAAGATGAGGTTCAAGTCATCGGAAGTGATGATGACGACGATGATGAATTTATGGAAAATGTCGTTGATGATGATGACGATGACGATATTGAATTCAAGGAAAAAGCATCAAAAAAGAAAAAGAAAGATGAAGACGAAGAAGAGGAAGATGGCGGAAAAAAGAAAAAGAAGTCATCAAGCAAAAAATCATCGTCCACAAAGGAAAAGAAGGAAACCAAGAAAAAGTCTTCTTCTTCCTCCGATAAAGATTCCAAGAAAAAGTCATCAGGTGGTAAAAAGGGAAGCACATCATCGGGGCCAAAGAAAAAAGATCTTACGATCAAGGATGAAAGCGAAGCAAGAAAGGTTGTTTTAGAACTCTTCAAGAAGGCAAATCGTCCATTTAACTTACAGAACGTTATTGATCAATCGAAAGGCCAATTGAAAAAGCCATGGCCACTAAATGTGTGGACAAGTTAGAAAGCAAAGGAGAATTGACTGTAAAAGCTAGCGGAAAAACAAAAATCTGGTGGATTAATCAAGATAATTTAGAAGTATTGAGCAAGGAAGAACTGAAAGAAATTGATAATGAAATCAAAGAATTGCAACAAGAAATTGCAGGCGTGAGATCTGACATTACTCAACGCAGCAACACTAAAGCAAAACTCTTAAAGGCTCCAAAAACTGAAGAGCTTCCTAACATTATTTTGAAAGAGCGTGCTGAGCTAGAGCAAAAGAAGAAAAAGCTAGAGTCATTACAATCTGGTTCGACCAAATTGTGTACCATTGAAGAGAAAAAAGAAGCTTTAAAGCATCTAGAGAAATACTTGAAGGAATGGAAATCTAGGAAGAGATTGACCATGAGCATTGTTGATTCTATTTGTGAACATGCTGAAAAGACTCGACCTGCCTGATTGAAGAATCTGGTATTGACACGGATGAAATGGTTGGACAAAATGTTGATGAAATTGGAAAATTGCAATAATTGCAGTGAGCTTCTCCCAACACAAATTTTGTAAATTAATATAGCCCTTAAGAAAAATGATTAAAATCCAGAAAGAAAAAAATGTTTGAATCAAATCAAGTTCAGCTATCGTCATTGTCAAACAATTCTCAAGCTTGCAAAATCATCGTTATAAGTGGCAGACCAGCTACGGGAAAGGTTGGTTGAATGAAACTCGGAGCGACAACCCACCAAAGTATGACATTCAAATTTAATTTTATAATTTAAATCATTTGATATGTTAAATTGATTCAACAAATCATTCTCAAGACAACCATTTGCAATGCACTGATACCTCTTTTAAAAATTAAATTTCCCTCTCACAATATCATATTCCTTGACACCAATACACTTCTTTCCATGAGTGAATACATTCCTTCACAACACATTGAAACCATTCAAAAATTGAAAAATAGCGGAAAATTGAAATATCATTTAGATCCTGAAATAATGAGCACAATTTTGAATTCCTACTTTTCAAAGCACAATGCACCACAAAATATCATCTTATTTTACAGAGGACCTCAATCTATTCATGTCTGCAAGCATTTACATTTTATACCAAATTTGTACATTTATTTAGATGCTTCCATTGAAGATTTAGTTCACAGAGTTTGTTTAAGGAGAGTTGATTTAATTTCTGGAAAAACCTTTCACCTCGAAGCAGATGCTGTCTATATCGAAGCCAACAAGTCCACACTCAAACTAAGTCAACGTATTGGAGACTCTGAAGATTTATTCAGAGCAAGAATTGATCGATCAGATAAACATATTTTGGAAGTGTTTCACTACTACCAGAACCTAATGACGAGTCAATCCATGAACAAGGACATGCATGATGAAACAAGACAATCCAGGGTTGAAAGAAACGCAATTCATGTGATTTCTGTTCCTTGTGGAAAAGAAAGAAGCAAAGAAGAAACTCTTGAGGAGGTCCTTGCGCTTATTTCTGAATTCGTTCTAGTTGGATAAATGCTGAATGAAACAAAATTGAAATTTCAAGATGGTATTTTTAGACACGAATTCTTTCAGTTTCCTTCAAATTCATCGCGTGTAACATTGCAACAGCGAGATGAAACAACAACAAAAAAACACAACAACACAAGATATGAGAAGAGAAGGAGCTCGATTCAATGTAAGAACCAATCAAACCGTGAAGAAATGCCCTCTATGTACGAAATGGCATTGCCATAAACATGTCAAGAATACTGATTTTGAAAATTTCATTCATCACTACAATTCAGATCGAGCCTTTCGGAAACAGGCCAATATTATGCATTCGGAAATGATCAAGAATAACAAGAATGATAACAATGAAGAGAATGATGAGATCAATCATGATGAAATTAATCTCGTCGTCCAACATGAGAATAATATTACGAATCGTCTTGATGATGAAATTAATACCGACGATGAAAACGACTCTGAAAATCATCCTTCCAACCATCTCTCATACTCTCAAATTTCTCTTCCAAAAGATTTTACTCCACAAAAGTACAAACGTCATATCAGTGGTTATGTCGCTCGGAATGTTGGATATTCTCGAATTTCGCATAAACACAAGGACGATGATTATGGAAAAGATTTTCGGGAATTCTCTCGGAAAAGCAAATATTTTGTGAAGAGCTTGAAACGTTTAGATTTTAATTTGAATCCATAGAGTCGACTCTCCTATTATTCTTTTGTATGAATACAATATTAAAATTGAATTTCTATTCATTTTGATATGAAGTAATGGTTATTGAAACAAAAAAAATGATTTCCAAGCCTTCTTCTCATCCAACCATCCAAAACGAGAATGTTCAAAATCTCTTCTCGCCCGAATTGTTGGCACTGTTACAAGGTAAAAATTCAGCAGAGAATGTGGACAAGCAAGATCATATTTCTGTGCATGATGTTTCCGATGATGATGAGCGATCAGGAACGCACCACAATTGACGACAAATATTCCACAATTGGGATTATACTATGAAATGAGAGAAAAGATTACGTCCACATCTTCGATACCCAATGATTATTTGCAGTATAATTTTATAAGACTGTTGCCACAAGTGGTGACAGAAAATGAACGAAATCAAACAGTTTCTCTTGTTTTTGATAATGAATTTATTGAAATTTCTAAATTACCCAGCCTTGACAACACTCCTGCTCCAATGAGTGAAAATATTGTGAAAAACATCAAAGAGAAAGTGAAACATGATTTTGCAAGCACGGGTACGACAACAAAATTCGAGCCTTCAATTATTACTTTTGATGAGTTTGAGCATTTGGTTGATACTGATAAGAAATGATTTCACATACAAGCTATGTTTTATGATTTACCAAAAGTCAAGAAGTGTAGAAATATCGTTTGATACTATCAAAAAAGTTCGTTTTGCAACTAGAAGCATAAGGCATTCATCCATTGCTAAATAGCGCAATTCAATCAGAGACTGATCTCATAATTTCGACCGAAACCGTTGACAAAATTAACTATTTTTTATCCTCTGCAAACTTGAATTACAACAATTAATGTTGATATTCTTTTGTTGATACACAAAATTAGTAGTAAAATTATAATTATTAGTACTCAGTAAGGCCTCGCATTCTGAGAAGTTTACTTCTTCTTTTGACCTGCTGGGACCTCTTCTTCATAAACCTTAGTAACGATACCAGCACCAATAGTGAGACCACCTTCTCTGACAGCAAAGCTCAAACCTTCAGTAATGGCAACGTGAGCAATCAAAGAAACGTTAATCTTCTTCTTGTCACCTGGCATGGCCATACACTTTTCACCTTCAGCGAGAGCCTTTCCTTCCTCAGGATAAATCTTCATCTTACCAGTAACGTCAGCAGTTCTAAAGAAGAATTGAGGAGAGAAACCATCAACGAAAGCAGTACGTCTACCACCTTCTTCTGCAGTCAAAACGTAAATATCAGCATCAAACTTGGTACGTGGCTTGAGCAAACCTGGCTTGCAAATGACTTGTCCTCTCTTAATTTGTTTCTTATCAATACCACGCAACAAGATACCCAAGTTATCACCAGCTTGTCCCTTATCGACCAACTTGTGGAACATTTCAATACCAGTCACTGATGTCTTGATTGGAGTTGGAGCAAAACCAACAACTTCAACTTCAGCGTTCAATTTGAGGGAGCCTTGATCGACCTTACCAGTGGCAACTGTACCTCTACCAGAGATGGTAAAGACACCTTCCACAGGCATGAGGAATGGCTTGTTAATATCTCTTTCAGGTTCTGGAATGTCCTTATCAACAGCATCCATGAGTTTTTGAATGGCTTGTGTACCAATTTCTGATTTATCTCCTTCCAAACCCTTCAAAGCAGATCCTTTAATGATACTGATACTATCACCATCAAATCCATATTGTTTAACGGTTTCTCTAATTTCCTCTTCAACCATTTCAATCATCTCTTGGTCAGGAACCAAATCAACCTTGTTCAAAAAGACAACAATGTGTTTGATACCGACTTGTTTACACAACAACAAGTGTTCTCTGGTTTGAAGCATTGGACCGTCATCGGCAGAAATAACGAGAATTGCTCCGTCCATTTGAGCAGCACCAGTAATCATGTTCTTGATGTAGTCAGCGTGTCCTGGACAATCAATGTGAGCATAGTGTCTAGCTGGTGTACAATATTCAATGTGAGAAGTACTAATAGTAATACCTCTTTGCTTTTCCTCTGGAGCTTTATCAATTTGGTCATAGGCCAAGAAGTTGTTAGCCTTTGGGTCCATTTCACTCAAATATTTGGTGATGGCTGCAGTGAGAGTAGTTTTACCGTGGTCGACGTGTCCAATGGTACCAATGTTAATGTGAGGCTTGCTACGGTCAAACTTTTCCTTTGCAGCAAATCTGAGTTGGTTAGTATTGATGATGGTTTGAGTGGTGGCTAGGAAAGTGTTAGCCTTGTTCAAAATGCTAGAAGTTTTGCTGATTTTAGAGGTGAACATTTTTCAATACTGTAGTAAAATTATTGTTATTATAATAAAACAATGATGATGAGGCACTTGCTTCGGCCGGATGTGGGAGAAGAATTAGAAAGGGAGAACCAGATAGAGCAAGCGAATAGCTAAAATATTTTTTTGGTCAAAAAATTTTCAATCAATTTTTGCATCACCCTTCTGGTCACAACAACCCAAGCTGATGGCGAGAAGTAGACGGCACTTTATTTTGAGAAGGTGTTATGATGTTGTTTCATCAGCTAATTCTAGACATGTTTGTAAAAAATTCTCTCGATCGAAAACAGTATCTTTGAACAAATATTTGACAAGAAGGGGTTATAGCTCAGTTGGTAGAGCGTGTGCTTTGCATGCACAAGGTCCAGGGTTCGATTCCCTGTGACTCCAATTTTTTAACTTCATTCAGTGCGTTATGGCATCGATTAAATTTAATAAGGTTTCTGAATTTTGGAGAAACTTTGGACATATTTAACTGTTCGTTCAATATTTTGCTCTTTTGTTCGATATTACGCAAAAGAGTACATTAAAAATAATTACTATATTCATTTTGAAATTCTATTTGATTTATAAGGGAAATAACAGTATTTACGAAAAAGGTCGTTCTGCACTGTCTTAATGTTATGTCGCAAACTGAAGTCATCAAAATCAATGAGAGACGAAGCTCTATTATGCAAAACGCTCAGAAAAATCATTCTACATCAAAAAATTGGAGTCACAGGGAATCGAACCCTGGACCTTGTGCATGCAAAGCACACGCTCTACCAACTGAGCTATAACCCCTTCTTGTCAAATTATTGTTCAAAGATATTCTCTTTGATGGTCAGTTATTAGGAAATAACCCTTTTAACAGGAAACACTCCTTGTCTCACACGAAAAAAACCGGCATTTGTGTTTTACTACCGCCATGAAGCGACTGAACAAATCCTTGTTCTCTCCCATTGCTCAAAGCTCGTCACACCATAACGCATCGTTCATCAATGGTGTTCAGGCTCTTTGCAGCAATCAACTCAGCAACTTTTCAATGTCATCTTCTCACTCATGTGGATTTATTTCCATCATGTCTCCTCACGAATCCATTGCTTCAAAGCAAGAAGTATCCATTCGAGGATCGTCATCCTCATGGGAAGAACGAATGAAGAAAGGTCTTCAAAGTATTAGACATCGAGGACCAGACAGTTCTCACATTTGGATTGATCCACATCGTGGAGGTAAAGTGGCTCTTGCTCATGCTCGACTCTCCATAATTGATCTAAAAGGTGGCGATCAACCTCTCTCCAACCACGATCAAACCATTCATGTGGTCGTGAATGGAGAATTATATGATTATGAAAGAATTCGTTCAGATCTCATGAATCGGTGTGGATACACTTTTAAAACACATTCCGATAGTGAAATTGTTCTCGCTCTGTATCAAGAGTATGGATTAGAAATGTTCAAACACTTGAGAGGAGAATTTGTATTTTCATTGTGGGACTCGAAGGCTGGAATAATGATTGTTGCCAAAGATCGTTTCGGGATTAAACCCTTGTTTTATACGAAGGATGAAAAGAGTGGAGCTGTGTTATTTGCCTCGGAGATGAAGGCTTTCTTTGAGATGGGAATTAAGGTGAGTGTTTGGAGAGAGTTATTTTCTTTGAATAACAGCAAATAACATGATGACATCCACCACATCAATGATATGTTTTAATCAACACTTGGAATGAAAATATCATGAAGTGTGAATGGGATGAAGATTCAGTGGTGTATCCAGGTTCCTATGATCAGCGTACACTTTTCAAAAGTAAGTCTTTGATGAGTTCTTTCATGAATTTCACGCGAATTGACGTTTTTCGTCTGAATCTTGCGTTCTTTGAATGAAATATCTTCCTTGACATAATAATCATCATGGTGATCCACTCTTCAGATGTTTATCAATTTCCTCCTGGACACTATGCCATCATTGCTCTCCATGATGTGAACAGTATGCAACTTTCTCGTTACTGGGATTTGGATTACAGAGACGACAAGAAGAATAAACAACAGAAAACAACAGAACAGGACAACAACACCACCCATCCAATGAAAAACAAATCATTCGTGAAGTGAGACAACTTTTAGAGGAATCGATTCGTCATCGTTTGAAAGCAGATGTTCCTGTTGGTGTCTATCTTTCGGGTGGTATTGATTCATGTGCTGTGTTGGGTCTCTCCAACAAGATCTTGAAAGAACATTTCAAATCAAACGGTTCCATTGATGCTTTTACATTGTCCTTCAAGGATCATGTTGCTTTCGATGAGGCGTCCATTGCTGCAAAACAAGCTCAACTCAGTGGAGCCAAATATCACGAAATTCCAATCACTCAACAAGAGTTGGCAGATCATTTCGAAGAGACAGTCTATCATTGCGAAAGACCAAATATTCAGACGAGCTTTATTGCCAAGTTTTTATTGTCAAGGGCTGTTCGTGATGCTGGCTATAAGGTAGTGTTAACTGGAGAAGGAAGTGATGAAACGTAAGTATTCATAATAGAATGTTCAATGGAGAAATTACCTTGAATGTCCTCTGAAATGGCAAATCCATATATTTATGAAACCCAACACCTACTGTCATATGTCAATAGCTTCTGTGGATATCCATGGTTTAAGATTGATTTACTGAACGATAGTCAAGCATTGGCCAAACACGATCGTGAGGAAATTGTGAATCTGTTGCTCGAGAAGAATATTGGTTTTAGATACATGTTTAAATCATTCTTTGCATCTTCCTCAGAAAATTCAAAACCGGATCCTGTGAAGAAACTTGTTGGATTTCATCCATCCTTCCTCTCGGTGTCATTGGCCTCACATTACGATCAGTTTTTGCATTCTCATCTTGTTCCATCCGAAGAGGAGAAGGAAGCCATGTTGAGATATCGTTTGCTCAATTTAGTGGATGCTTCAGTGACGGATAAGATGAAACACAAATGGAATAATGTCCATTCCAGCATGTAAGTGTTTATTCACCTTAATACTTGTTCTTGAGATTTGTGAACCGCGTATTAATTGAATGAAAAATATACATATAAATATATATATGGTTACAACACTAACACGCATGACCCAATGGTTGGACCATCTCTATCATTTTCTCACCAAGGTATTTGTGGGCGAAAACACTCTTTCAAAACTTTATTCTCGTGCATTTGGGAGATCGATGTGAAATGGCTCACTCCGTCGAGGGTCGAGTGCCCTTCTTGGACCACCATCTCGTCGAGTATGTGAATAACCTTCCTCTAAGCCTCAAATTAAAAGCTGATCTCGACAACAAAGTACTGGTCGAGAAGTATGCATTGCGCGAAGCTACCAAAGATGTTCTCACTGAGGAGGTATATCAACGCATTAAGCACCCATTCACTTCACCACCATCGACATGGAATAAGAATGGTCCTGTGTATCAGCTCTTCCAAGAGACTTTGAGAAGCTCAGAATTTGATAAACAACCATTCTATGATCGTAAGAAGGTCGTTCAGTTTTTGGATACCGTTCACGAAAGTCAAGATCCAACCACGTTGCAGGCCTACGATGGAACCTTAACACATTTGACGTGCTTGGCATTTATTCAAAAGAGATTTAATCCTTCTTTGCCTTCACCTTCTACAACAACAAGATGGCCTTAAGAATGTGAACCTATTAAACATTGAACACTGTTATATTTCTGCCTTTCACGAATGATGTCTTGATGAAATTGACTTGTCTTCTGAATGCATTAAAAATTCATCGGCAAAAAATGAGTAACCCAAATCTACCCGCATCCTCGTCCGTTGTTGGCCCACAGCATCACCCACCACAACGACCGTATCATTCTGCATCATCGGGAGGATCTTCTCATCAACCACCTCATACGATGCATGGCTCTGCTTCGGTCTCATCAATGGCATCATCGGGTAGTTTATCAAATCAGGGTAGTAGCAATACTGGATCATTATCAGGAGGATTTGCTCAACAACATTCATCATCATCAAATCGACCATCTGGACAATACCCACCAAGATCTGGTCAAGGAAGTGTACAAAATACAAGTAGACCACCCAATCCTGCAAGGGTTTCAAGCAGCATGAATCCGAATATAAATAGTAGCCGACCACCCACAAAGAAGCATCCACCCAACCAACCATATACAACACCGTCTTCTCATTATCATCACGGTGGAATGACGAACATACCAGGGTATAATCAAACACAGCCTTCAGGAACAAAGCTAGCGTGCGGAAAGGTTGTAGTAGATCTTCTCTCACCAAAATTAGGTTTTCCAGATGTATATCCTTGTGAACAACATTCCAGAATACCTGAAGTTATATTTTCATCAACTTTTGCAAGAGAAGGATATGTCGACAAAACATTCTCAAAAATCGATCATCAAGAAATTAATTCATCTGGAAGCTTTTTTTTAGATTCGCCTTTTTTTGCAAATCTGGAGAGATGTGAACAAAATTTGAGAGAAGAACACAAATCATTCTCTACTAACAAGACAAGAGAGGAAATGAAACAACGATTTGACAATGCTGTTAATTCATGCAATTGTACCGCTACAACAACATTAATTCCAAAAACGGTTGAAAGTTATAGCATGTTTAAAGTTTTGGCAGGAAAAACAGAGGACCAGAAGCGTCCCATGAATAACATGACTTCGCCAAGAATTCCTTTGAGAGAACTTGTATCAAAAGTGGCTAAATATTTCGTGAAACCAAACTTCTTCGAGTTACTTGCGTCACACAACATTCCATATTTTAGAGCGTTGTGGTATACCAAGATTTTAATACGAGACAATTCAGCAGCATCAAATGTCAACGTCAAAGACTTGAGTTTGGATTTAACAAACAAACTTTGTGAGCACATGCTGAATATATGCTCTGAAGAGAATTCTGATCCAAAGAAGCGTCAGTCTGTTATGTACACAATCAATTTTCTTGCCTACTGCCTTGAAGAGAAGATGCTAAACGAATCTATTTTGTGTCAAAAGCTTCTTGAAATGCTTGAATCAAAATTTGGTTTAAAACCAAAGGCAAGCAAAGACGTTTCTCTCATGGATGCCTATTTTTTCTCACTACTTTCCATCAAATCAAACGATCAAATTTTCCAAAATCTAACCAATACCATCAACTCTTCCAAAGTAAGTGAATCATCTACTTGTAAATTCTTACACATTTTTTAGAAAGTTGGACCCGTCACCAAATTTTATATTTTACAATTTTTTAAATTGTATATGACCTATTCATCAGATCCCAAATTTTCTTTCGAGGTTTATCGAAGATTGAACCCTGGTCAACAACAATTATCTCTAGATAACGTAAAACACTTGCTCTACAAGCCAAAAGATGACATATTTGCAATTAACGTGCTGGATAGGACGAATTGTAACATACCTGAAATTTACAACACATTACTATATAACAAGGATATCGGTATAAATCTAATATCTGGCATTTGTGAATGGGCAATTACATCGAAAAGGCAGCAGAATCATAGACCATATGTTGTTGGAACTCTGGTGAATTATTTTATCAAGCAGAATCCTTCATTGAAAAAACAAGTAGAGGAATCACTATTTAGGGAAGTTTTAGGTTATTGCGAAGAATCCTCTGAAGACACGTCACTGAACATTATCAAACTTTTCAATGAGCTTATTTTACAAAACAACTTTTCAATCAGTGAATATATCAAATACTTGACAGCAAGAGGGTTTAATGTATCAAAAACAGACAAGTTTAATACTACACATTCCTATATTCTTAGAAACCTTCCTTCATACGATGCCCTCACTAAGAATAAGATCAACTCTAAGCTATACGGACCAAGGTTTGACTCTGAAAATTCCGAAGCAAAGAAAATTCAAACATCTCAAAACGATATTAAGGAGAACATTTCAAAGATTATTTATGGAGGCCTTAATCAGAGCGATATGGATGAGACTGTGAAGTCAGTCATCAACTCTATTCGAGATCTACCCTTGAAAGGTGCACAATTTGAGATTACTCAATGGATATCTGATGAGCTGAAATTTATTGATTCTAGCTTATTAAGTGAAGATATTATTGATAATTTACTTGCAATTACTCTCACGGTGTCAAACTATAGAGCTTTTAGGGATATTATTTTTAATATCTTGAACAAGCTCGTTAGCGGAGAGTGCAAGTATTTGGGCCTTGAGATGAAATTATTCTCTATCATTAGAAATGGTATACATTTATTTATTTCACTGGATGACTCTGAAATAATTGACTTGTTCCAAAAACGATACAAAACCATCAACAGCCGAAATTTTCAAATCATTATTTATAAGTACTTGACGGAAATTAGCAACTGTGAAGCCTTCAAAGCCAAAATTTCCAAGTTTATTTCCGTGGTTGAGAATTTTAACACTCCAGCAGCTCCACTGAACCTGGATTTTACTCTGAACTCAATGATAACTCATCCATTCATTGAGTATGTAAAAAAAGAAGGCATTAACTTGATTCATTCAAATCCATCCTCTCTCGTTTCAGAATACACTCTTAACAATCCTCAAAGGTTTACTCAAGAGCAAGTATTCATATTGCTGCGGGTATTATTTGCACAGTACCATCATCACAAACATGCCTTCTTTATTCGGCTATTACGAGATATGTCTCTTCAAAGCTCTCTGTTTGATAATTCTGCTGTTATCGAATGTTTAACTCATGTCATTGTACAGATATTGGACGATCCCCATTCTACAACGGATGTTATTATTTCTCTCATCCAATTTATCATTGAAAGTATTACGAACGGATTGATTTCAGGCTACACTTTTATTAACAACATTTTATTTAGAGTCTTTGATTTACTGATGCAGAAAATTACCAACCTGAAGAGTATTATCAATCAACCCATAGCATTCATTTTCTTTTACATTTACTTTTTACGGATTTTTGTCAACTTTTCCTTTAGCACAACAAACGAAAAGATCAATGCATTAATGATTGAGTGCAATATTCCAGCTGATTCAGTAACTTGGATCGATGAACATATTTATTCTAATATTATCACCAACACATTCTATGACTTTCTAGGGCCTTTTGAATCGAAAGAATTAATTTCTAAACTTGCTGTTTATTGCAAAACCTTATACAAGGAGGCGATATCTAGCCACGGCGATCAAAATAGGAGCAAAAAGGTTTATGAGTCCATGGTTGAAATTTTGTTAGATTATCTTGGAAATCCCAAAGCCTTGAAAGACATTAGCCGCTCCATTTCATATACTCAAGATTGTCTTGGATTATTGTATGAACTTCCATCCAAAGGAAAAGAAATTGAATACGGAAATAAGTACCAAACCATATCAACACTCATAGAAAGTTTGATTAAGCCATTCTCAAGCGAAGCAACAAACCCCGTTCCAGGAAAGCTGTTTGCATTTCTGAGTCACAGTACCAGTATTAACGATTACTTGAACTTTGTGATGGACCTCTCAAAATCTTGCGACAAGTGGAGAATTCCAATTGACTCTCACATACTATTTATTTACATGTTCACTTGGAACAAGAGAAAACCTCTACAAAGAGAGCAGTACCTTCATTTTGCAACCCGAAAAGGAAAAGATGATTCATTTTTTTATGCGAAGTCGCTTCTACCTATACTATTTTATACTCCATTTGCAGCGTTCCAAGACATAGTTCTAGAACTGTTCCGGTCAGCCATCACCTACAATGAAAAACGTCAACAAGATGTAGAAAATTTGTTGCCAACTATTGATGAACTCATTCGATTGGATCAAGGTAAAGCTGAAATTGCTTGTCGCCACATATTGGACTCAATTAATGGAACCTTAAAAGATCAAAACAGCCCTAATATTAGAGAAAAATTGACTACTGCACTCTTCTGCTTGAAGGATATCATTTTCTATTCACCACTCCTTGAAAACCCTTTTGAAGATCGATCAAGTGACAAGAAAAACCGACTTCAAATCATTTTTGAAATCAAGAAGGTTCTCATCATGCTATCAACAAGTAAGATCATACCAAACATTTTCAATTCCTCCACATCTACAACAAGTAGCATTGTTTCTACCCCTGCAGTCAGCAGTAGCCTCCCTACTCAAACAATTATTGACCTTTCCCTCACTGATATTTATTATCTCATTTACAGCATGCTACTTAAACTGAAAATACCTCAAGAAGAATTGAACAAGGACTTTGAAAGATTTTTCCAGCAACGAGAAGCTTCTTTGTCATCCTCAAGCGGAAGCAGCTCGAGAAGCATTCAACAACCACCTCTATCATATCCACCAACTCAAATTAATCCAAGCCCTGGTTCTGCCTCCTCAACAGGAACACCATCAAATATAAGACCGTCCACAACACCACGAGGAGGAGTTGGCACTCCCTCTTCAGGAACAGGCAAAGCATCTCCCATTAAGAGCCCACAACAATCTCCACTTCAATCCTCCATTATTGGTTCCCAACCTACTGCCATTAGAAACGACCACAACAAGATTAGCAATTGGCTAGTAATTGAGGACTATGTCATTCAATGTCCCCATTGCGGCTCCTCGCACGGCAATTTAACTCCAGCCCGTTACTTTGGAAGCAAGGTTGTGAAAAAGACAGAACTTTTGTTTGGTAAGAAAGTTGCACCTCCATCACTGGCGTCATCAAGTGGACATGTAAATCATCACTCATCTTCTGGAAGTAGTGATAGTTCTATGAAGAAAAGAAAACTAGCCGAGTCGTCAGACTCCACACCTACGACTGAACAGCAAGAAGATTCTACCTCAATGGTTCTCTCGGACTCCCCTCTTTCGCAAGAGCCCAAGAAGCTCAAGCAGTAGTAGTGATTGTTAGTCATGTTTGAATATGTTGTTGTGTTGTTTGCTTGTAATAAACAAACTGTTTTGTCTTACATCTCGAAATGCCTTTGCAGCTACTCTCATTGTAAACACTTAGTCAACCTAATTTTTTTTGAATTGAAAAAATTTGTTGAAAAAAAAATACTCATCATCTGCCATCCAAACATTCGCCAAAATGACAGCAGGCAAGAACAAGAGAGTTGTGAAGAAGGGTAAGGCCAAGAAGACCACTGATCCATTCGCAAAGAAGGAGTGGTTCGATGTTTATGCTCCACACCCATTCAACAAGAAGAAGGCTGACCCATTCACCAAGACCCCAATCAATAAAACCGCTGGTACCAAGATCTCAACAGAAGCTTTGAAGGGAAGAGTCTTTGAAATTTCAGCAGCTGACTTGATGAACGAAGAGGAACAACAACATCAACTTGTCAGATTGGCCGTTGGTGATGCCAAGAGCGATACCAAGAAGGCATTGACCGTTTTCAACGGTTTGAGATACACCACTGATAAACTCAGATCATTGGTCAAGAAGTGGCACACACTTATCACAACCAGAATCAACGTCAAGACTGCTGATGGATTCCAAATGAGAGTTTTCGCTTTGGGTATTACCAAGAGAAGACAATTGCAAATCGCAAAGAGAACCTATGCATACAAGTCTCAAGTCTTGAGAATCACCGCAAGAATGAAGGACATCATTAACAAGAAGGCCACTTCTTCACCAGTTAATGACTTTGTTGAAAAGGTTGTCAACGGATCATTGGGTAAGGAAATTGAAAAGTCTTGTGCTTCCATCTTCCCATTGAAGGATGTCTGTATCTGCAAGATTAAGGTTACCAAGACTCCAAAGGATCTTGCTTCCGCTCTCCATTAAATAAACATTAAAAATTAAAATTTCATTTATTTATCGAGGAACAGCTTGTTTGGATTTCCCCAACGCGAATCATGGCTGTTCTGGAATGGTAGGTCACCTGGCACATGAAGACGCTCCCGAGACATCTCGAGTGGCGACTCAGAGAGATAAATGCACCGCCTTGAAAAACTACGACCGTTGTTCGTGTCTCCTCCCTTAAAAAAAATAACGAAATTTTTGCACCAGCGCTGAAATGGGCTGTGGTACATTTTCAAAACAATCAGATTTTGCTGTTGAGGATAATAGACACACGCCTTCTCATCATCAGAACAATCAAAGGAGAGTTGATCAAGTTTCATCATCGCAATCATCATCACCGGAAGAGGAAAATCATCAACAACAAGAACAACCGCTAGCCTCTTCCAAAAAATCAAGAAAAGGGAGCACCTTATCAAAAAGAGGGTCTTCCTCCAAATCATTTAACCATTCTAACATCCCAACTATTGCCGAGGAAGAACCGGTTTCAGAGATATACCCGTTCATTTCTTGGCCAGAGGATATCATGATTTCGCTTGCAAATAAGGGTTCTCAATTTGAGATGGGAGAACTTTCTCTAAACTTGTCGGATACTTCGGAGGATTCAAATGAGCGGCCGCTTTTAAAATATGTAAAGGAAAAAAGAAATAGTTGTCAACAAAGTATAATAGATTGCATGTATGATATGATGAGCAAATCATTGTTTTTTGGATCTAACTCGCCCTTCCCTGTAAATAATGAAAATAATTATGACATTGCTCTGGATTTTATTGCTCAAGGCTGTCCGTCAGGGAAGCAGAAGTTTAGTTTCTTTTCTCATAAGGAAATACTTTTACATAGGAGCGCTTTCTTTAAAGGAGAGCTTTCAAAAGATAATGGAGCAGTTGACTCCTTAAAACGAACTCTAAGCAGTGCCCACGATTTTAGAAAATCTATGGTTAAAGTAGAAACAAATATGGCAGAAAGAAGAAACACAGCTGGGGAAGCCATGGCATTGAAACGAACAACGAGTCATACGAGTAATCAAGTACCAAGATCAAGTCTACCACCAATGCCTTCCGCCCAACAACGATCTTTAAACACTGCAAGTACAAAAAACTTATTGGCTGGTTTGGATTCTGGGGGATCTTCTTCAATGATAAAGCCAATCATACAGGATGAGAAGGAAGAACTCTTTTCTTCTCAAGGTAGTCTAACGTCACTAATGCTCTCAGAAGAAAAGCGGAAAGGACGAAAACCAAATAACCAAAACTTAACGATTGACCTCTCTAAACAGACCAAATCGAATTTACAAGCGTCAAGACTAGAGGTGATATTAACACCACTCGTGAAAAATCCAGAGGTTCTGCTGCTGGTGTTTGAGAACATCTACTCGGGTTATTTTCGACCGGACTATGTTCACAAGATGAAGTCTTTGGACATGGAGTCTCTCATTCAAGTGCTTGCCCTTGGCTATCAGTTTAAAGTTCAGTCAATTCGATCGGTTTGTAAAAGTTTAATAAGCCAATATGTCTGTACACATAAGGACAAGCACACGACTCTTGAGGATCTTATTTCTTCGACTTGTACTACGTTAAGCCTTGATGATATTCAGAAAAACAATATGAGTATTGTTTTAGAGCTAAGAAAAATATTTCAGGACTCCAAAAGTAAGTTCTATCAGTTAAACTGGAGAATTTTTAACCTATGCCATTTTCAGAGTCACTACAAGAGAATTTTATCTCGCTTACTCAAGAGAAACGAACATTCCTTAAAGATCTTGATTTCATGTTTGTTCATTGCAATATGAAGAAGAACCATCAAGACTTTAGTGATATGAAACTGACGATACACGTGGAAAAAAAGGATGACGAAACTGATGTACCACATGATTTAGGACAAGCATCAGGTGTCTCTGCTCTGAGATCAAGCTTGGAAAGAAAACAAAATGAGGATCATGATGTTCAGCCTCTAATTAGTCAAAAGAAGAAGAGGTCCAAAATTCAAGATACCATCGAACAGAATCCAACGAAAAAGATTTTCGTTCACAACTTTATTCTCAAATGCAGAACAGCTTTGGAACATGTGGAGCAGTTTCATCTCTACTGCACAAACGTGGACGTTGTAAAGACATTTGTTCATTATTTGTATACAGATACCGTTCACAACGATGCATACAATGTTAGCAAGAAAAAGATAATTCCTTTAGCTGAGCTATTTCACATTGACAGATTGAAGTACGAATGCTTGGCTCAAGCCTTGTTCAACTTAAATGAGGACAACATTTTGAAAAAATACCGCAAGGCCATCGAATGTAAAGAGATGTTGCTTTCGCAAGCAATTTTATACACCATGGCAGGCGTATATCCAAAGCTGGTTCAAAAGAATTTTGAAGAAGGAACAGAAGAGTACAACATTTTCTTTTCCATTGACGAGAAGCTGAAAATGCTTTATCAACGAATAAGTGGTCAGTTCGTTCTAAGACGACGGTTGTTTGTAGAAACTAGATTAGCTGAGCTCATACCTAAGGTAGACACGTCTTTATTACCTCCCAATCAGACCTCTGCTATCCACAAGATACATATCCACGTTTGCGGTCAACGAGGAGTTGGTGTTTCCACATTCATATCTCAAGCACGATATCAGCTCAACGACTTAAAATCATTTGAGGGAGTTGACAATATTGAGCTTTCAGTTAGCCAATCTTACTCATCAGACAAGCAATATGTAGCAACATCTCCGAAGGCAGACGGTGTGATTTTTATGTTTGCCGTCGATAACGTTAACTCTTATAATGCGATTCGAAAATGCTTTGAAGATTTTAGATCTCATTTCAAAGCTCCAGTTTTGGTAGTTGGTAATAAGTGTGATGCAGTTATACAAGCCTTTGAATGTGAAAACACAATTGTGAACTCAAACAGGCTAGTGAAAGAGGTAACCGAAGAGATGGGTTGCCCCTATTTTGAAATATCTGCAAGACAAACGAATAACGTAAAGAATTGTCTGGAAGAAGCGATACGAGAGGTCCTTTATCATCGACACATTATTTTCAAAATACATTCTCATCACTCTGAAAAAGTGATACGGGACAACATGGCAGAGGAGTCCAAGTCACCCACAAAATAAAGAGCGTTCGGTGCTTGTCACCTTACAAAAAAATTTTCACTCATTCATGCTTGCCTGTAACACAACAACACGCTTGATCAGCACGCATACGCAACGTGGAGTCAACCATAAATGATTCCTTCACAACCATTCGAATGTAACAGCAAAAATCCATTCCCACCTTCTTCAATTTTGTCATCGACTAGTGCAAAGCCTCCCATCTTGTCATCATTTCCTGGTTTCATTCATGTTCCATATTTTCCAACAACCAATAACAACAATAAGAGCAACACTAAAAACATCACTGAAACTCTATTTCATGAGGATTTAACGATTCGTTGCAGTACCACTCCGAATGTGGAGCGATCATCATCTTCCGATACGATCACTACCACTCGGCCAAGATCAAATAATAACTATTTTCGGAATGATAGTAACATCAATGAAACCAAAGAGAATCATGTATCCAGTGAAAGTAGTGATGAAAGTAGTAGTAGTAGTGGTCATGGGGATAGCCACACTGAAATGAATCAATCTAACAATTCCGAGCCTTTGATCACTCCTGTAAAAACAAAACGAAGGAGAAAAAAGAAAAAAGGATTATATTGTTACCAGAGCTATTTAGATTGTCAGGTAGGAACGGCTTGATTATTGGTTTTTATAATTATATTGTAATAATAATGATATTATTTTTATTATTTTTGATTATATTAATATTATTATTTATATTATTTTTGATATTGTTTTATAACTTTAAATATATTATTTGTTTTAATAATAATTACGAATGGACCTTTATTGATTTCGACAGAGAAAAGAGAAAAAATTAAGAACCATCACAGAAAATGAAGAACAATCCTTACTACACGATTTAAACCTAATTTTTTACCCTAATCATTCACACCATGATGAAATTATGAATTTTCCAAAATATCCCAAGGTCAACTATGCACAAAAACTTGTCAATACCACAGAATTGGCACGAATTCGAGCAAAATTAGTGGTACGTCAACGAAAACGATCAAAACAAATCAATCTTAAAGATCTCAATGAAGAAAGCACAAATTTCGATTTGGAACAATTCACAAGAAATTGGGCTCTTTCCAAACACTCCAACTATTTCAAAACTCATTGTGTCAACAACACGACCATTCCTTCAAATCTTCTCAAAAATTCCAATTCGTCCATGAATGATTTACCAACAACAACAACAAGTTCAAATCAGAACTTGTTCCCGCCAACAACAACACAACGACTAGTACTACAAACACTCATCAACCTGAAACCATTTCCATATATCCACAAACGTTATCGAAAAGCAAAATCATTCCTAAAATTTTACCCAAGCCATTGATGCAAAGTAAAACTGCATCCATGACAAGTCCTTTTACAATTCCTCAAAGAAATCGAATTCAGAATATTATTGGAAACAACAAGACCTCAACAAGCTCTTATCCACAAGGATCCAAGATTCCAACCAATGCTTTCCCATTCATGCCCATTCCTTCCATGTTTCAATTTTCATCACAGCCATCACTTTTGACCTCTCTGGCCAGATCTCACCATTCGTCACCATCTCATTATTATGCATTCACACAACCACCAAGACCTCTGCCTTCTCATTATGTTGTTGTAGAGTCACAACATTCATATGACTCTACTACAAGTCAGAACAAAGAGCCGTCAACAATGATGGCCACGGGTGAAAGGATGATGATGCATTCAAATATTACGGAGGAGGAGATTCAGTCTGCTGACCTTACAAATTATAAGGTCAATATCGCTGTGAGAGCTGATATTGATATTACAACAGTAGCAGATCATATCGATCATATTCCATCTAAAAAGATTCCATAATGTTATTCACAGAACATGTGCATTCTACAGAAGGTATAAAAATTTCCAACTTTAGAGAAAAACTACTTGGAAAAGAATTGAATTTCAATGGAAAAGTTGGCTCAATCATTGCGAGACTGAAAGATGAGTCGGCGTGCAAGAGAATTCAATTGTTTAAGGAGCTTGTTATGAAAATTCAAGAAAAATCTACCCAATCGACACACTTTTCCTCATCCCATGTATATTTTAAACATATAGAAGAAGATTTTGTTGTACAAACAAATTCATTGCTTTGTAGATGTTTTTGGCCTAATATTGATATTTCCATCTACCTCAAGCAACCACAATATACGATTGTAGCTCTTTATAACCATTTAGTGATAGGTTTTGGAGCTGTATGCCCTCAAACAGGATATATTCACTACTTGTTGACACATCCTCATTGGAGAAATTGCGGAATTGGTTCATTTATGATTTCTTATTTGATATCTCAATATTCTAAACAGCCATCCAATTCGCCGAGAAATGGTAATCCATCAAATGTTTCACAAGAAATAACAATTCATGTACCCAAAACAGATTTAAGAGTCATACGTTTTTGAAAAAGTTAAAATTTACTGCCAAGACTGTACATGAAGGATTCTTTTCACAATTAGTGACACCTTCTGATGACAATGATAACAACGCAGCACCGACAACCAATATTTTGGATTTCTTGAAAGACAAGTCCTTTGATGCACTTTTAATGGCTAGATCATTTCACATTGTCACAATAAATAATAAAATTCACCCAACAAGTTACGGGGTTGACTTGTGCTTTTCAATGTTATTCACAATATATTTGATATCATTGTTGATATGGTTTGCCCAATTTTCTACATCACCTAGCTCTTTTAAACATTGATTTAATTGTTGAAATGTTTGTATCCATTGTGTTGTTTGTTTGTTAAATCGTTCGACCTGAGCGTGAAGATGTTTTGCTTCATTTTCAATCACTTGTTGATTTTGAAAAACTTTGACCACATCGGAATTTGTCTGATTGATCAGTTCATTGCTCACAGCTTGTAAACTCTCTTTGGTTTGTTGTCTTCGTTTGTCATTCTCCTCTCTGACTTTTTGTTGTTTTTGATTGTGTTCTTTGATGATCGAGGAAAGCATTTTTTGATTTTTTTAATTTATTAATATTTCGCAAAAACTAACAAAAGAGGATTTAACATTGGAAAACAGTTGCAACTCGTTTTTATTAAGCATCTGGAATGGTTTCATAGAGCTTGTCAATGTCTGCTTGGAATAAATCTTTCATCTTGTTTCTAACGAGCTTCATGGTTGGAGTCATACACCCATATTGATCGAACTCTTTTGGTAAAATCTTGACAGCTTTTACCATTTCGAAGCCTTTGAGCTTGTGTTGTTTTGCAGTGTTGGTGAGTTCTGCTAACACCATCTTGTTGATATCAGGGTCTTCGCACAATTCTTCAACCTTATCAGCCAGTTGTTGTTTTCCATTTTCTTTTGCATATTGTTGTAATTGTGGAATATTACCAGCCACAAAACCAACCAAGCAACTCTTGAAAGAATCACCATAAACCCAAATTCCATTAATGTATTTGGTTTGAGCCAACTTTTGTTCAATATTTTCAGCAGCAATGTACTCTCCTTGACTGGTATGTTTCACACGTTGGAATTAACAAGAGTAGTGACATTTGCACTGGTACATAATGTATACATTGTACTAACACTTACCTTAGCTTGAAAATATTCTTCTTTCTGTCAATAATGGTAATGGTACCATTTTCATTGTAACGACCAATGTCTCCTGTATGGAACCAGCCATCATCATCCCATGCTTCCTTTGTCTTTTCAGCATCCTTGTAGTATCCCATACTAACAGATGGTCCTCTCACGCAAATCTCTCCACTATTGTTCTTTTCAACTGTATAATTCATTTCCTCAACGTCATCCAACTTAATTTCCACAGAGGGTACTATACAACCAATGTGTCCCTCACTGTAATCATAGGCAAGTTGAATTGTCGATGCAGCACATGTTTCCTGATTAGCACATGAATAGTAGCATGGTTTCCAAATGTTTACATTCATGTCAACAGCAGTATTCAATCATAAAACTTACAGTTAAGCCATATCCTTGAACCAAGTTGCATCCAAAAATCACTCTCATGTAGGCTTGAACTTCTGGTCGAATTGGAGCTCCACCGCTGAGTACAAATCGAATACGACCTCCAAAGTTCTTTCTCACAACTCCCAAAACAATATCAGCAATGGGGGTTGATTTTCCAGAAATCATTCCTTCTTCTTTTGATTTAATGGCCCTATTAAGAGCCCATTGTTTAATCTTCGATTCCTTTGAGATTTTTTCCTTAATACCATCATATAATTTGTCAAGAACTCGAGGAACAGCAGGGAATGCGGTGGGTTTCAAAGCTGCCAAATCATCCTTTAATGTCTTAATGTTGCCTGACCAGAAACCAATGCTGGCACCATGTTGAAGGAAAATAATTTCAACCATTCGTTCCAAGATGTGAGCAAGAGGTAAATAACTAATGACACAATCATGCTCGTTGAGGTCAATAATGTTGTGAGTAATACCTGCAGCAGCAGCAATAAAATTAAAGTGAGTAACTATTTGAAATGTATCATCAAAACATGGAAAGTTAGTGTTCGAAATGCATATAATAGTTGTAGTATTGGGTTGTTGCTAGCATGTACTATATAAATTGAAGAGAAATACTTACTGATAACACCCTTTGGTAATCCAGTAGTTCCTGAAGTGTAATTAAGACAGGCAATGGATTGTGGTGAGGGTGGCACGTCTGCGATTGGGTTGTTCTTTCCCATTTCTAATACTTGTTGGAAAGTGTGAAGTTTGATTCCACTCTTTTCCAAAGTACTGGTTTGTTCCTCTGTGATGGTATCAAAACAAATGATATTCTTTAGCATTTTTGATTTCGGAGCCAATTTCATGACACTAGGCATGACTTCTCCAGAGCAACACAAAACGACAACCTCCCCGTGATTCATAATGAATGCAGAAGACTCCTCTCCCAATGTATCATACAAGGCAAGACTAACAAATGATTGTTTGTTGCAAGCTTCAACAGAGATTTGCCATTCCTTTCTGTTTTTGCTATAGATTGCAAGATGTTGATTTGGTTCCATTCCTAAATGCCTCAAACCCGCAGCAAGATTACTTGCCATTTCATTCACTTGATTGAATGTGATAAATTCATATTCCATTAAGAGCTTATTTGGGTCTGCTGGATCTCTTTTTCTGTCTCCAAAACAAGGTCTATCTCCATATTTTTCAACAGTCTTTTTGAATGAGTCGTACAAGGTTGAAATATCTTCAAATCTTTTTAACACTAAGGCATCTGCATGACCATTCTTTCTTCTGATTCTTTGGTTATCTTTCATGGGTACAGTTTGTTGGGTGATTGGGGGGTATGATTTAGAGGAGCTGGTTATTGTTTTCAATCCTTTCAATTCAGGAACAATAAATTGAGTTTGATCAGTTGCATCTTGAGATTGCTCAGTTGATGATGATGCTTTTACCTCAGTTACAGCTGGCATCTCGGTAACTTGTTTCACAAATACATCTACCTCCTTGTCTACAGTATCATGAAACCGATCATTTGTTCATTTTGAACCAAAACCACATATTACAACATTTTTATGGTCCATGCATTGCCATCCATCGTTTGATACAATCATCAAAGCAAAGTATACACTCGATCATCACATTCATACGTCAATACTAACCTCCAAGCTTGTTTTCTACAGTCGTTTCAGCTGCACTTTCTTTTTCAGCAGTAGCTGATGCTTCCGAAGAGCTTTCTACAGGCTCTGTTCCGTTCTCATTCACCATTGGTGTTTCTTGTTGTGGCTGTTGTTGTTGGGAAGCATCTTCCGAAACGCTCAATGACTCTGCAAAAGCTGCGTATTCACTCATTTTTTATGTTTTGTGCTTTTTGAAAAAAATCCTCATGATCGAAATGGTAGGAAAATTTACGATCAATTTGAACATTCCAAAAGTGCATGAATGGCCAACAAGGTTGTAACGGTTTTTTTAAGAATAAATGAAAAAGCAATGAAGATTCAGCAACTGATTTTGCATGGCTCATTAAGATTGGTTTTTCTAAAATGTTGATTAGGATCAACCATGATCATCATTGAATTCAATGCCATCATTGGAAAGATAACATTATTTAAAAAATGCAACCCTTTCAAAGAGGATTTTTGAAAGTACGGAAATATCAGGTCATTTCTGTTGGAACGAGTGTATTTCGGAGAGGTCCAACATTTAATGAATCTGTAAATAATGAAAATAATCGAAAAAGTGCCAACGAAAATAATGATGAGAGAAAATCAAAGGAATGGATTGTAAAGCAACATACCTCTTGGTTTTTGAAACACTCCGAGAAAGATAATTTGCAAGAGGAGTTGAAAAATCATGGATGGCTTCGGAAATTAAATGCAGAGGAAATTCATCAATTAACAACAAGCAATAATATTGAAAATAATAGTACTATGGATCATGTAAATAGGTCGGATAATGACATAACAAGCAGTATACCAGAGAAGGGTGGTCCATTCTCAAAATTTAAATTTCTTTTCAACCATTGGAGGCGACGAACACTTCGTGTGTTTTTACCAAAGAATTTTCCTGAATCCGTAAACGACGGATATTTACATTATTGCAAATGGCAAGCTTTACAATATATTGCTGGAAGTTTTTCAGGAGTACTATCGATGCAATCATTGCTTCATGCTGCGGGAATTACGTCACAAATTGCAACAACATCTAATAGTTTTGCATTGGCTGTTCTTGGAGGAGCGTTGGCTTGGGTCATTAAGGACGGTTTGGGTCAGCTGGGAGGCATATTGTTTGCCAGTAAGGTTAATACAAATTTTGACGCTGATCCCAAGTTTTGGAGAATGACTGGAGAGTATGCACTTGTTACAAGCGCCCTTTTGGAAGTGACAACACCATTGACAGGACCAAGCTGGTTTATCGCACAAGCTAGCATTGCAAATATTGGTAAAAATGTTAGCTGCTTTTCAGCAAGTGCCACGAGAGCTGCAATGAATCAGTCATTTGCTAAATCTGATAATCTAGCCGATGTGACTGCTAAAGCAACAAGTCAGGCATTGGCAAGCTCACTTATTGGAACAACACTGGGTATTTTGTATAGTTCTGCGGTCTCATTGGCCCAATTTAGCTTTGTGAAAGTATTCCCTGTGTTTTGCGTGCTCTCTGTTTTGCAACTCTTTTCCCTGTACAAAGCAGCCTCAATAGTTCGATTGAAAGTTTTGAACAAGCAAAGATTTGTGCTAGTTGCTCTCGGTACCTTAAAGATGGTACAATTCTAAACCCACTCAAATATCACTATGGAAAAGTTTGTGTTTCCATTCTTTGAAAAATTTCAAAGAGTGAAAATCAACACAACAATTGATAAGATTGGTCATGCAATGAAACCGTTAAATTATGAAGAAATTTTGAACTTGCGATATACCATCATTGAGGAAGGGAATTCTATTCATATTCTGTTTGCACACAACGCTCAAACAAGTCATGTATTTAGAGCCATGTTCAACGCTACTCAACTAATAACAGGAAATACCAATCAGTCTGTGAATTTCGACAATTTTGTGCACGCTCTTTCAGAACATGGATGGGTTATTGATCATGACTTTGTAGAAGATAATGGCCATATGCGAATTTGCTTGGCCCATGGCATCAAATCCAATGACCAATAAGTAACATGATAAAATTTAAAGCGAAGAGACTCCATTGTCTATTCCTCAGTCAGTTGCTAGTTGCTGTTTGAACTTCAATTCGATGCCTACTCGTATCAATTTCAGCAATAGCAAAACTTCATCGCTTCAGTTTGGAAAATTCAACCAACGTAATCAAACGAAAAAATGCATCGAGCAAGCTCTCACACCACCAAACCCGAACGGATAAAACAAGAAGGCTTTTTCAAAATTTGTAATCATGTCTCCATAATCATTTTTCTGTTGACAATAATTTTAATAACGAATTATACAGAGTTGGTCCGGTGTGGGAAATTCTCTCTCAGCTCTTCCGGTATCGATTGGTGGAATAATTATCAACAAACGCAGGTAACACCAAAATCAACAACGGATGCTGGCTCCGATGATATCGATTATTCAAATCTTTTTGTAGACTCTCCTCCACAGCTTTCACTGTTTGGAGTTCACAAGATTATTACTGCCAAGTTTGTCAATTCCAGTTTAAACGAATTTATGTATTTACCATCAAAACGCAGCTCTACCATGTCGTTTTACTTCCTTACAGTTGTAAATCAATTTGGATTCATGAAAATTGACTGCTTAAACGTTTTTAACTCATTGGAACCATCAAAAGCTATCACACGAACCATAGTTTTGGGAAAATATAATTTAGAAGAACAGAGAGTCACGTGGGCTGTCAGAAAATCAATTGATTTTTACTTTGGTCGACCGTTTGCTTATGTCACCAATAACGACGAAATAATCATCGTCTGTAATATCAAAAACGATCAAGGAATTTACTCCAAACGATTTTATCAAATTAAAGGTGACACGGACGAAGAGCCAAGCTTTGAGACACTCAACACGAGCAAAGAGGTGAACATTGTCATGGAAGGCTCAATAGATAGGTTTGACTCCAATTATAACCACACAGATAATGGATTTGTTGTGTATGGAGCAAAGAGTATTAGAAAAACCAATTCCTTATACGACTCGACGAAGGAAAATTTACATCTGGAATCATCTGTGATGGCTACTTCTACAGAAATGGTGCATCCAAGTGGAATGTAAAGCTTGGTATGTTTCTCATTTGAATTTTTGTTATTCATCACAGATTTCCTTTACTTTGTTTAATTTCGAAAATCAGTCTATGATGACAAAGATTTCTTCGAGATGCACAACATTATGGTCTCCTCTGTGACCCAACCAAAGCAGGATCCACTGATGGTCGCTTTTAATTTTCTTGGTACAGGAGATTTGAAAACGTTTGACACAGCCTCAGATAATTTTGTTACTCAAACATATTATAGAGATGGAAAACGACAAAACTACAAAATAAGTAGTGTTTATCCAGCTGCTACTGTAGTATCAGTGACAGAGAGAGGAGTCTTTCAAGAAATGTTTACCTTGAGAACATATCCAAACGAAAACGTCACAAATCCAATGATTACTGTTAGAAAATTTTTTTATGACTCAAAAAAGCAGACCTTTATCTTGCTAGCGTTTGTTTCAGGAGCTTTGGGTTTTACCAAAACATCAACCATGGGCGCTGTAGAGGGCTTCATGTTATACAATAATGCATCTTTCATGGGAAGCTATGTAATTGTTTCATATGAAAAAGGCAAAACGCCGACATGTGTCAAAACCTCTTACTTTGGTGAGGATCCTGTCATCACAAGTGGTTATTTCATAAGCAAGAGACTGCTACCAATATCAAATGATACAGCCCTACTCTACCTGGAAGTTTTCGAAACGAAAACTGGCTCTCTAATTGACTCGAGTCAGATAGAAATTAAGTGTGATAATCCTCTTGATTTGAAATTCTCCATTTTATATGAAAAGAGAAGGTATTTGATTGTTAAAGGAACTACCCAGAATCCTTTATAATCGTGAATAATCAATATTACATTCGGTCATCAAAGCTGCAAAATGAGTTGGTGTTTATTCTGTACTTGAATACACACCCTCCTTCCACATTATACGATTATACGTGCCACCAACAATTGGTTTGTCGAGAGGTAGGTTTTGAGTGAGTTTGCTTAATATGATCAACTTGTTAGCGTGATGGAGATAATTTATGTAATGGTCACGGCACTTGTAGACTTGATGGCTCATGTGGCTGTGATACATATTATTTGGGAACATACTGTGAAACATATTTCTTTGTTCAATTATTTGTAATTATTGGTGTGATCAGCTTTTTGTTGGTTGTTTTTATTGGAAGCTTTTCCACATTGTTGGGATTGTATCTCTATAAATCCATCAATCATAGACTAACAAAGCTTAAAAAAAAGGAACAAGCAGAGCAAGAGCTGGAACAAAAATTACTCGAGTACGAAGGTCTCCAAATTAACGAGAGAGCGATTGATCTTAATACCTGGATTATTCCATTTGATCAGCTTACTATTGAGAGAGAAATTGTGAACACATCTGGAAAAACAATTCTTCAAGGAAATTGGAAAGGAACCATTGTTGCTGTGAAAAAAGTTCAGTTAAACGAGTCTGTAGATTATATGGGTGAGAGTCAGGAATTATTGTTGGATAAATCGCTAGAAAGGGAGGCGTCTATCATGAGTAGAGTAAGACATCCAAATATCTTACGGTTTTGGGGACTATGTTTTACGAAAACAGATCAATTTTTGGTTACTGAGCTTTTCGATTACAGTTTAGACTCACTCATAGAAGATCTTCGCAAAAATACGTTTTATTTGCCAACACAAGTGAAAATTCAAATTTTACATGACATTGCTTGTGCCATGACTTATTTACATGAATTTCAACCTCCAATTCTTCACAGAAATATTAAGCCATCCACTATCATGGTAAGTACTGATTTACTGGTTGACCATTTTAAATGATCGAATCACCGCCATAAGCTTTGTGACGATATCAAATATGGAAAAGTTCTCACCAGCATCAAACCTAAAATTGCTGATTTTGGTTTGAGTACCCATTTACGAGAGGACAATGTACTTACCATGCAAATTGGTACCGTTCTGTATTCAGATCCGCTTATTTTCAAAGGTGAAAGATACTCTGAAAAGTGTGACGTGTACAGCTTTTCCATGTTAATGTATGAACTATTTTTTGAAACAGAGCCATATTCTTCATCTGAAAGAGTTGGTGAAGTTAAGGAACAATACAATCATTACAGCGTTCTTCCTTCAAAGATTGTTGAAGGATATAGACCAAAAGTGCCATTCTCTAAGGCTCTGGATTCTATTGGAGATTGGATGGAAGACAATTTAGAACTAGTGAACGAGAGAATTATCGATCCAGAGTTTTTAGCAAGAAGTATCCAATCCTTCATTGAACTCATGAAGAAGTGTTGGTCAGGAGATCAAGATGAACGACCTTCCTTCAGAGTTATTCAAGATACTCTATCTCAAATCCTGAAAGGAGAGATCAAATCAAGTAATTGTAACAAGACAGTGAACTGCATATTGAGGACATATTGAAACAAGGTAAATTTATTGGAGAATTTTTTATTGAAATTGTTGGTGACAGAATAGCTTATAGTTGGCTTAAATTGTTTGAAGGATTATCTTAATAGCTCATATTTTATAAACAAGACTCAAGATGATGATCGATTATTATCATTACAATCGCAATATCCATTATTTCCACACAATTGGTGGTATTATTTCTACTCTTCATCATCTTCGCATTCGTCAAAGCCATAGTTTAATCCTGTACACCATTCTAATATAATCAGGGGTGTACCGATCATGTTCTTCTAACTGCTCGTTTTGTTCTTCTTCTTTCTTCTTCAGCTTGTTTTTTCTTTCTTGTGCTACCACTGGTCCTGCTTCAAACTCTGCGATGCTTATAGACTTGTATTGCATCGAGGTAACGAATACGTTCTCTAACAAACAGTCGTAAAGATCTCGTCGTTTTTTGGACACAAGCTCAATAATTTTGCTTCTGCAAGGAAGAATGTTGATACTGGAATTGATGCAGATTCGTTGACTTTTTCCCGATCAGAATTTCAAGTAAGAGAGAATACGACAAATGAATGATCATCATCAAATGTGACTCTATCTAAGGTCAATGATACATCTTCCTTGGTTTTGTGATAGTACATTGTTCTGTGTACACCGATCGTGTACTTTTTTCCGTAATTAACTTGTCTAGTTGCTGCAGGGGTTGGCAGTCTTCAAATAAGGTGTTGTTAATGCGTACGCAAGCTCTTTCAATATTTTTTTGGATTAATACATTTAATATCTCGAAGAGGACCATCAGTGGTAATGTTCTGTATTCGAAGGTGAAAATTGCTTTTCCAAGTAGATGAATGAACTCTTTTTCAAGATAATCTTTCTCCAGTTCTGAAAGGAGAGACTCAAATCAAGTAATCGTAACAACCCTTAGCTTTTCGTCTTGATAGTCGAAATGTTTAGTATTGTAAATTGAATTTTCAACATTTAAAAAATGATTTCATTGCTTCCACTTCAAAGTTTTCAATTCGTGCAAGGTCTTCGGAATTCACTTGCATTAAATTTCTACTGTTTCTCTCTTTTACTCTCGGTTATTTACTTGTTTTATTATTTCTCAATGAGTCGGGATGACTATTCCACGATGAAAGCGAAATCTTTAAAATTTAAACGTCGTTATGATCCGATCAAAGAACAACGAGAAAAAGCCTTGATACCATTCAGGCACATGAAAAGGATCATTGCATGTGCTATTGATAGTGGAAGGATGAGAGGAATAATTTTCTTGTTTTTGGTGTGTGGAATGAATACTCTTTGTTGGATGATGATTGTTTCTTGTGTCATGTCCACAAGTTTGATCATTTATTTGAAATCTGCATGGTTATTAAAACAGAGACATGACAGCAAGTCAAAGAATGACCATAAATCTCCACAATTGAATGAGGAAAATATTGTTGATAATTTAAATTATTATTTGGGAGCAGATATTACACTGGTTCAAGAGGGATTAAAAAGATTCTGCAGAATGGATTCTTCTTTGAAAGATTCAAAGATGTCAAAACTCTCTTTGACAGTGATTGCAAGTACTTGTACAGGATGTGTCTCGTTGTTGAAACAATTATTTCAGAAAGAGCATGGCCCTATCATGAACAATTTTACATCCATTGAAATTATTCTCCTTGAACAACATACTTTGGACAATTCCAACATCAACGAAAAGGTGCAAGACAATATCAAGGAAAAACAGAATATTGAACAACAACTGGCTAAGCAAACTCCTTCAATGAACATTCATTGCACATTTGTCACCACAGTGAAGGAGTTAACCTCACAATTGAAATCTCAAAAGATGGACGTGACATTAATTTTACTAGAGGCCCTTCGACCTCTTTTGAATCATGACAATGACCTTCAATTACTGCTCACAGAAAGTAGAAACATTTCAAAACTTGGTGTGGTGATTGGAGATTATGAAAGATCTTCCTTGATACATTGCATCTCACAGGATCCTGCTCTGTGCTCTGCTTTTCGAATTTCCGAATGGAAACAGTGGCTGGAACAAGCCAAGCTCATTTCCTCCCAAGACTCGTCCCGTCAACCCTTAACCGCTCGCGACCAAGATGACGAAGGATCATTTGCAATTGTTTGGACCTTTGGTAGATTGACCACGGTGGTACACCGGCCAGAAGCATCCTCGAAATCCATTCCAGAGCAATGAACGAGTTTGTTTCAAGATGGGCACAAAGCTGAGTTACTTGGATGTATCAACTGTCCTTGGTATTTCAGGTGTTGAGAAGGTCATGATCGGGTAAAAGTTTGGGTTTCACTTATGTACACAATTTTATCTCCAATCCAGTTGAATTATCACAAATTCCATGGTTGTAGTGCACTTTTGTTTTTAGAAAGTAGTGATCTCTTGAAGATATCTCATGTCATCAATGACCGAGATTTCTCGTGTCCAACTGTTGGAGAAGCAAACAAAAAGCAACACTAGACGTCCTATTGTAACACTTTCACCGAATCACTGCATCAACAGCCAACAAACTCAACTCACAAGAAATTACGAGTAGACCGACTAGTACTTTTTTATGTACATGTAGAACCAATATTGATGTAACGATATTCATGAAGCAACAACACACATTATCATCAACAACGGCACGTAGATGCCTTTCAGTATGGTTGTTCACGACCGTGTTGATGCTGTTTGTTTTCGAAACAACTACAGCATTCTCGTCATCACTTGTTTCGTATATGGATTGGAAAACATTGGCTTCATCAATTCGTGCATCAACAAGCTCTTCGTATCCCATCATTGCAGCCGATAATTTTGTTTCATTATTTATTTGGAAAGATTTGAATATTACTAATTTGGAAGACCTTGCAAAGAGCTATTTCGACAGCAACAACGATAACAAAAGGACCTCACCACTCAAATTCTTTTCGTATGAAACCTTGACTTCGTACGATATGAAACGAATTGCATCCATGATTTTAAATTCTCAACGCCAATTGTCATCCAATTCGCGAAGACCAAGAAACAATAATTTGGTGTTTCAACAACACGAAACGATTGATTTCAACAATCCTAATCGCCACTCTAATATATGGACTTTTAAACAGATCATTATTGCGGATAAGAACACAGCATGTCTTCTTGGTTCGTTTTTGAAAATTTTGACATTTTAATGGAGACCCCACAAGTATTTGCTGAGAGAATTCGAGTGGCTAGAAATCACATTCAGAAACGAAAACAGAGTTCCGATTATTTGAATATGAATGACTTTGACATTATTCCATTGTTTCCTTTAAATTTTTGGATTTACAATTCAACAACAACACCAACAAACTTCAATCTAGAGGACGAACTTTCTAACCTTCTGCTTTCGGATCTAGTTGCAAATACAACTCTACAAAATCTAACTTGTACTCATAGTATCGTTCATGACTCGAGAGTGATTGAAAGAATGCATGGTGTGATGGATTTCACACCCAAACAACTCTCATGGTCGTTCCAATTTATGAACCTTACTTTCAACCCTTCTTATAACTATACATTTCTTTATAGAGTATTGCAAAAGTATCAAACTGATTACTCGACACTAAATGGAAATGTTACTTTAAGCACCTCACAAATAGATACGTTGTTGTGGCCTTCTTCGTGTCATTACTGTCTCACAACAGGATGTACAGCTGAAAATTGGAGATATAACGATTCATTGGATTTTGTAATTTTTTGTTTGGGATTTGTGTTTTACACCTGTCTATTTGTCACACGTGCCTTTAAATCTCCAGTGATCTATCGAAAATATGGAATTGTATTTGTGGGTCCTGTACTGATCATGGGAACCTATCTTTCCATGGTAAATGCGTTCAACAACACATGCCTCGAGTTAGGTGTCATGTTCACAGTATATTTAGCCATGTTATTGAACACTATTTATTTATTCACCATATTGAGGTACTTTTATTTGAGGAGTCTGTATGAAATTGTGAAGCGTGTCAAGTATCCTAGATTCTTCAAATTTTTGGCAAGTGACACTATTGGTTTTGTTGTCACATTAATTTTACCGATTCCTCTGTGCCTTATTTTCGTTACTCCCGTTGCAGTCATCTTCCCAAATTACGAATCAATTCCATACAACACTGCAATCAATATAACCATTGCACTTTCATGCGGTCTCTCGTGCATTGCTGGCGTTGTATTTGTTTCATACGAAATGGTGAAAAATCGAAAGGCTATTCTAAAATTTGGATTTTTAAGATTTCTCATCTTTGAGGATCCCTTTTATTTCAGAGTAGATCTTATTTCAATGGCAGTTGTATTGATCTTACTCATCTTATTAGCCGTTATTTTTCTCATAGAGCCAAAATCATTGTAATTTTGAGATTTGTTGTGGGACTCATGCTATACATGATATGTGGAGGAACTTCAATGATTATGCTTACCATTGAACAATTCAAAAACATGAAAAAAGGTCAAACCAAAGAATACAAAACCACTCTCCTAGATGAATACATTGAAATGCTCATTCAAGATAAGAATAAGGACTTGAGTCAGCTCTTCCGATTATACTGTGAAAAATCGTTGGCACTCGAAAATGTACTTCTTATGGACACACTCGTTCACATGAAACGAAAATCAACAAGTATTCCTATTGAGGCATTGAAAGAAATACAAGAACAATTTCTAGCTCCCTTCTCGACCTATGAAGTCAATGTTCCCATGAAAGTGAAAAGAAGTATTATAGATGCCATGGATGATGCTTCCAAAAAGAACTTGCAAAAAGTGAATACCGAAATTTTGAATGAAATTATGGTCGAGACAGAATACAACTTGCGTTCAACGTTTATGAGGTTCCAAAAAACGAATGAATTTATGCAATGGGAAGAGATTTATCAACTTCAGAAAGATCAATCAGCATTGACTTGATTCAAGACGAGGAACCAATCAATTTGCCACTCAGATACTGCTTCACAAGTTCCAGCAAGCTTGTGAAAACGAGCATAACTTTTTCAAAAAATTGAAACCATTCACTACTGACGATATGCGAGCGTTGAGTAAAGGACGACAGATGGTAGTGTTGGGAAAATCATGTTACAAGCATCATCATTCGCAACACCACAACATTGCCTGTATTTCATTCTTCAATGATGGTTTTAAAACCAACAACGAAATGAGCAAGATGATGATTCCAAATCAACAACAACGAGACTTCACTTCTCAAGCCTGTTCATTCCGAAGGAACTTTATTTCATTTTGGAATGAGAATAAACCACCATCTTCATCCGATTATAATAACAACAACAAGGAGAATGCAACATCTGATCAAAAACAAACATCCACCACAACAGCACCATCGGAAGAAACAGGAAAAACAAGCACCTCATCATCATCATGGATTGGAGGAATCAGTGGAGTACTCTCTACTGTCAAGGACACAGTTTCATCAACAACCGAAACTGTGATGAACGCCAATGTTATTCAATACATTAATGATTTAATTCATTATTTGAAAAATATTAATATTACAAAATTGGAAAGTGATGCCAAGGAAAAAGCCTTGACCACACTGCAAGATGCTACCAAGCATCAAGAGCAGGTAAAAACAAACGAATCTGCAAAAACTGAGCAAGATGAAAACGAACAAAAATTATTACTCTCGTTTAAGGATGTTTTTCAAAATAATGATCATCCCTTACATCACATGAATATTGAAAAGAGCGGACTCTCCAAGGTTTTGAATTTAATTCCCTTTTTCTCCTATGTAGAATTAATGTTTAAATATGTAGTTTATCAAACCATGAATTTGGTGTTTGAGGCTGTTGTGTATGGAAATTTCCTGAGCAAGGAACAAAAACAACAAGTCGTGAATGAATTTTCAAGCATTGTTATCAAAAATTCATTGGATCCTATGGCAATGGCTATAGAGCTTGTCGAGTATTCGAGTCAGAAATTGGGAGCTGACGAGAATGTATCGAAACAGCTGGCCTATGTCACCTCATTACTTCCCTACATGAAAAAAGTTGCGTTGTTTGTAAAAAAATTTAAATAATAAATTGTAATGTAAATATTGTGAAAGTGTACGATATTGTGGTTGAAAGGTTGGCAACAGCTTTTGATGTACTTCACTTAATCGAGTGTCAGAAAGAAAAATTGATTGGAATCAGCTCAAGCAAGAAAAAATGTCTGACGTGAAACCGCAACAACAACAAGCCAAGAAGCCGCAACCATCAATTTTGAATACTTTGAAAAAACTTGGAGGATTTAGTTGGAGAGCCATTGTGGAACCAGCAATCAGCGGAATGTGTATGGGTACGTTTTCGGAATTTGTAAATGAAAGTGGATGACGGTACTGATGGCTTGATTGGAATTTTAAATAACAACAATATTATGCATGATGATGAAATCATTTGAAAAACTTTTCGGAAATTTAATCGTTTTATGACTAAAATTATGTAATTTGATCAAATTCTTTCGGATTTAGCTTTTGGACAATTCTTTGTACGCAAAGTCGTCTATTACATGCACTATGAAAATTTATCGTTTACTGAAACCATTCTGAAAGGATGGCATAGATTTTTGGCTGATTACCTTCCTACCAATACCTCTTCACAACCTACCACAGCTTCCCAGTAATAATAAAACCCTGACAATGTCACTGTAAACAAAAATTAATAAGGATCTCAATCATCACGATCTCAAGAAAGTCAAAAAAAATGTATCGAGAGGAACGTGGATTACAAACAAATTCACATACCATTCCGAAAGATAACCACAACAACAGCTCATTCCGAAGCGCAATACGGTTCAGAGAAGGCTTTGATATGAAAGATTCAGATCGAGGGGAATGGGTTTCAATAGTTGAAAACCCAAGAAGAAATCCCTTCATGGAGAATGTACAATTCAATGAGAATATTAACAACTCGGAACGATCATTGAGAAAGGATCATACATTCAACGAACCAATGTATAATCAATTTAATCAGGATAGATATAGACTCAATGATGTACAACGAAGATTGGTTGCCGAACGATTTACAACTCAAATCATGAACAAACTCTTTCATTGGTTCGAAAATACGAAATTATTTAAAACGTCAATGCAATATGCCAATGAATGGAGAAGTAAAATGTCCAAGAACCCGTCCTATGTTATGAACGAGAGAGCTCTCTCAAATCCATATGAAGCACGATTTTACAATTACAGCCACTACAATCAGGGCAGTGCAATTTATTCCAGACATGAATCATTTATTAGAAATATTGTTGATTCGATTATTACATTCAGAAAAATGCTTTTTTCTGCCGCTGGATTGGAGGGTGAAACAAGCGGTAATGATGAAGAGTACAACGATCGAAAGTTAGCTGAAGATATTGCTAACAGAATTGATAGATATACACTTCAAGAACGAAGAGGAAGAATGTATAATCAATCCAACGTGTCAAATTATTGGAATGCGAATAACAATGTACTCCAATCACAGAAGAAATTTACCTTCACTGACAGACTAAAACAAGTGTTTGAGGGATTCTTGAAAATTTTCAATGCAATCATTAGACTGATTGTTCGAACTCCACAACGATGATGAGCTTGACAGAATGGAACTTAGTTCTTTTGTCTACTCTGAAAACTTTTTTATCAACAATTTCAGTATAGTCCAAATTTGGAATTATTTCATTAATAGTTCGAGATGTCACAAGACCAGCTTAAGCCACAGTAAGCAACCAAAGAAAAATGAAGCCAATATTCATAGCCGTCACGTTTATTGCTGCGTGCTTGCACTATTTAATGTTTCGGCCTTACTCCTTCATGACTGCATTTAAACTCTACTTTTTCGTCATACACGTTGGAGTTGTTTCCATGGTTCGCGGAGTCAAACTAGTGTTTGGACAAAAGAAGAAAATTCAAACCTCCGATGAAAGCAAATTTCAGAGACAAGTTGGATGTGCACATTTTGCTCTCGGTGGATTGGGTTTATATTGTTTAATGATGGGAAATACGTTTGAATATTTAGTATCGATCGCCATTTTGACCATAATTTTTCATGTGGGTTGTGGAATTTTAGAAATTATGGATTCTCTCTCTCAAAAAACAAACAAACCCAACCATGAAAATAGCGATTGGCTTATGAAAAGTTTGTACAGTAGTGTATTCATCCCAATCATTACAGTGATTATGGTTTTTACAACTCCATACGGAGCAGTCGAACATGCTCCACCGAGTACAACTTACCAAGTGTAGAAGTCGAGTTTTGAATTTCTCGGAAATAAATTCCTTCTTCCATTACAATACGTCAACAGTGCAACTTGGAACACTCAAATTGCCACATTTGTGAGATCTTGTATTGCTTGCAACAACTCTACTAATACAATACGCGCAGATCTTTTTGTAATCTCGAGGAGTAACGGATCGTGTCTCAAAAACGTATAAATATCTCGAGTGACCTTCCAAACTCATTGTCTTCAACAAAAAAACATCAACACATTCACTTCAGTTCCAACACCTTTATTAAGAAATGGCTTCCTCTCAACAACAGCAAGACCATGAAATCGTTGCCAAAGGAAACAAGCTTTGGGAAGAGATCTTTGCCAGTGGTCAAGTTGCTCAACGATTGGGCGAATGCTACTTACCCAATGCTCAATTGACTCACTTTGGTACCTTTGCAGCAGTTCATGGACCAACTGAAATTGCCAAATTCTTCCAAACTGTTCTTCATGATAGTGTTGGTGCAAGAAATCCCAAATTAACTTCTCATGTCATTACTCGTTTGAATGAAACGACAATTTATGAACTCGGAAAAGTGAAAGCAGAGTTGGTGAGTGGAGGATCTCTTGAAGCTCCATATACTGTAGTTTGGCAACGAGATGAGGCTACTGGAGAGTACAAGATTATTTATGATACTTTTTAAAGAGATTGGTTGAATTTCGCAATAAAAAGTGATTTAAAGAATTTAAAAAAAATGTTCGGAAACCAATCCAACCCAAACACAGAGGAAATTCATTGTAACGTTCATCCGGGTGTCAGGAATGATGAAAAAGCTGTAAGAAAAAATAATATACGAGTGGTTCAACTTGTTCGGATCAATCTTGTTGATTTTTCAAACACTCCACCTCTTCATCATGGAAACCTTGATGATATTCGGGCTTGGAGATTTTATTGAAAATGAAATTCTCACGGCAACAATTCGGAAAGAAGAAATGGCTTGAGAACAGAGAAATGAAATATGAAACTTTTTTTCCTGTTGAATTTATGAATGATAAAGAATTTGTGTTAAATCACATCAAAAAATATGGCTATGGATTACAATTTGCATCAAAATCTTTAAAGGAAGACAGAGATTTGGTATTGACAGTAGTTCAACATTGCGGATACGAGTTAGAATTTGCAAGTAATAAGTTTTTCAACGACCAACAAGTGGCATTAACAGCTATAAAGCACTACCCATATGCACTGACCTATATTTCGGATGATCTTCGAAATGACAAGGAATTTATGTTAGAAGCAGTTCGACAGAATGGACGAGCTATACTCCATGCCACCAATACGCTCAAAGTAGAAATTGCATCAATTGCTGTTAAACAAAACGATGAAGTATTGGTGTACTTAGAAGAAAGCTATTTGAAAGCCCACACAGAACTAATTTTTGACATAATTAAGCAAAATAGAAAGGCATTTCGATGGATACCAAACGATTTACTCAAAGATCATGTTTTCATATCAAAAGCTCTTGCATTAATATTTCCAGAAATTGAAAAAATAGACTCATTTGATTATTCAAAGAAAGACATAATGCTTAAGGTTGTTCAAGAATTTGGATTTTTACTTGAATTTGCTTCTGATGAGCTCAAAAACGATAGAGATATTGTTTCGAATTCAGTGAGAAATCTTGCTTTTTCTCTTCAATTCGCTTCTCCTGATTTGAAGAATGATAGAGAAATTGCGTTGATAGCTGTTGTTCAAGACGGTTATGCATTGCAATATATCTCTTCTGAATTGCAGAGAGACAAAATAGTTGTGTTATCTGCTGTCAATCAGAATGGACATGCACTTCAGTATGCATCAGACGATTTGAAGAATGATAAAAAGATAGTTTTATCAGCTGTAAAAAAAAGTGGCTGTGCTCTCAGGTATGCATCTGACGAGTTAAAGAGTGATAGGGAAGTTGTGTTGGCAGCAATACAAGAAAATAGTTGGGCTCTTCAATTTGCAAACGATGAGATGAAAAGCTGTGAAGAAATTGTGATGAAAGCAATCAAAGAACAGAAAGGTACCATTCAATTCGCTTCTAAAACATTGTTGAGCGACAAACAATTCCTAATAGAAGCTCTCAAACTTGGATGTGACAATGTTCTTGATTATGCACCAACAGAATTTATTGAAGACAAGGAATTCATATTACAAACCATCAAGTATCAAAATGTTGGAGCAGTTCGATTCTGTCATTATTGTCGAAACAAAGAAGTAATATTGGAAGCTGTGAAACATAATGGATTTGCATTATGGTATGCAAGTGAAGAGTTGCAGAAAGATCCAGAACTAGTGGTGCAAGAACGAATCGAACAGTGCTACTATGGTTCTTATGTAGGTGTCTACAATCATGATTGAATAATTTATGATGACAAATATCAAAAATAAAAAAATTAAAAAAAATGATTCGATTAGAAGACGGTTTGGATCTCAAATTTAATTTCGAGAAACAAATTGATATGGCCGATGAAGCGGAGATGGCCAAAGATCAAAATGTGTGTAAATTCTTTCTCAAAGGACAATGTAGAAAAGGAAAAGATTGCCAGTATAAACACATACAACGACAGACATCAAAGGAAAAGGAAGTGGTTTGCAAACACTGGCTCCGAGGTTTATGTAAAAAAGGAGATGGCTGTGAATTTCTTCATCAATACAAGGCTGGTAAGATGCCAGAGTGTTGGTTCTTTTCCGAGTACGGAGAATGTAGTAATCTAGAGTGTATTTTCTTGCATATAAAACCCGAAGATAGGATCAAGAATTGTCCATGGTATGAAAAGGGATTTTGCAAACATGGTCCAAATTGTCGATTGAAACATATTAGAAAGATTGCTTGTCCAGATTATTTGGCTGGATTTTGTGCAAAAGGACCAAACTGTAAATTCTCTCATCCCAAGTTTGATGTTCGGAGTAATGAAGCAGAAAACGATGGTGGTGCAAAATTTATGGAGAAACTCAATGCGGAGCGACAAGTTGCAATGGAAGGGCAAAATACTCAAGGAATGGGTCCACCTCATCATCATCAGGGCGGAGGGGGTGGTCGAGGACGAAGACCACAACACTATTAATGATTCCGTTAATCATCATTCTTCACGATAATAATTTATTCAGCAATAGAAGATGTTAATTTTCTCATATTTCCCAAGCCATGAACACTGCATAATGAGCACTTGACAACGACATTGTTACACAATTCCACACTACCCATTTTACAACGATCAGCAAAACTTTAGATTGACAAGTTATTGATTTGATCCATGCTAAAGTCAACTCGCAACCCTAGAATATTCTTAATTTCGCTCACTGAAAAGCCCCAATGTTGTGCCGATTCCCAGATTTCCAAAAGGTCATCAACTTCTGTCATTTTCAATAAATATGTAATATGTGTCAACCTGGAAAATTTGCTTCTTACTGGTCGTTCTGTCTTTGTTGCAAAATATTCCATAAATTCTCGTAAATCTTTGTCAACTTGCACGCCTCCGAAATAATTGAATCGTCTCGTCAAAATCAAGTGCTCCATTCGATGGCAAAGAATGTCAATGGCTAACTCCACAAGTTCTTCAAAATTAAACTTGGTCAAATATTTCTTGTACAGATTCAGTACTCGATCCATATCACCAATAAATTTCTGAGTTAATGAGTTGTTGAGTTCCTTAGAAGCAAATTGATTCTCCGTTAAAATATAAAACTGTGGGTTTTGACTCAACTCTCTGTTCAGCAAAAAGTCAATGTCTCTCTCAATACCTAACGCATATTCTTGAGAGCTGACCACTTTTCTAGTATACTTTCTTAATTGTTCAGAGAAGAAAATTGAGCTCTGCACAAGATCTGAGGAACAGCTCTTGAGTTTCATTCTATCAGCTGTAAACATTTCCTGAGGTAGATTGACGCGACGCTCCTTGAACAGTCGATCCTCATAATTCCTATCGAATTCTTTCTTTAACTTTAAAATATATTCACTTGATATTTGAATATTATTAAGAGATTTCTGTACAAATTGTAAAAGCAGAAAATTATTGAGTATATAATTTTTCCATGTTATAAATGGTATAAGAGTTATAAATGCCATCGCAACAGTTCGTTAACACTTACCAAAATCTTTACAAAACGATCCTTATCGTTGGTGTGTTCCAGCGAAATGAAATGTAAATCTTTTTTGGTAAATTCAAAATATTCACCGCAAAGAATGGTATTGATATGATTACATATTGCGCATATAACAGAAATATTTTGAGAATCTATAGCCCTGTTTAAGCTCTTTCTCAAAATGAAAAATACATCGTTAATTACAGAGGAATATTTGGTTGTTTCGTCATCCTCCTCATCGCTTGAGAGCTCCTCTTCATCACTTTCAAAAAAGTCTTCGTTGGATTTTGATACAATTTGATTGTCGTTTGTGTCATCGAGTTGAAGCGCCTTTACAAAGCTCTGTTTCATGAAAGCTTCATCAATGGGAATGTAATAATTCATTACTTCTTGAATCTTTCTGTATGTCATAGGATCCTTGGTAAGAATATACTTTGGATTGTTGATGTGTGCACTATCAACTTTGATAGCATACGACTTGGAGAGAATAAATTGTCTATACACTTCAATATTGGAGCATATATCAGCCATTTCTTCAAGGATGAGATCCAAAACTCTTGGATCATCTGGAGCAATTTTCTTGTTGCTTGTGATTGGGCTATCAGAGCGAGGTACAGGAGAGGTAGCTCGTTCTCTTTCTATCTTTTTTGTTGGCATGTTCTTTTTGGAGAGTAATTTGAGAACCTCTGATAATTCTCGTTTTGTCTCGTAATGATCGAGAATCTTTTTGATCATTTTGTCACAAACTTTTTGAAGAGCATTGATGAGGTAAATTGTACATTTTTCTCCACCAAAATTAAGTGACACAAACTCCTCATACTCTTCAATGTATGATACTATGACGTCTAATGTTTGAGTAATAATGTCGATAAAGCTTGTTAATCCTTGCTGTTGTTGTTTTCTAATTGTCATGTATCGTTCCATGTCATCTTCTATCGTGTTAATTTCTATGGGAAGCTCGGATATGTTTTGTAACCCATCGTGCACCACTGAATCAAGCTCTTGTCTTGCCTTGTCTGTCAAATACTCTGTATACAACTCGAGACCTTCTTCTTCTATACAAAGAGGAGCAAACAGTTTTGAAAATCTCTTAATTTGTGATTCATTTTCATCATTAAAAGCCTCTTTCAGCTTCAATACTACAATTTCTTTGATTTTCTTTTCCGAAGATTTAAAGAGAGTATTTCGTCGCTCCTGTTCGTCCTCGCTTTCTTGTTGATCTCCATGTTGCGATTGGCTTAATTGATGGACCAGTTTACTTCGATGTGAATCGTTGTTAATGTGCAAAACTCGGCTCACAAAATCCACTGCCTTCTCATATTCTCCAACTTTAATAGCTTGTTCAACTCCTTCCACACAACTCTTCATTCCGATACTGGCCTCTACTGCATCAATGGCAAGTTGTACTCGTTCTTGAATGGCATGTAATTGTCGAACTTTATGGCTCACTCCTTCCGCTAATTTAAAGGTATTTGAAATGGTTCTTCCCAGCTGTACTGCTCGCTTCTCAATCACCTGCACTTGATTTTGAATATCTGTTAAATTTTCTACTTGTATTGCCAATGCATGCTCATTCTCCGACATGATTTTATTCAAAGCCTCTCGTGATTGAACTTGTTGTTGTTTACTTTCTTCAATGACTTTAAATACTCGTTTTAATAATTCCTCATCTTCATTGGAATTTGAGAGAATATTTGAATATGATTTCATATTGATTTTCTTATTTGAGTCTTGTCCTTGATGATACCGATCGGTAGGATGACCATGGTCATCGGAATTGTTCAGACTTTTTCTATGGTTGTTTGATGATGAGGATGAGGCTCGATCATTTTGTTGCATTTTTTAATAGCACACAACCAACACGTTCTGTTTACACGTCGTCGTTATTGGTGGAGAACGTTTGTTCACCACAAATGGCCATTTGACGATCGTTCCTAGGTTCAATAAGAGTGTGGATTCCAAGAAATGAAAATAGTATGAAAATGTCCTTATGGCGCCTATTTGTCCAATCACACGCATTGCTGTACGATTTTGATTGGGTGTTTCTTTGTAAACCTCACTCAACTCGTTGCAGCAAGGTTTCATTTAGTGAGGAAAGTTGGTGCAAAAAAAATAAACGAACACTTTTCATACAAACCTAAAACATTTTTATTGTTGTGCATACAACAACAGCAAACGAACAAGCACTTGTTGTCGTAACCGCCATGACTTCTCGTTTGGACCGTTTGCTCAATCTGTTGGACAGTGGATCTCTTGCCGTTCGTTCGGCTGCTGCCAAACAGATTGCTGAAGCAACCAAATACCATCAAGCAGAAATTCCTTCCGTGTTGTTTAAAGTTGGTCAGTTACTTCGTTCGCCGAGTTGGGAAACGAGAAGTGCAGCAGGTGAAGCCATCTTTGCCATTGCTCAAACCGTTCCTCTCTACAATCGGGATCGTGTTCTTGACTCCTATTTATACGCTACAGCAGACACATCCAATCAACCACCATCATTTCAAGTCAAGAAGGAAGAAGATGAAGAAAAGAAGAACGCCTACTTCTCCACGCCAAGATACCAAGAAAAAGCGCAGGAAGAAACTCAACTACAACTCGAAAAGTTTTCCTTCCGTTCCTTCGACATTCGTCATGTGCTGCAACACGGTGAGCCCCTCTCGGCCACCAACGTTGTGAATGAAGAACAAAAACTCAAACATTTAAAACCAAAAGAAAGACTCGCTTTCCACAAACGGCAAGTGTATGGTCGACTAGGCTATTTACCAGAGGAGAAGGAACATCTTCTCATCTTTCCAAGTGATTATCAACAACAGCAACAGCAACAACAATCAACATCCGATGAAGTTGAAACCACGGAAAATCAAGAACCCCTAAGTGCTCGAGAACGAAGAGAAAAATTCATTCAAAAGCAAAACATCAAGAAACAACACCAGCAACAAGCGAGTGCCTCTTTTGCTGAAGAACAGCAAGAAATTATGGATGACGTGAGTCGACAAGCGAAAAAAGTGAAAACTCTTGTGACCGAACAACCACAAGCTGAAAATAAGGTCGTGATTGAGAGCACACTCGACATGACGAGTGACATTATTGAATATGAGAGATGGCCTTTTCACTACTTGACAGACAAGCTCTTGGCTGACTTGTTTAACTCTTCGTGGGAGATTCGTCATGGTGCTGCCATTGGATTAAGGGAAATCTTAAAGGTTCCTGAACAAATTCAATCGGCTGGCAAGTCGATATTTTGTACAGAGGATTTATCTGTGGTGAATGCTAGATGGTTGGAAGACTGCTGTATTCGAATATTGTGCCTTTTTGCACTGGATAAATTCACAGATTACCTTTCCGACCAAGTCATTTCTCCAATTCCTGAAACTTGTGCACAAATTCTAGGTTTGATCTTCAAGTACATTAACACGAATGCTGTTAAGAGTATTGTTTCCAATTTGGTGCTTCTGATGGAACCACACAATGAATGGAAAGTCAGGCACAATGCATTGCTAGGAATGAAATATGCAGTTGCACTTCGTTCTCATGAAATTGATGAGCTGTTCCCTATGGTTCTTCCTGCAGTGATTCAATGTTTGTCAGATGAAACTGGATCTTCAAGTATTTTGGCAGAAGATGTGAAAGCTGTAGCTGCTGATTGTTTGGTGCCCATAGCAGAACATGTCATGAAACTGAACACTCAATACGTCACTGGAATATTTAACATTTTGTGGAATTCACTCCTAGAGATGGATGACTTGTCATCATCCACGGCGAGTGTAATGTCACTTTTGGCCAAACTATATTCGATACCGCAAAAATCGAAAATCATTCTTGAGGAAAAGCTTCACATCCTAGTTCCTAGATTATATCCATATATGCGTCATAACATTGTTTCGGTGCGAATTTCAGCGTTAGAAACACTACTCGAGTTGATTCAAGCCACCAATATTGCTCCAAACTCTTGGATTTCGAAAGGAAGCATTCTATCACATCTTGTTGCACTCGTTTTTCAAAACCTCATTCTCGATTCTAAGGAAAGCGTGGTTGAGAAAACTTTAACCGTGTGGCAAGCCATAGTTTCTAAGGTCCCTCAACAATGGTTATGCCCTGTCATTTCAAGGTACATTGGTACATGGTGCTCCCTCATGTCCACTCCTATTGGTCACAATTTTGAGATTACTCTATTCACACTACCAGAAGAAATTTATAACATGTTAACTCAGAATCGATGGTCCTCCTCAATGTCCAATGATACTCTCAAACGAAAACTTGACGGGACTAAACCAGAGAAAGATGAAAGCATGGATGGACAAACATTTTCTATAAGATTGTCAGTTTCAGATTTGGAAGAATTTACACAATTTCGAATGGCAACATCCAAGGCAATTGCTATATTTGCATCCTCAGTGGAAGACCCAAATCATCTCTCAGAATTGATGAACACTTTAGATTTCTTGTTGAAATCAAGCTGGTCCATTCACAAAGAGACTGCAGGATTGGTGTTGCAAAACATGTTCCATTATTCAGAACAACAAGGAAAGAAGCTGACTATCCCAGAGTCCCTCTTTCAGTTACTGCTTCAAATTGTGCAAACAACTGTTTACACATACACGAGTGTGGAAATTCAAAACTATTTCACCAGTTTCGTATCGGAGTGCAACATTCTTTTACATTACTATGCTCGATTTGGATTGGATGTTTCCTCGTTCTACTCCCAGACTGCAGAAGGAATGCCTTCTTTGAACATGTCAGTATCTATTGCTCAAGATCTTACCTCAAGATATTACGAATATTATGCACAAAATCTAGCCGATAATCCTCAATTGCTTCAAGAACTTGATAGTATTGTGAATCGAGTGAGGACAGCTTCAGACACCTATGTCAATAACTGGAATACCATCAAGAATCGAGCTCTCTCCATATTGTCATGTGCTATTATTTTCAATGGAGACATTTCTGCAGGAAAGGAATTATTGAGTCCTCTCATGGTAATTTTACTTCCTTCCATTGAGACACAAGGTTCAAGCATTACCTTGCAACAGCTTTTTTGCAAATCTCTTGCCAAGCTTTTATTTATTTGCAAGGATTTTGCAACTACAAAATCTCCAAATTCAGCAATTACGAAAAAGGTGTTAGAATCTCTTTGCAGGACCATGCCTCAACAGCTTGTTGTTCATAAAGCTCTTGAGAAGGAGAATCAAAAAGAACCTGCCCTGGAAGAGGAATCAGAGAAGCAAAAGAAGGGCAGAAAAAAGAAGGGCGCTGTTAAGGAAGAAGAAATCAGCGAGATCAAGGAGGCAGTCTCCCAAGTTAATGGTCTTTCTTTGAAAGAAGATCCACTACAAATGGCTCAACGAGGAGCAGCCATGACTTTGTGTGAAATCGCCAAGATATTTGAAGATCAACTCTTTGATCAGTTAGAGCCTTTGAGAGTTCAATCTATTGATATTATTTTACAGAAAGTGCATCCATCCACTTTAGCACCAAAAGTAGTACCTTCTGTTCCAAACATAACACCGACGTTGACAGAAGAAAAAGTGATTGTGAATGCCCTTCATGTTTTGAGAACCATTGTCCCTTCTGTAAGCTCAAAAATTTATAATCTACTTATTGAAGCAATGAAAGCAATCATACGAAATTATGTCACTCATCCAGATATTGATATTAGAAAGCATTCAGCCTTGACAATTTCTGAAATTTGTTACCATGTTGAACACGATGCACTTCTTGCCCTTGTACAAGAATTGTTGCCATCACTGGCCAATCCAACCAATGTAGCGTCAAGACGAGGAGCTGCTTTAACTATCTACGCCTTCCTTTCTCGGCTTGAAATGAAATCGCTTCCAGCCGTTGCATTCTTAGCCGTTCCTTTACTAAAAAGAATGAGTGACCAAGATGATGTAACAAGAGAGATTGCTTCCAACTGTTTCGGAACTGTAATCAAATTATTGCCTCTTGAAAAATCATCAACTCCACTCAAAGGCTTAGAGAAACAACTTGAAGAGGAACACAAATTTATTGACCAACTCTTGGACAATACCAAAGTTGAACCGTTCGACATTCCAATCAAGATTAATGCAGAACTTAGACAATATCAAAAAGATGGAGTTTCATGGCTGGCCTTCTTGAACAAATACAATTTACATGGCATTCTTTGTGACGATATGGGCCTTGGAAAGACTTTACAAACCATATGTATGATTAACAGCGATATTCATATGAGAAAGATTCAATATCAGCAAACGAGAAATCCTGAATTTGTTCATTTACCTTCATTGGTGGTTTGTCCTCCAACCTTGTTGGGACATTGGGGCCATGAAATTAACAAATTTTGTCCAGATCTCACCTCACTACAATATATTGGCTCTGTTTCGCAAAGAAGAGCTTGGAGAGCTGAATTTCACAAGTATGACATTGTGATTCTTTCGTATGATGTGTTGAGAAATGATATTAAGGAAATTGTTGCTGCACAAAACAATTGGAATTATTGCATTTTAGACGAAGGACATATTATCAAAAACAAAAAGACTCAAATTACCAAAGCTGTCAAACAAATCAAAGCCAACCATAGACTCATCTTATCTGGTACTCCAATTCAAAACAATGTGTTAGAATTATGGTCACTATTCGACTTTTTAATGCCTGGATTTCTTGGTACTGAGAAGGACTTTAATGCAAAATACAGTAAACCCATTCAATCAAGTAGAGATGCAAAGGCAAACTCAAAAGAACAAGCTGCAGGAACACTTGCCTTACAAAGTTTACACAGACAAGTTTTACCATTTCTCTTGAGAAGAGTGAAAGAGGATGTATTGCATGATCTTCCAGAGAAAATTATTCAGGACTATTATTGTGAACTTTCACCAATTCAATCCAAAATGTATGAATATTTTGCAAAGAAGGAAAAGTCAAAGGTGTCTCAAGAGTTACAAGGACAACAAGAGGAAAAGAAGCCAAAAGACATTTCTGAAAATTCTCATGTTTTCAAAGCACTCAAATATTTGAGAAAGCTTTGTAACCATCCGTGCTTGGTTTTAGAGCCAGATCATCCCATGTATCAATCCGTGACACAAGAAATTAAGCAGCAAGGAATGGAATTGACAGATGTGAATTTATCACCCAAGTTACTTTCTTTGAAACAACTGTTAAATGATTGCGGAATTGGACTTTCTGAAGGTATCACGAACGCACTAGAATCAGGAAGTATGAATCAACACAGAGTGTTAATTTTCTGTCAAATGAAACAAATGTTGGACATTATTCAGAATGAGCTATTTGCCAAGTACATGCCATCGGTCACTTATATGAGGTTGGATGGAGATGTGGAGACCTTGAAACGTCATGAAATTGTTCAAAAATTCAACAGCGATCCAACCATTGATGTACTCTTGTTGACAACAAAAATTGGAGGTCTTGGACTCAATCTCACTGGAGCAGACACTGTGATTTTTGTAGAACACGATTGGAACCCAAGTAATGATTTACAAGCTATGGATAGAGCTCACAGAATTGGCCAAAAAAAGGTTGTGAATGTTTACAGACTCATTACAAAGAACACCCTCGAAGAAAAGATAATGGGCTTACAAAAGTTCAAACTGAACATTTCCAAGAGTGTGATCAACTCTGAAAACAGCAGTCTAGCTTCGATGGACACTGAACAATTAGTGGATTTATTCAATTTTTCTGGAAGCGGAGACGTGTCATCTTCTGGTACACAATTAGAAAAGCCAACGAAAAAGTCTGGTTTGGGTCAAGTCTTGGAGAATATGGAAGAATACGACCAAGAACAACAGTATCAAGGTTTCAATCTTGACAGCTTTGTGAGTTCTGTTTCGAAATAAATGGTTTTGGAACTTGACAACAGTTGGAATTCATCGTGGGCAATATTTATGGCCCTATGCCTGTAACGTTGTGTGCTCACTGATGATTGGGCTTGTCGTTTTCCGCAAGTTTTAAAAAAAAATACTTCATCCTCCGATGGATGATGCACAGAACAATCCTACCATCTGTTGAAACGTTTGAATCAACAAATTCATCATCCTGTTGTATTGATACGGATGATACCTCTCCGACAAATTCCAACAAGATCAATGGACCATTCATTGATGATATTATTTTTGAAATTCTTCATTTCCTTGAATCAATGTTTATTACTCAAGTTTGTATGAAAATTTCAAAACAATGGAGACAAGTATCATTTCAAATTCCTCTCTCATTATCATTTGTAGAAAATCCCCTCAAACAAGTTCGTGAATCAATTTTACTTTTATCTAGTTGTGAACGTTTGAAGAATGTGACTTATTTGAATCTGGATAGTAATGGAATTGGCCGTGAAGATGTTAAATATATTGCTACGAGTGAGTGGTTGAAGAATTTGATTTCTTTGGATCTTGGTAGCAATGAAATTGACAATGAAGGTGTCAAATATATTGCCATGAGCGAATGGTTGAAAAACTTGTCTTCTTTGAATCTGGGTTACAATAGAATTGACAGTGAAGGTGTTAAATATATTGCTATGAGCGAATGGTTGAAGAATTTAATTTCTTTGGGTATAGGTAGCAATAGAATTGGCAATGAAGGCGTCAAATATATTGCTACGAGCGAATGGTTGAAAAACTTGACTTCTTTAGATCTGGCATGCGATGGAATTGACAATGAAGGTGTCAAATATATTGCTACGAGCGAATGTTTGAAGAATTTGACTTCTTTGAATCTGGCTTACAATAGAATTGACAATGAAGGCGTCAAATATATTACTATGAGCGAATGGTTGAAAAACTTGATTTATTTAAATCTGAGACACAATGAAATTGGCAGCGAAAGTGCCAAATATATTGCTGCAAGTGAATCAATGAAGAATTTGACTTCTTTAAGCCTTAGCAACAATAGAATTGACCATGAAGGTGTTAAATATATTGCTACGAGTGAATGGTTGAAGAATTTGATTTATTTAGATCTGACATACAATAGAATCGAGAGTGAAGGTGTCAAATATATTGCCATGAGTGAATGGTTGAAGAATTTGACTTCTTTGAATCTGGGTTACAATAGAATTGAGAGCGAAGGTGTCAAATATATTGCTACGAGTGAATGGTTGAAGAATTTGATTTCTTTAGATCTGACATACAACGAAATTGGCAGTGAAGGTGTCAAATATATTGCTGATAGTGAATGGTTAAAAAACTTGTCTTCTTTGGATCTGGGTAGCAATGAAATTGACAATGAAGGTGTTAAATGTATTGCTACGAGCGAATGGTTGAAGAATTTGACTTCTTTGAATCTGGGTTACAATAGAATTGACAGTGAAGGTGTCAAATATATTGCCACGAGTGAGTGTTTGAAGAATTTGATTTCTTTGGATCTGGCATGCGGTAGAATTGACAGTGAAGGCGTCAAATATATTGCTACAAGTGAATGTTTGAAGAATTTGACTTCTTTGAATCTGGCTTATAATGAAATTGGCAGTGAAGGCGTAAAATATATTGCTGATAGTGAATGGTTGAAAAACTTGTCTTCCTTGGATTTGGGTGGCAATGAAATTGGCAATGAAGGTGTCAAACATATTGCTAATAGTGAATGGTTGAAGAATGTGACCACTGTCTAATTATGCACAAGCTAATACTTCTCTCTTCTTAGTGATGGAAAATGAGTTTAAGGAAAGGTTTTGAATTTGGTCAATTCTGAGAATATTTTACCTCTACTTCTAACACTTCTCTCGTTGCCTTTTGTGATTTGATAATTCGATCAATAGTTTCCTTTGTTTGAAATAAGGATGAAAATGGCATTCCAATAATTTAACTTTGGGGTTTCATTGCCAAACATGGATAAGGCAGGTTGGTTGATATTCTCAACAATATACAGCGAATACCATCTTGATTTATTGAGCATCCAATGTTCAATTTGTAGCTCCGAATAGGACTGTATTTGTTAACGTGATCACTATGTGAAAAAATCAAGAAATCATCGAAAAACCTTCGCATGGTAAATGCTGTAGTATTCGCTCAGAGATTATTTTGAATTATCTTGAATCAACTCGAGAAGATTGAACAATCCATTATGATAATCCACTTAAATATCCACAGAATTGCCAAGTTTCAACATGGAAATATGTATGTTCATATAATGTTGGAAATTGACAACAGTTTACTGTTGAATTTTTTGTGACATTCATCATAGGCAATAATTTGTCCAACCCTACCGACAACCACTGATAATGGTCTGCAAATAATCATTGCCCAGACCTGTCTTATCCATGAGTGACTTGATATTTAAATAGTTTTGTCCAAAATCAAAAGCTTGACCTTTCTCAGAGTGAGATGAGGCATTGACAATAATTTTGTTCATGCTGCTCTCAAAAATTGTGAAATTCAATTGTGCAACATCCTATTCATTCATTCCATAATTTTACATTCAAGTATTCAATAAAAATCATCAATAATTTGTTAATTCATTTGTGGACAATGATATATCACAAATTGTTCCTAAATATTACAGACCCAATTTACCACTTACACCAAACACTTTCGGTCGGTAAAAACATCCAATCGTGTAATTATTACTAAAAGCATACGTCAAATAGTACGGAGGAATTTCTGCCTGTGTCTTAATCTTTCCAAATACATCCATAGCACTCACAGAACTATTTCCTTGTGGTTTTGTAAACTCAAATTGCATGTTACAAAACGCATCCACCACTCCAATATTAATTAAAAGTCCCAACAATAATCCAACAGCCAATAATACACATCCACAAATAAATGAAATCATAATAATGAAACCGATCAATTTTCGGAACCATCGTTTCCGTCTTGATAATTGTCGAGATTGATTTCGTTCCATCAAATGAGAGGATTCACTGGCAGTATCATCCATCGTGTTATTATTTTGAGAAGATCCTCGTGCTAACCCAAATTTTGCATAATAATCTTCACTCTCATTGATGAGATCATCAAAGGAGAAACCTTCTCGTTGTTGATGCGGGAGTAAAGTGATTCGATTTCTGGAATCTCTCATTTTTTTTTTTTTTAATAATCACTGTCCATGCGTTTATTTGTTCGAAAATTCAAACGTTATTCATGGCTGTGTGTGCAATTAGTACAGTTAAAGGTGGTTCATATCATCAAAGTTAGTGTAAATATTGTTGTAAATTTCAATTATTGTTTTTGTCATCAAGGTTAGTGTTAATTTCAAATGTTGTTGTAATTTTCAATTATTATTCATGGTCGTGGGTTTCTGGAATCTCTCATTTTTTTAAAATGTGTGATGAAAGAGAATTTGTGAAAGATTTTTGAGATTTCATTCCCAATGTGGAATGGTTTTGGATCCATGAATTTATCAACCTCTTCTTCAATAAAATAGAAAAAATCCAACGGAAATAATAAAAAGGATGTTTCAGGCAGCCACTCGAGCAAGCACCAAACAGCAATCTGCTGCCCTCCACATCCGGCACACTGAAGAGTGTAAGAGATTGTTTTTGCTGATCAAAGAGATTGCTTGGCTTGCTCACCCATACAAGGAATCTGTTCATAGGTACATGATTTAAAATCTTGTAATAACCCTTACCATGTGGTTTGTAAAAAACTCAACGATTATTATTGTTGAGGAGCATTAAGGTGAAAAATTCCCGCCAGAATTGACCGAACAACATGTCGAAGCGTTTACCAATCATAATATTAATGATACTATCACTGTAGTATAGTTTTGAAGAGGTAGAATTAATCGCTCTCAATATGGTCCTGTAAATCCTTAATTTAAAAGCTTGTAAATTCCAAGTAAATAGGGATCACTGTTCTCTTCATAATTCATGAATGTGGAAGGATCGTCGGAATTTCTTTCATCATGTTGTTGTTGTTGTGGCAGGATCATGTTTTGAACATTGGAAGAGAATGACAAGCGTTGTGCATCATTCGTTGTGGTATTAGTGGTGGTAATTGCCAATTTCGAGCAGCTGAAACAAGTTGCTTAATAAATTTCACTTCCAAGTCCAAGGGCTTGAAACGCGTGAAAATTAGTGCATAACTCACTACCACATTTACTTTCCATCTGAATGATCTCAATCATGGTAGTAGAAATGTATTCTGTCAATTGTTGAATGGTTAAGTCTGAGCGTGAGGCTTGCAATACCTTGTTCAATGATTTGTTGTTTTAAAAAAATATTCATTTCTGAATCTTCTTCTTGTTCCATGTATTGAATGAATTTTTCTCGATTCACAGCTCTTTCTTTGATGATGTGTAATTCATAAAGTTTCTTTAATTGCCCAATCAATGTGTTATAAACAATGGTATGATGCTTGGAAGGAGAACTTTTCAATAAACTTTCATATTTTCTTTCATGACTTTTCAAATAAGGAGAAAGTTTGTTTCCAGAAAATTTCAAATTTTTCAAGATGATTCCATGATTTACAAACAAGTAACATTTGATGAATATCAGACAATGGAAGAAATTCCATAATCAAGAAAACTGAATCCAATGATAATTATTGTTGATTGATCATCACTGCAATGAACTCCAAAATGTTTAAAAAAATCTTTGGGAAAGGTAGCTCAGTTGGGAGAGCACAGACACTCCTGCTGTTGAACTCTGGGTCGCTGGATCGAAACCAGCCCTTTCTCATTTTCTCCTGCGTTCATGTTTTTTAATTGGAAAACAACATAAACGTCATTTGAATCGTTCAAATCCCGATAGTCTTTTCAAACTCAACAGTTGAACGAACATCTCTCAAAAACTTTAAACTTTTAATATAAAATCCATATATATACAATCGAAATTGTGCATCATGAACCTTGTAGTAGAGAATCCTTTCACCCTAAAACTTACAAGTATTTCACGAAATAGTACCGTGTTGGGAGAATGGGAAAAAGTTTTATCATCCTCAAAGTATTTCAGATCAAGAAGGTCAATTCCACGAAAGCGTTGTGCTGTTGCTTTACGATAACAAGTAATCATCTTGAACTCGTCCTTGTCAGCTTTTGGAACGAACCTCGCTTTGTTTCAACATGACCTTTTGAGCTTGTCTTTCTTTTGGTTTTGCATCAATTAATGCCACTTGTCAATGATGTATCCAAACCTTGATCCAAAATACCATGTATCTAAAATCTGAAAAACTTTTTAGGTGCAACTACTTTCGCTCAATCATCCTATTTATCCCTTGCCTTAGTAATCAAAATTGGATCAAATGACTTTAAAACCCTGCAGTTCTTCCGGCATCATTGAAATGGAGAACTCGTCATTTATAAATGAGGCCTATGGATTTCGATGGTCACTTTTTGAAACTAGTATAAAACAGGGAGGGTGAGCCAGATAGAAAAAGCTTCGTAGGCAACCAGCCTATACCCAACCATTCTTGGCGACGTTGACGAACTCAAGTGTCATCACGAAAATAAACATCTCCAACCAAAAAAAATGCCTACAGCAAACAAAACGTTCTGGCAGAAGCTGAGTGATCAACACAACCACAATGCTCCCGATATTCGTTCAACTGCTTCAATAATGCCGTCAGTAAAGAAAAGAGTTTATTTTGAAGATCAACCGTTCATGGTTGAAAATATTACACCAGCTACTAATGTTAGTTATGAAGAGTGCTATTCCGAACTGAAATACGTTTGCAGAGGTATAAATCGGAACAATTATTCTAAATTATTAACAGGAAAACAAATTTATAATTGCGATTATGACATAATTGGCGTTATTCGAGACGAACTCACCTTAGAATCAGCATGTTGTTCAAAATATTGTAGTATTTTTCAAAATCAGTGTCGTCAATGTAGTGAATTGGAAAAACACCTAGTTTCAATCATGGAAAATAGGCATGATATATTTGAAATGCTATTGAAAGGAATTTTACCACAACCCAAGCAATTAATATCATTTCCATTATTGATGTATGAGTTATTGTGTAAACTTGTGCCATTTATACCAGTCAGCCAAGATGAACACAAACTTTTAACAGTGTTTAGAAAAGCTCAAACTTCATACAATGAAGCATTGTCGACACAATACAACAACAAACAAATTACGAACAATGAACACCGTGATACACAAGCTTTGAAGGTTCCAAGGTCAAGCTTTACTCCATTCTTAGAGACATTTTTTGGATCCTTTATATTCAATCAGTTGCAAAATTATGCAAAGAATCCATTTCATCACAAATATTCAGAGGTTGAAAGAAGATATTGGGTTGTGATGAAATATTATTGTGGAAAACAATTTTTCATCAGAATGGGAGGAGAGCGCAATCAAAATATTGAACGGAATAATTTTAATCATTTAAAATATAATCTAATTATACCAAGTTGGAATACTGTTAAACAATGGACACCTGCTGGTTGTTATGGTATGATTCCCGACATCACACTTACCCTAAAGAACATGTTACTGCCTGACTCTTGTAAAGATACATGTATCTCGTTTGATGGAATGAAAGTGTTTAAACATTTTGATGTTTTGGGAGATCAAATTGTTGGAAGTGAAAAATATTGTTACACTGTTGAAGACGTGAAACAATTTGGTGTTAAACATCTAATAGACCAAATGATTTTATTTTCTATTAATGCCATCGATAATTCATGGCATTTACCGCTGGGTTGGTTTGGAGTTAGTTCTGAAACAGACGTACTTGAATTTGTCACTAGCAAAATACTTTATTTCAAAGAGTTGCTCCAAGAATCTGTAACAATTGTGTGTGGATGTTCTGATGCAGAAATTGATGCACATGCTGTGCAAACAATTGTTAGAAAAAAACACAAAGACTTCATTTTCGTCAATGATTACGTTCACAATTTCAAAAATCAACGAAATGTATTATTTAATGGAACAATATTGCACGAGAAAATCTCAATGCAGACCATAATTTATTACATGATACAACATAGGACATTGTATCGATTACTCGACAGAGAAGAAGTTGATCCTACGGATATTATGAATTTGAAATCATGTCTAAATTTAACAGAACGACCTGTATTGCAAGAATTACGTAAAATTGGCACTATAGAGGCAAATAGTGTTGCTGGTTACCTTGAATTAATTCGTGATATTTATGACTGCATTAATGATAACAGTCCGGATATAATTGATATTTTGAGTGAAAGCAAAACAATTTTCGAAAAATTACCCAATTATCCCAAAAAAACGAAGAAAATATGTGTTCACACACTTGAAGGATTTCTTGCATTAGCGTCTCGGTTTCCAAATTTCAAACCCAGTTGCATTACAACAAATTATGAAGAGCTACTCTTTTCAATAATTCGAGGAATGTTTCCCAAGCCAACAACCAAACAATTTTGCCAAAGCGCACTATTTTCATTCTATATATTTTTAATATTACATTCCACTGACGATGTTCGTGGGTTCTCACTCCCAGATATTCCATTAACTGATCATTATTTTGGTATGAAATTGGTTATCAAGATTTTACCAACTCTTCCTGGTCGAATTGTACTTGATAGAAATGTCAAGAAAAAAACTTGCAAAGAATTACAAATTATTAATCAAAACGTAGCCACTTACTCAAGAAAAACTACGTTGAGGGCTGAAGTGTGTGCTCCTAAATGTATATATTTATGCTGCCCTGTTTCTGGATGTAAAAAACAAAAACCATATATTATCAAAGGGTCTTTTACAAATCATTTGAAAGCTAAACATCAATTTTCAGACGAAGAAGCAGAAGCAACAGTTGCTCAATTAGAATGTTTGCAATTTTCTGCTCAATTAGAAAAAGATGTTGCTTTTAGGAAACAAAGTTGCAAAAACAATGAGAATATTATTGTACAACACAAACCACCTTACCTGATTTCAAAATTCAAAAACAGGTTGACTATTCAATATAATTTTGCACCTCTTAAATCAATTCCCACGCCTCACTGTATCAATCAAGAGACAAGACGACCATTGAACTTCTTTGTGCTAGATTTAGAAACAACAGGATTTTCTCCAAAATGCAATTCCATAATTCAATTTGCAATGTTATCATTATTTAGTAATGAATTACATTCCATATTTGTATCCCCTAGTGGTGTGTGGAGTTCTATTGCATTACAAATGCACGAAACTAAATTTCAGATTTTGGATGAAAGTGAAACATTGCAAAACATGATTCCTAAAATTTGTAATTATTTGACTAGGAATGACACTGCTGATGTGATGTTGTTGGTTCATTCAACTGGTTTGGACAAGGCTTTCTTTAGTGCTGCAATTGCACCACTTAAACTCCGATCAACAATTTACTATTGTTCTACTATGCAAAAAAACTTGCTTGGAAAAAAGGGATTAGAAAACCACTTTAGAGAAAAAGTATGTGGCTCTCTTCCCGGAATAGCACATAATGCCGTTGTGGATGTGCTTATGTTGTATGATTTGCTGTTGTCGAAGTTTGGGAACGATCAAGAAATTGTGAAGGCCATCGGAAAAGCAGAATGTACAACAATAGACGACTAGGAATTCCACTGATGGTTTGTTCAGTTCGATGAATTGTTTTCTCTGTTTCCTACTCTGGTTTGCGTGTTGTTTTGTTGAAGTGAAGAAACTTGCTGATGTGGTTGTGTTGATCACTCAGCTTCTGCCAGAACGTTTTGTTTGCTGTAGGCATTTTTTTTGGTTGGAGATGTTTATTTTCGTGATGACACTTGAGTTCGTCAACGTCGCCAAGAATGGTTGGGTATAGGCTGGTTGCCTACGAAGCTTTTTCTATCTGGCTCACCCTCCCTGACAATAACAGCTGCCAAATGTCATCAACACAGATGGATCACGTCCAACCTTCTTCTCATTCAACCACGAAGAGAATCACATACAAATTCCATTCATCCAACATGACGCCTTCGATGAATACTCCATCATCAAATGCTCAACCATACATGTTCAACTTTAAATCATCCCTGCCAAACATCATGTCTTCACCAATCGAAGGCATCCGAAAAAAGAAAAAAGACCAGTTTCAATACGCTTCTCCTACATCGAGCACAACAACATCAGTGGTTTCGTCGTCTTCTTCTTCTCCTTTGCAAAAGTCAAACGTAAAGGATACTTCGAAAGGAAATTTGACAGCTGGCAATACAACAAGAGAATGTTTATTCTACGTTCAGACATGTCAAACAGATACGCGAGGTAAATTGATTGTGAAGAGAAATAGAGAACCCTCTTCATCGATGAAAGGTCGAAGAAGAAGTCCTCCTCTTACAAATGTCAATCTGCCAAATGTCAACTTTTCTTCTCCTGTGAGCCAGGAAAACTCAACCCAACTACAGAAACCACAAACTCTCTCGACTTCTACTGTCTCCACTGCTCCTCTCAATTACGTTCCTGACTACTCAAATTTTGTCAATTCTTTCAAAATTGACAATCGACAGCCATCCCCTTCGAATGTCAATTACCAACACCACTCGATGCAACAAAACCAGTTGCTTCAAGAAGAACTCAAATTACTGCCCTCTGTTCGAGAACTTTTGAATCAGAGCGCATCCATGACAAGTGCCAGCTGTCATCAACAAAACAGCCACACAGCCATGTTGCCTTGCGTGAACGACTTAATTTCACACGGTTTCCAATTCACTCAATCTTCCTCGATATTCACGTTGTGAATCACAGTTGTACAAGATTCTTGGAAATAAATTTGTCTCATTGTTGATGAGAAATTTCAAGACGTCATGACCTTTTTTAGTATTGTACAATTTTAGTCTATCCAGAATATCTTTTGAACTAAGAATCGATGGCTTCGATGCAACACACACATTTTATTTACACGCTCCTTGACTATTGGATCTTGTCAAAAAAGCACCAAATTCCATCGATCGACTTGTTTTCAACGTATGAGATTGATTGTTTTGATTGTTTTGAATGGCAGATTGCTTATTCAAAATAAATCCAGCTCGCAATTTGGTTTCAATATCGTATCCAATACTTTTAAGTTTTTCATCGTACACTCCTCCAAAAAGTAACTTTTTCTGATTATTATTTAACACACAATTATTTTCATGAGCACCACTCGAGTGGTCAATATTAATACTTGTCGCATTTCTTGTATGTTTGTTATTTCCGTGATTACTCAAATTATACCACAAGCAAATAGTGACATCTCTCAAAACAATGATCGAAAAATTAGATCCTCTCTCATTGAGGCAATGAAAAACATTTGGAGTCGTTTGATGTGAAGAGTTTGGAGAAAATGCAAGACTTAAATCCATTGAAGTTGTTGACGTGATGGAACTTCTTGAAATGTAATGCATGGAGGTTGGTCTTCTACTTTTTGTTCCTTTTGGTGTTGAAACGGACAGAGATCCACTTGTGACATCCATCGTTGGTGTTGAAATATTTTCAAATTCTGATAACTCTTCAACAAGCTTTGCAAATGCAATCGAACTTGTTTTAAAATCAACAATTAAATTAGTGAGATATGAAATGCAATTTTCCTCAATTTCGTTAAACGTATTTGGTGTCGCACATGAGAGCTCTTTTCTTTTTGGAGATTTTTTCATGGAAGATCGTCGTGATTTGGGTGATTTTGGTGTTTCTGCTGTGGAAGGAGCTGTCGAAGATGAATCTGTGCTTTTTCGTGTAATTGTTAAGGTCAATGCTTCTCGATCCAGTAGTGAGCTATTGGTACGTCCATTCATCATTGAAGTTGGTTGTTGTTGTTTTTGGGTGGTGGTGGTGTCTCTATTACTTGAATCGTTTTGTGCAGCTGTTGCTCTGAAACCGTTGGAGGAGGAGGAGGAGAGGATGACAATGAAGTCGTAGTGGTCGTTGTTGAATTATTTCCATGTTGACTACCATTCGCTTCAGAATGTTCATCAGCATTGGAACAAGTACTGGAACAACTTGCTCGATGCACGACAATATCAGCCATAGGAAGAGATTTCACAGGAGAAATTGGGGATGAAGACAGAGGAGAAATTGTGATCGTATCCGAATGGTTGGTTTTGAATTGAGGAGGGAGTTGTGGTGAGTGGCGAGGAGGTGACGATGAATTTTCATTATTGGTGACATTCGAATTCATATCCATTGAAGAAGTAGCTTTCTTTTTACGTCGACCAATGGACGAGAAAAATTCTTTAACCTTAGATGACATGGTGGAAGGTGTCTTCTTCTTTTCTGGAGTTTTCAAAGTGGAATTACTTGTGTGAATATCTAATGGAGAAGTTGGAGAAATTCCAGAATTTGGTATTGAACTAGAGCTATTTACAGAAGTAGTGGAATGAGAAGTTGGTTTGGAAATGACAATGGGAGGAGAGGAAGAAGCATTCACTGTCGTTGTTTCGACTGTGGTAGCTCGTCTTTGTGTGGAAAATGGAACTGGTTTGAGATCAATAATGTCCAAAGATGATGTTGGATGACAATCCGTTTCTGTGTATCGTCTTCCTTCGAGTGCACTTGTTGGGTTAGTAAAAGCCTCAACTTCGCTCGAAACAGATTCTCTTCCAAGTTTTTCATTGGCCAAACTTGAAATATCGATCGAAGTTGAACTATTTTTCAATTTGTATTGTTCTCCCTTAATGTATTGTTTTCCGAAAAAAGAAAAACTATTTCTCGTAGATCTTCGTGTGGAATTTCGAGGAGATTGACGTGGTACTCGGATGGATGAGAAGGTCATTGTCGTTCCAATAGAAACATTAGAATTATTCTTTTCGGATCCAAATGTGAATGATTTGCTTAATTTTGATGATTTTGAAAAATTTCCAGAATGATTATGACTCAACATGTCCACGAGTTGATGGTGTGAAAGTGTACTATCCATCATTCCAATTTCCTGAATAACTTCGGCATTTAAATTAAAAACACTAGAAATATCTCCATAGTTTGGGAGACTAACTCTTGGAAGAAATTGTTGAAATTCCTTCTTATTCAAACTACTAATGGTATGATGATGTTTGTAAATTTTCCCAGTCGAAAGGAATGAAGAGTTTTCAATGGCTGAAATGGTCGTGTCAGAAGGTTTTCCTTGTGACATGGCATCTATCTCGTCATGAGAAGCAGGATTGACAAGTGACGGTGTCACACTTGATGTGTCAATCGAAGAAGTACTTGACGAAAAGCTTTGTTCTTTACGAATAGACAATTGTTGTTCCAATAATGGTTTATCTTCTTGATGCACAGGATGATTATAGTATGTGGACCATCGATGATGTTGCATTCTCAATCGTGGTGACACAATAATCGAAGGAGATTCAGTTGTTGATTGAGTATTGATCATGGATTTATCCAAAGCACTCGAAACAATGAGATCATTTTGTTGTAATCGTGTGGAATATTTCACCAATCGAGGATCAATGAAAATCATTTCATTGGTCACATTCGACAAGATGCACAACTCGACACCACCACTTCTCATGGCAAATAATGAATGATAATTTTCACTATTTCGAAATGATGACTGTGTAGGAGTAGAGGGTGGTTGTTTGATTTTTGGTGGAGGAGGAGGCATTGCCATTCGATCTTCTTCGGCATTCTTGGTGGTGACTATAACGGAAGGACTGTTGTTCATCATGTGGTGAGTGGTTGGATCAAAATCTTTCATGTTTGTAGTTGATATTGGACTCGAAAAATTGATTTCCTGTGATAATGAGGACTGACGAGATAATTCTCGTCGATGATGATGATGCATCATGGAATTTACATGGTCTTCCGGTGTGGTGCCACTTGTCAATGATGATGGTTGATTTTTTGAACTATTGATACTAGATGTAGAATTAGAGTGACTCGACGAAGGTGATTTTAACTGAATCGGTGAAGACAGAGTATTGGAATTGGAGGTTGTATTTTCTTGTTGTTCTTGATGATACAAACAAGATGATAATCCGAATAATTCATTAAATTCCGAATAATGATGTTGCAAGAGTTGAAAAACGAGTTCGTTGGTGAGAGAACGATGTTGTGGTGCAATGTGGACGTTAGCAAGGGAATCTCCTTGTATCCACAACGAAGAAGGCTGTTTGTTTTTGCAGCTTGTCCCGCTCATTTTTTTTCATGTTGACATTTGGCAGGTCTTTCAATTTTTGGCATGTGGATATCAAAGATTCAATTTATACAGGACTAATTGCTTTTGAAACAATACCAGGCAGAACAAGCTCATTATAACCAATGGAAATTCACAATACAATTACATCTATTTGGTTTCGGATGGTTCACTTGCATTTTCAATGACCTTCTCACTTGACAAATTCTGGGACAGTTGCTCGCTAAAATGCTGAGGTAACCAATCTGGAATTTTCACATTTCCTTGAGTTTGTAAACCTTCCATTAATGGTGCAAAAGATTGAACCATTTTCAAGATAGGTTGCATGGTGTCACTATTCTTTTGAGAATCACCTGATGTGTTCCAAATATTAATCTTTGGATTAAGGCCTCGTACTGCTTCAGCACTTTGTTTGGCCAATTCTGGATACAAGTTTGCATTGAGTGCAAGATAGAATTGAGTGAGAGCAGGATGACGTCCACACGATTCGTAAATCATTCGAAGACCATTAGCTTGAGCTTGAAGTGTGAGCTCAATGGCTTCTGCTTTCTTCTTCTCGCTGTAGTATACAGCATCAGCATTTCTTTCAATGGCTTCTGCTTCGACGATGGCTTTTGCTAAGGATTCACTTCTCATGAATTCAATTTGTTGTTCCTATGAGTGAAATTATGAACAAGCCCAAATATGTGAAATTGGTGGTTACAAATCATTTAAGCCAATATTAAGTCAAGACCATATTGTGCAATGAAAAACACCTACCTTGAGTTTAGTGTTGACTTCTCGTTGTAAAATAGCAGAACGTTCTTTAGCTGCCATTTCGGCCTCAATTTTTGCAATTTCACTCTTCTTAAAGTTTTCAGATCGAATCACTTCGAGCTGAGCGTTGGAAATTTCAATGGTCTTGAGATTTTCATTTTCAGCAAGTTTGGCTTCTTGTTCCAATTGAGCTTTTTTGATACGAGTGTCTCGACGATTGGCCTCAACAGCAATTTCACCATCTCTTCGGGCCTCACTGACATCAGCTTGAGCTTGATAGTTGGCCTTTTCAATGGCTCGTTGTTTTCTATACTCGAAATATTTGTTTCTCTCTGGTGATGCAATTGTTCAGCAATTCATAATATATCCACAGAGTTGAAAAATTTCATTGTACAAAAAAATTTGTCACAGTCTTCACACTTACCGTCATAATCTGACATTTCCTTAATGTTGGCATTATAAATGGTCATACCCAACATGTTCAAATCCTTCTCAATATTTGTTACGACCTCTTCTCTGAATCTTTCCTTTGAGTTGAACATTTCCTCAATGGTCAACTTGGCAGTCAAACCTCTAGTTTCTCCTTCCACAATACCTGCAATAAGATTTTCAATATCTTTTTGAGAAGATTCTGTTACTTTTGAGCAATAGGTAACAAATCCATCTGAATCCTTTATAAAGTCAATGGGACCAATTGTAAAAGTGACTGGAAGTTTAAATTCAACTTTTTCCTTGCTCATGTTATGCAAATTGAACTAATTGTTTCATCATGTTGATATATCATTTCAACGTTGTTGAAAATAATCAAAACATGTTGAACTAGGATATGCATTCATTGGAATAATCCAAAACTTACTGTGAATGTTTTTGGATTAATGCTCACAAATGTTCCTTTCTGACCTGGCCAAATAACACCCTTCTTGGAAACCACAATATTCTTGATACCTAAACCAGTACGAACGAGATATTCATTCGGAGCACAGACTTTATATCTGGTGATGGCAAATCCCAATATTGCCAAACCAATGGATCCGATAATGATAGTGGAAGCCTTCTTTTTACCTCCTGAGGAAGTATTTGCTCCCGATGATGAAGCTGGATCAGAATTAGCCAATGATTGTTGTTGCTGATCGGAGGAGCTCATGGTTTGTTGAGAGGATGATGACGACGACGATTTGAATTGATCGAGTAATCCCATTTCTGTGAATTTTTTTTTATGGAGAGCTTGTTGTCGTGAACTTGGAATGAAAATAAATTGATTTTGTTGTGGATGATCTGTCAAAATTGATTGGAACTAAATCAACAATATTTTGTAATAAGGAATGTCAAATGGAACTATGGACCAGCAAGTGTTCCATGATATATTCTTGTATCTTGATTGGCATTAGAGAGTTTTGGACACCTTATGCATCCGTTGGTCGAAGATGTCACTGTTGCTAGCGTTGTGATGATTGTCCCTCTTTTTGAATGTAATATTATTTCATTGTTTGTCCTCTGCTTTTTTCCATTTTTTGAGTGCTTGAGGTAATTTTGAGTATAAATACTCTCTGACATCATCATCTGTTGGTATCATCTTATTGTCCCACAGGCATAAATCTGTTAAATTTCGAAGGTTTTCTACAATAGCAATTGCACCTTTAAAACCAATTCGGTTTCTTTCTACATTCAAAAATGTCAAATCTTGAAGATATGGACTGTTACTCACAGCAATAGCTGCTTCATTTTCAATTTCATTATGAGCCAAGTTAAGGTGGGTAAGACGTGCCATGTAGGCACAGTTGGCCAATGCAATGGTTGCAAATGAACCAATTTCGCAGTGTTCTAGATTGAGAAATCTCAAACTCTTCATATTTTCACTATTTGCGATAGCAATTCCTCCCTCGCTTCCAATGTTGTTGTAACTGAGATCTAAGCGTGTTAAATTTTTCAAGAATTTGCTTGTACATAGAGTAATAATGGCTGGCGTTTCAATGTCATTCGCAGACAACTCTAACTCTCGTAAGTTGCTCATATATTCACTATGGGATATGGAAATAAGGCCATCAGACACTAGATTATTGTTCAACCGTAAAATTTTCAAATTTCTCATGATCGAGCTGTTAGCAATAAATTGAACTCCTTTTTTCAACAAATCGCACATGTCCATGTGTAGCTCGGTTAAGTTGGAAAAATTCTGACTTGTTGTAATGGAAATAATCCCGTCAACCTTAATACTTGTGTCGTTTATCATTAAAGTTCTCAAATTCTTGAGGTACGGACTCTCGGCCAGATATTTTACACCACTCTCTGGCTCATTACAACAAGTTAGGTCTAATCTAGTAAGGTTTCTCAAGTTAGGGCTTGTGGCAATTAATCTGATTTCCTTCTGTCCGATATCACTGCACGAAAGGCCCAAATCTGTTAGATTACAAGAAGAGCTCTCAGCAATAGCTTTTATCCCATTTTCAGAGATAGTTAGACATTCTATCACCAATTGTTTCAGATTTTTTGCTAACTCACTCGACAACAGTAGCTCAATATCCTCGCTTTCGACTTCAGTTTCTGAAAATGTGAGAGATGTCAAGTTGTTATTGATCCATTTGTTGTCACGAATGGTTTTAATGGCTCTCCTATCAACTCCACAACCAATGAATGCCAATTTCTTAAGCTGGTTCATGTTTGCGCTTGATGCAAGAATTTGTATGCCGAAAGCGGTGATGTTTTCCACCTGCAATTCAGTAAGATTGCTCATATACTTGCTTGTAGCAAGAGATACAATGCTTTCGTGTGGAGAGCAGCCTGGATTTAGGTTGAAATTTAGACGTCGTAAATTGTTCATGGCATCGCTATTCGCTATGAGTTCCAATGTTTTTGGTTTGATTTTAACTGCTGGAAGTAAATCAAGTCCGGTTATGTTAATCTTATTTTGATTTGACGTGAGTTGCTGCAACACTGAATGAATCGACTTGTTGCAAAGCTTGTTCATGAATTTGATCGATATTGGAACTCTTAAGCCATTAGAGAACCATTGTTTGGAAACTCTCATGCAATTTTTTAGAATAGTTAGATAGTCAAGAAAGCTCAATATTTGGTAAATCATGTCATCTCCGAGCTCGTAAATTCTTGAAACATTTAGGCATCGTTGATGGAGTTTTTTCTTTTTGCAAGCTGCCTCCATCGGCTCATCGTCATAGGATTGTTCAATAAAATTGTCTACCTCTGATTCAACATCTAATTTTCTCTTACACGAATTGTTGCTTTCTTCGGGGACCATGTTGCCATTATTAAAACATTGCTCGTAAATTAATTTCTCGTTTGGCTCGGAAACATCAATGTTGTTGTTCCTGATGTTATTATCATCCACGTGGAATGTCACTACCTCCATTATATCGGCGAAAAGTGCATCATTGCAGAGTGGCATTTTTTTTGTGGATCCTTGCTAAGCATCTTGGTTGTGATTCTACTTGTGAAGAGTTGTGAACATCATTACTAAATTGGAGATTCTGAAGTAACATCCTTCTAATACAGTTGTTCCAATTGATAAATGACATTAATGTTGCGTCTTTCTTGTAATCCCGTGTAGTCCAATGGTTAGGATACCTGGCTTTCACCCAGGAGGTCCGGGTTCGATTCCCGGCATGGGAGCTATATTTTGTCTTTTGATAAACAAAAAAACCGCCAAACAATTACAAACCGCCAAACAAAAAAAATGACCTTTTCATTTCCTCAAAGCAGAGAGGATTTCATGTTATTGGTACAGCAAGTGGCCAAAGAGGATGTGAAGAGGTGCTTGGCCGGCATTCCAGTCACACATCCTCATCTTGCCAAGCTCATGATGGCTCCTCATGATTCGAATTGTATTTCCGAAACCAAAGAGGAAGAAGAACAATTTTTTCATGACTATCGGAATCATCAACAGCTGTTGAATGACAACAATCAGATACGGAGTATGAATCATGAAACTGGAACATTACCAACGAGCGACAACAACGTAACAATAACGAAATCCATTATTAATAACAACACCATTCAAGATGCTGTCGCTGAGTCTTCAAAACAACAACAACCGTCCACGAATGCAAATAGACCTTCACAAACCGTCAGTACACGTAAATTACCAGAAAAACCTAAAGAGATCAGAAAACCTCTCGTAGAGCGTCAAACGAACAACTTTAAACCTCAACAGACAAACAATTCTTCAGTACCTGCTTCTCCAAAGAACATTTCACCCAAACAAACAAGCCCTAGCAGTAACGGAAGAAATGAAGTTTATGAAAGATTATTGAAACCAACCGTGTCAACTCAGAAAAAGTTTGAGAAGGAAACGAAACCACAAAAGAAGGAAGAAAAAGAATTTAGAGAATTGAGGAAAGAACAAAAAAAGGCCACCTCCCTGCTATTAAGGAAAAAGCCATCGCCCAAGAAATTATCCCCAAAAACATCTCCAAAGAAGAATGTTTCATTTTCGGAAGCGTTATCTCAAGTCCAATATAAAGATGGTTTTGAACACGATAAGGAGAATATTAACAATGAATCGTTGGAATTGTCACAACAGGGTGAGGAAAAGCTCAACAAGGTAAACCCATCAAATATGCCACCTTCTCCTCCTTCAACTCCATCTAACACTTCGACTAATCCACCATCCCCAAAGAGTGTCATTCAAGCACGGCCTCACACCACCGCAAACAAAACCCCAATTCTTGAAACTCCCTGTTCACTTGAACGGACGAAAATAGAAACAGACCAATTTTCGAAAACCAATGAAGTAACACAAGCTAGTCCCGTTCAGATTGTGAAAACCCAAGTAGAAATTGGTCAAAATTGTAAAGCAACAGATCATGCAAATGCAATCCAGGCAACCTCTCAAAAAGCGACTCAAGAGAAAAATAACTTTAATTATGAACATTTGGAAGAAATGCTTTTAAACGACCTATTATTAGAAATTGCAAAAGAAGAGCAAAGCAACAGGAAAGAAATGAAACGTCAGCATTTCAATTTGATGCAGGGAAAGGCCAGGCAAAACAGACAATTTGATGAAATGTTGAACTTGTTAAAAGAAATGGAGCAGCAAGAGCACTCGATTCGACGACGATACCAGAACAAAACGTATTTGGATTCGAGCTCTGAAATTTCTTCTGTAACAAGCAGTGTTGACTCCTCATCAACGGCAACAACAGACTCCACACTGAGCCGAGGCGCTTTATTAGACGAACACATCAAATCCAAAATTAGAAAGGCAAGACAGAAGCAAAAACATTATTTTGATACATACTGTAAACCATATGATATTACAGTTGACACCTTAATGCAAGTGTAAGTTGTTTTGAACAGATAGTGTAGACATGACCTTGACGTGTTTGTAGTATTGGAGAAGATATTATCAATGAGGTGTTTTGTGAAGTGTGTAACGAATTTTCGGAGGCCATGTCAGATATTGTGAAAACTGTGTCCGCCAACGAGTTTGGATGTTGCAACGAAAGTATGATAACATCATCTGAACTTGTATCAATTCAAAACGAAAGTGGTATTTCATTGCAGATGTATGATTGAATAAAGGATAGAACTGGAGCACTTCCATGTGCAACAAGATGGATGGTTCAAAGGTTCAAACTCCCAATTGCTCTTTTGATGCTGTGTAGATCCCAATTATCGTACACAGTGACATTAGTCTCAAGTGGGGGTTATAGCTCAGTTGGTAGAGCGTGTGCTTTGCATGCACAAGGTCCAGGGTTCGATTCCCTGTGACTCCAATTTTTTGAATTTGTTCTCGTTGCAATTTTATTATTGATTTGTTCAAACACTTCTCAAAAGTGAAAGCACCAGCGACGAAAGGAAGCGTGAATGCAATTTCATTAAATAACCAGGACTCTATCTTCTCAGATCTAATAAGTTCCATTTGGACAATATTGCTTATATTTTTACCCGATTTTCATGGAAAGAGCTCATTCCAAGACAACACCTTCCATTCAAGAGTATTGTCCATTAACACTGTGTTGATTGAAAGAACCTTTCACACAAAAAAAACAAAATGTCCAAGCGCATCTTGTTGGTTGTGGCTGTCTTTGCAAGCACCATTCTCTGCACCACCTTCCTCTCGTCTCCATTCTTCTATGTGCACTCTCAACCATTCATTTCAGTGTCCAAAGATTTTACTGCTGCTTTTGATGCTGCCGTTCAAGAACTCATTACCGACTCGGCATGGGTCAGTTATTATTCAGAAAATATGTTTTTTGGAGTTCCCACGTGCTCATTGACAAAACCAACGTGGCCAGTCAAAGACCCATTCGCTTCTCGTACCAATTCGTCGAGGATTGTCACTTGTTTTGAAATTGGAACACTCTCTCCATGTAAGTTTTTCAAAATGAAATTTGTGTGAAAAGGAGATTGTGTTCACAAAATCATGGAAATTTCACATCACTTATTTAATTATTACAAAGGGTTGGAAACAAAAACAAAATTGGCCAATAATATTGTCGATAAAATCAATGCTCACTACAAGACCAATTATATAAATGAAATTAAAAGATATAACACTTCATTGTTGGGATTCTTTGACACCATGAAGAATGCTTTGGCTACTGGAGATTGTGATATTGTTACTGCTAACACAAGACCATCGACTGAACGAGCAAAAGTGGTTCACTTTCAATGTGATTTTGGATTTGCCTCAAATGTAAGTTGAGTTCGAGTCGCTGTCAATTGTCAAATTGAACTTCATGCTGTTCGAATCTTGGCATTTTCGTGAATGTTAAAATTTCAATAACACACTTTAGGGATGGATTCGATCTGCAAAGGATCCTCAACTAGTCATGAAAGATGTTTACGATTTGAATAAGACTGGAATTCTTGTCGGTGGTAAGTACATGCCAAAGGTTTCACATTTCCTTAAATAGATTTAATCATTGGAATATTTTCCGGATACAAATGATTATTATTTTCAAAAGCCTACGACGGAACCAATTTTGCAACCTTTGTCAAGACACAACTGTCAGCTGCCACCTATGTTCCATTCTTTGCCGTCAATCTTCAATACGGAGCTGTGTTAAATCAAACCGTTCATGCCTTGATTGGAGATGCCATTCAATTCAATTATTGGAAAAAACAAAATCAAGATTGTGGCTGTACTGTTCAAGCATATGATGTTTCTTTTGGATTGGCAACTTTTACTTATGGAAATATCACAGAGACAAGTGTTGCATTAGGAATTAGACATTTCCAATCTCATTGGATCATGATGGTCATGGTCAGTAGTGTTTGGATGGTCATGAATGTGTGGTTGTAAAAATTGTTTTGTAATTAACCAATATTTACAATTAAATGCAACCTTTTGAATATTGAATATTGAATTTGATTTTTAGTTCCAACATTTCAGAAATAACTTTTCTTGTAAAAAAAAATGATTGCAAATGATCGTGAGAAAGGAGATTCTGTCGATAAAGTTCATCACAGTGATGATGATCAATCAACAATAATAACATCGGAATTATCATTGGATTCAGTTTTCTTGATTATGGAATTTCTTCCATTGTCTGATATTCATCAAATGTTACTTGTTTGTAAATCATGGAATCGTCTTGAAAAATTTGAAATTTTCTGGAAACAAATTCTTTCTCATTATTTGAAAAGTCATGAAAGAAAATATGAAAGTTTATTGAAAAGTTCTCCTTCCAAGCATCATACCATTGTTTATAACACATTGATTGGACAATTAAAGAAATTTTATGAATTACACATCATCAAAGAAAGAGCTGTGAATCGAGAAAAATTCATTCAATACATGGAACAAGAAGAAGATTCAGAAAGATCCATCACATTTGGTGCTCGCTTTAAAAAATTATTCATTTCGGCCATTCTTGCACACTTTAATTTGAAATTCTCTCGAACTTGGAATATTATTTCGAATCAGAAATTTCACTATCATTTAGAAAAATGGTTGTTGAGTATTTGTAATATTGGTGAGAATAGCACTTACAGATCTGGAACTGTTTGTGATTTGTTATTTGAGACATTGGATCACATCATCAAAAAGCCTAAAGATGGTTTTCTTTTTCAGTCCTTCAGAACCAATCAACTCATTGAATTGACATCTTTTATATTCTGTGAATTACAAAAGAACTCGCAACAATGCAAGTTTGATCTCAAAATCTTCTTGGAAAAGTTCAATCCAATAATCACAGAATCACATTTACTTGGCTATTTTACATTCATGCTCTCACCAAACACTCAACTCTATTTCACAGAATACGTGAAACAACCTGGTAATTTTATAATTTCCAATGACCATACCATCACTCAGGAATTGCAAATACGCTCAATTTTCGAAAAGTTGGTGTACCATTGTTTTCATAACGCGAACTTGGAACCGTTGAGATTAGCTAAAACATTATTTTGTGAATTGAATAAGTTGAAGGCATGGCTAAATTTCATAACATCTTTCCATTCCTCTCAACTCATTCACTGTGATATTCTTTGTTCGTACCAAGTATATACCACTAATTATGAATTATATTGTTGCACAGTAATGGAATTCTTGGAAATAATGGAAATTGAACATTTAGATGTTACTCAGTATCAATTTTGCTTTTTGGTATCAAATCTTCGTTTTATAGATCTGTGTGAAGACTATTTCCTTCCAAGACATCTTCTTAACAGTGAAGATATGAAATACTTATTTCATGCACATGGACAGGACAAACCACACGTTGCCAAATACATTTTGAAGAAATTCGACGTTGATATTTATGGTACTTCATTGTTCAGAAACGGAAGTAGTGGAAATATGATTCTCAATTATTTTCAATTTCATTATTCCATAAGTCCAAGTCCTTCCCAAAGTTTTGGATATTTATTCACTCCTGAATTTGGATATGAAACCATTGATCTCAACAAGTTATTACAAACTTCCACCATGACCATGCAAGATTTGAAATTAACAATTCGTCATACCATGCTTAATCTCCTTTCATATGAAGACATCGATGAGAGTTATGAATTAATTTTCACTCGTTTCAAGCCATTGGACTTGGGAGCGCATTTCATTGTGCAACTCATTTCAACCATTCGTAATACTTTGGATTGGACATTGATCGAGAACGGTTCACAAAAAGCAAAAGCCATTCAACTGGCCATGGATCATATTTTCGTCACCACCACCATCACCACTACAACAACAACGAATAAGGAACAGAAAATGTCATTTTCTTCCTATTCTCAATCCATCATGCAACCAAGTATTGTGAAAGAAATGATTCATGATCCATCACGTTTTATGAATTTTGATGACACGAGTGAGCAATATCATGTTGGACTGTATTTACACGCTTTACAATGCATTAAGGATTTGACTGAGCATGCTTTTAAAGGTCAATCTTCTCGTTGACATATTTGTTTTCTACAAACTTTCAGAAATGAACAAACATTAACCAAGTACCGAGTTCCTTTTGTGACGTCACAAAAAAATGTCAAAAGATCATTCCCAAACGAACCATCTCAATAATTTCATTCAAACGAATTTTGAGAGCTCTGGTGAATTCATAATCACTCAACCCACCTCCGAGAATGATATTAAAATTATTCAGTCGGAGAATAACTTGTACAATTACATTCCGATCTATGGAATGGAAAAACAACACAATGATGATCCAGCTAGATTTGTAAGATTTGTTGTGTTGAGCGATACTCATCTATTTCATGATCGTTATAATTATTGGTATGATGAGGAAGATGGTGAAATGAATAATGAACGTTTGGAAAATGGTTTAAAACGAAGAGATAGTTTTGAAAAAAAGGCAAACGAAAATACCAAAAGTGAAGATCAATTGATAAAGTTACCGAAAGGAGATTATTTGATACATTGTGGAGACTTTTCAAATTTTTGTTTACCGAGTAAGTGTTTCAAGGAAATTCTCCAATGAAGAATTTGTAATTCATTGTTAAAGATGAAATTATAAAATTTAATAATTTTCTTGGAAAGATTAAGCATCGCTACAAAGCGATCATTGTCATTCCTGGAAATGTAAGTGACTATAATATTTGCAATACTTATTACTAACTCTTGTTACTCTTTTATTGAAAACTTTAGCATGAATTTGTAAGTACATGATGATGACGAGAATACTCAAATTTTGTTGTCATGACCACATTCAATCCATGAATAATATTATTGATGACAGTACGCCGACTTTGCAGGCCTCCTTCTCACCAATGTGACTCATTATTTAAAGAATGATTTTCTTGAACTGGAGGATGGAAAAATTAAATTATTTGGCTCACGATTTAAACCTTACTGGACGAGTTGGTTAATGACTGGTCGTGATCGAGAGGCACAAACTGATTGGTCATGTCTTACCAAACCATGGACTGAACATTCTTTGGAAATTTCGAACAGTTCCTCTACAACCAATCCTTTGGACATTCTCATTACACATCAACCTCCAAATTTCAAAGATGAAATTTCACGTCGATTTTTCAGACGAGGAAGTGATTCTTTGGCTGAAGCTGTAAAAATTGTCAAACCTTGTGTGCATCTCTTTGGACATAATCATGATGTGTATGGAGCGAAATATTCACATGAGTTCAATATTGGTAAAGAAATTGGAAATACGACATTTATTAGTGCATGTTCGATTGATAGTCATGACGTGATGCGAAAAGTCATTGTCTTTGATTACAAGATTCAAAATTAATTTAGCACACACAAGATTATGTATTGAATTACAAAACAGTTGACACATGTGGCGATTTGAATTCGCCCGCCCGACTGGTCATGATTCTCCCAACCGGAAGAAACATGATTTCATTTTCGAATTCAAAAATAAAAAGAAAAATGGGATTATTCGGAACATGGTCATCCTCATCATCATCGCATCCAACAACAGCATCCTCGGAATTACTCGAAAATTTTCTTGATATTGAAACATTGAATCGTTCCACATGTGCATTCATCAATCGAACCTTGTATAGTGCGTCGGAAAGAGATAAAACAAGTTTGCAGGCTTTTTATTATTCTTGTTTGGATACCATGTTTCGGAAATTGGAATTGTACAGAACGAGCAAACAAAAGAGTTACGATTGGCAATGTTCAAAATATCCGGATTATGCCATTGTTCACAGTGTGTTGGCGAATCAACGAATTGTATGGAGCTTTTGCAAGCACATTTCCAGCAGACTGGATATCAGAAATGGATGCACGTGCAAAAAATAGTGATGTTGCTTATCAGAGCATTCAAAAGAAGGAGGAATTAATTGCAAACTCTGAAGCTTGCCGAGCATATCTTCCCAATACGCATTCTTACATGCCAAAACCAATGAATCCTCGATCCACAGAACTCTTTGTTCCCACTAAGGAAGATTTTGAAATGGAAAAACAACTCTTAAAGTATCAACTTTGTATCAACTCGATGATGTGTGCCAACAGTATTAAGAAGTGCATGGCATCCATTCAAGGTGAAAATGCACAAGCTGAGAATAGACACTTCTCTACGTGCTTGGCATTTGATAAGAATACCATAAAATGTGTGAATTCTATTTAACAATTCAAATTTTTCTAATTGTAAATGGTTACCAGGCCTTAATTAAACAAATAAGTCATGTTGATAATGAATTTTAGTTTTCTGGGTTTAATAATTATAAGATTGAGGTTTTTGAGCTTGTGTGAGTAGGGCATGGAAATGATCGCGTCGCTGCTTGTTTGAGGGTTTACAAAATTGCAAAATATTTCAAATATCGTTAATACGTTACCTGTAAGGTGTAGGTTGAAAAAGCTCAACGAGTGGTAGTACTACTTGAATTTAGAACTTCTTACTAAACTTGCCACCACCAGATCCGAATTTACCACCACCACGGTCACCACCTCCAAATCCACCTCTACCACCACGATCACCACCTCCAAACTTTCCACCAAATCCACCTCTTCCTCCACGATCGCCTCCACCAAATCCACCTCTACCTTCGCCACCACGATCACCACGATCGCCTCCAAATCCACCACGGCCACCACCTCGGCCGCCTCCTCTACCTCCTCCTCGAGGACCACCTCTACCACGGCCACCACCTCGGGCTCCACCACGACCACCAGCACCAGCTGCCTTCTTTTCTTTTGGCATGAGTCTATCATAAGGTTTTTCAATAAGGGTTTTCATGTGGTTTTGAGGTTCACCAATGTTTGTTACACACAACACACACACGCATAAGAACATGCTTGTCCATGAAAATACTTACGGATTCTTTGCTTCTGGTGGAAGGAATCGTTCCAATGGCAAAATACGCTTAGTGTTCAAATAAACCACAGTTTCATGTCCAATGGTACCTCTATAGTTAGCATCCTTTTCCACTGAGAAGTAAACCTTGTTGACAGGACCCAATACTTCCTTCAATTTACCGACAAGGGTCTTGTCTTTTGTATATACGTTGGAATTGCACAATGGAACGAGCTTTTCAGAATCAAGTTCTGATTTGAACAAAAAGTCAGTACCAGCAGGCTTTTCAAAAGTTCCAGCCACTAATATCATCATGAGGTAAGTTCATTTCATCCACATATCCCGTATATCATCATCATCATTCATGAAATATATCAAAAAGATAATCATCATATTCCAAAACATGAAATAAATAGCCTCATATAAACACACGACAATAATTCATCACAAGATTCTTACATTTAACCTCTTCTGGTGGATATTCTTCTCCTTTACCTCCAGAGCCTCCTCTTCCACCAAAACCACCACGACCACCTCGGCCTCCTCCTCTTCCTCCTCCGCGACCACCACCGCCTCTACCACCAAAGCTACCACCTCCTCTTCCTCCAGGACCTCTCATTCTAATGAAAGTTTTGATAGAGTATTTTCTCTTTTTTAAAAACAATAATGATGATGAAAATATTCAACAAGGTCGATGAAGAATATTTTTTTTTGAATGTCCATAAAAAAATTCTTTCTCTAAAACTTTGTTGAAGGTAAGCTCAAGAGTGGCCAAGGCGTTAAATGTTGAATATATTGGGTTTATTACATGATGGACAAATGTTGTGGTATTGATCATGTTCATGGTGATGGTCTTACTTGTTCCCGATGATGAATTTGTGTTTCAATGTGTTCGTTGGTTTTGAATTCTTCTTTCATGAAGTAGGACTCTCTGGTTAGCCTAATCATCACAGAGCAAGATGAAGAATAATCGACAAAAAATTGGAGAGTAGGTATCATGATAAATGGAATTTTGTGAACTGGAATATTTGAAATTACAATTATTATATTTATTGAATATTACGGAAATGATGAAATTTATTAAAACAGCCCAGGAATTAATTGGGCGGAAGCAGCTTTAGGAATTGGCAAAAATAGGCGAAAGGTATGATATTATTATCGGCACTATGAACATTTCTAACCATTTTCAATAATTCATTCTCATATTCATCTTATATTATTCTCAATTTATAACATTTTGGAAAATAACATTTACAGACCATCGGGTTCGGTCAATACTCTAAAAAAACCAAAGAATATGAAGACGAATTTTATATACGAGAAATGTCAATCATTGATGCTGGCATTGGATGTGCTCTCTGGGATGCTGCCATTATTTTGACAAGATATATTTATGAATTTGGAGACCAGGTTTTTGCTAATAGAAACGTTATGGAGCTAGGTGCAGGTGTTGCTTTGTGTGGAATATGTGCCTCACGTTTTGCCTCCAAATGTTACATTACTGATCTACCTCATTTAATAGACAATATGGAATATAATTTAAAGACAAACTCATATTTTGACGATACTGATGAAAACACAAAATGTAAATCGGAGAAAATTAAAAAGTACAAGCAACAAATGCAACAAAGCGGAAAGGTTATGGAATTGGATTGGTACAAGATTTATGATGAAATTCCAAAAGCATTACACCAAATTGCTAATGGTGAGACACCATGTATGGAGGTACCTGAAAAATGTGAAATTATAATAGGGAGCGAATTGACCTACACAGGTGACGAGCAGACCGTTGAGGCTTTAATGAAAGTTATTGACACGTTTCTCGACGAGAAGGGCGTATTTTTGGAAATTTTGAGTGATGACAGAGATGGTGTTTCATATTTTGTCGATCAAATCACAAATCCTGAACGTTACAACTATGTTCTGAGGTCATTTAGAGTCCATAGTAGATATATGGGCAATTTTGGTACTGGACAACGAGAAGAGACTTAGTAAGTAATGATCGAAATATTTGTACAGTGACTAATATTCTTTTATTAGCAAATTCTATGTATTGACAAGAAAAGAAAACGAAGAAGGAGATCTGTTTTTAAAGATGTGCGAAACTATGAAGAATGACTTGTAATTCGTGTCAGGTGTGACACGTGCTAGTAGCTACATTTGTTGCACTTTACAATATGTTACAAATTTTCTACCTTGAGGAGCATTGGATATTTCTCCTCCTCTCCTACTTCTCTTAATAATCGAATAACATTAATATACTTTGATTTTGCACGGCAACATTGTAGAATATTCGAAATGCGAAAGCATCCTATTAAAATTTGACACCTACATTCTCTTTTGTCGAAACTCCAACGACTTTTGACAAAATACATCAAATAATTCAAAGAATCATCGGTACTTACTCTTGGTATCTTCATCCCAACCATTTCTCTGTATTGAAACTGGCTTACCATCCCAAAACAGAACCACAGCAGGAGATGTCTTGATGCCACACTCCGATGCAAATTGACTATTTTCAAACGGATCCAGAATGAATATTTGAGCATACGTTACGGAATCTCCCATTCTAATTTCCTCAAACCCTGTCAATGAGAATTTGATCATTTAATGTTCGATTCATGCAAAAATAGTAATTAATTAATACTCCAAATGTTATCATCCCAAGTAAATAATGTTTTGAAACATACACCTCGCCAAAGTGGTAGATATTGGAGAAAATGGTTCCGCAAAACAACACACTACCATTTTCATATCCGATTTACTAGTCAAAGCATCTCGTACTGTAGAAGCTGAATCCCATCGGATCGGAACCTTGGTCTGTTGTGGTTGTTCACTACTACTCGTTGTTGTAGTCGAGTTGGCGGCAGACATTTTTTTCATTTGCTTCGCTTCTATTCGCGTTCCCACGGATGATGACAAAACCATGAAAATTCAACTCGAGTATTGAAACGCTCACTATTTATTTGATAAATTACGCGTTGTTTTATTGAATACTTTTTCGTGTGTTTGGAAAGAATACTGGAAAAATCTTTCCAACAACTCTTATTCAATGAGTTTTGAATATTCGTCTCCTTTTCTGCAATCTTTGATACACAAATAGAATCCATAGGCTGAGAAGGAAATAACAATGACAATCATGATAAAAGTAACAACCGAGAAGACAACATAGAATGCATAGGTAAGACCAGTGGCAAGTTCATAATTGATTGGTTCACAATCCATTTGCCAGAATCCTGAGGCAACATTTCTGAACTTGTCATCGAGTGGGTTAGCTGGAGGAGCTGTGGTTGGACCGTGCATGGAAAGAGCAGCATTGAAAACTGCTGGATTTCCACCCTTAATATTTGGATTTTTCTTGATGGCATTGCGAACAATTCTCACTTGATTGGATCCGTCATAGGCAACTTGCATGTTATATAAAATCTCAATATCCATAGAGGTGGTATTGAATTGAATGAGTGACAATCTTCCGTTAGAAATCCATGGTTGAGCAAAATCTGTCACATAACCACCCACAACAAATTTTCCTTTCACTTGGTCAATGGAGAATGAAGTAGCAAGAGCAATAAATCTCAAGTTGGCATCGCTTGATGGGTTGATGAATGTAGTATCACGCTTAATGAAAAGAGAATTTCCAAAGTATCCAGAAGCAACTACGGAATTGTGTGAATAATAAACATAGAATGATTGCACATTCTTATATTCCTCAACACCTGACTCATAGGTAATGTCCTCACTATTACCAACAACCATAATGTCATCTTCTCCACTGAAAGTAAAATCAGTGGCATAATTGCGAGAGGTCTTGAGCAATTTCTTTCCGAGATTTGTCACAGTTGCAACTGCTCCAGTGTTAATGTTAATAACCAAAAGGAATGGAGCAACATCTTGTGATGGGTCGAAATCGAGTGGGATTCCATGCAAATTTTCAAAGGCCTTTTGTTGGTTACGAGAAATGGTCATGAGAGTATACAGCACATCTTTCTTGAACAAAATCTTGGCACCCAATGGCAAATTATTGGCATCAACTTTAGGCATGATAACGCGAGCAGCAATAGGTTTAGCAGTCACAACTGAAAGTTGAGTGTTGTCTGAATCGGTCTGAATGTTATATCTGATGAATTTCAAACTTCCTTGTGTTACCAATGTTACAACAGCCTCAATATTGACCTTGCTACCGAATTTCTCTGGTTCAGCAACTTGAAGGCTCAACATTCTCACAGAAATAAGTTTTTGCAAGTTGGTGGAATCTTGAACAGAAGGAAGTGATTCAATACTCACAGCAGAGGGAGATGCATGGTTTTGTTGGCCAATAACAGTTCCGTTCACATCATAAATTGGTTCATTGACAATCAAATCGGATGGGAAAGCAAATGAAAAAGCACCCAAAGTTTGATTGAAGGAAGGAACTGGAAGAGTGGTAGAGTTGATATCCAAAATTGCAAAATTAACTGATTGTTGTGAGAGGAATGGAACAATGGAAACAAAGGCAGTATGATTGATGGTAACAACTTTAACATCATTATCCTTCACAATTGGAAAATCAGAGGTTTTCAATGATTTTGAAGCAGCAACAGTTTCCAATTGATTGTCGGAAAGAATATTGGAAGTATCAACTTGGACAATTGGTGATGATGAGACTCCCATTGTTTCAATATCACTGTGATATGTGTAGTCGCTATTCACTTGAACCAAATAGTTCGTAGTGATGACATTCGAAAGTCCCACAAAAGTGACATTGGAATATGGCAACAAAGTGTCATTGGCAATAATATATGTATCACTATCGGATTGCAACAAGGTGCTCATTACCCAGCTGGAGGCTCTAGAAACATTCATCGTATTGTAGTCCACATCTTCATTTCGGCTCACATAGGCTGTATAATATTCATCAATAGGATGCTGATCAACAATATATTGAATATAGTCTTTTGAATTTACCGATTCAGCTACAGCATTTAAATTGGAGCAGGTCTGAATACCATTCACTCGATGATGAAATAGAACGAGGCTCATCACCAAGACCACAGAAGCCGTGATGAAAAGTTTCCCCCAAATGTTGTGTGTTGTTGGGTGCATTTTTTTTTCAAATTTTTTTTGATTTTTTATCATGCTTCCACTACAAGACTTAGTCTTAGTGTTGAAAAAGGTTTGAAAGAAGAATTGAGAGATTCCCAATGGTCTCATATTGAGGTGGATGGACCCTCTCGTGCATGCTTGTTGTAAGGTAATTACAGGAAAAACTGGGTGGTTTTTCAAAATATCGCTTTAAATTGATTGATTCCATTATTCATCAATCGAACGAAAGGTTAAGAGTGTCAAGTTCAGGTAAGGGGTCCTAATGATCATGAATCACCTTCAAAACAGAAACGAGTTGAAATCCAAAAATATTGAACAACTATAGGTACCAACCTCAACTTTAAGATAACTCAAACGAGTTTCATCAAAAGACTTTTCATACAAAAACAAAAGTAATACCTTTCCGAACAAGCGGTCCGAACAACCACTCTCTTGTGTCAATGCACACTTGATTACTTTTCCCATGAAGAAATCAAGCTCTTCGCAATCATCGTCATCGTTGCTTCCCAGCGACTTGTTGATTCATATTTTTGAATATATTGACACTCGTTCCTTGTTGAATTCATCTTTGGTGTGTCAATCATGGTATTCATCTTCGAATCATGATACCTTATGGCGATCCAAGTTTAAACACATACAATGCTTACCATCCATTCCGTCCATCTCGTCCAACATCAAAAAAGAACGTGTGAAACATTTAAAACAACGAGATGCCAAAATTCGAGCTCCCCATTCCGCATGGTATGCAAGATGTGTGAATTTACATCGTTGTTGTTTCATAAGCTCTCCGTTCGCATTGATTTTATGCATTTCGTTTTTGGCAGTTTGGTTCGGATTGTTTTTTGGATTGAATTTTCGAGAAGTACAAATGAAGCTTAATTGGCACGCTTCAACATGCACAGTGATTGCAAGAGACATTCGTCCCTATCGTTGTTGTGATCGTGAATGTCCTGGTTGTAATGAATGTTCGAAGAATATGAGAAATTGTCAAGATGTTCTAAATACTTTACCAATTAATCAAACTGAGCAATGTTGTAATGGACATGCTTGCTGTGCAACCTGTTGTGATACGTGTTCAAGTTGTGATAATAATGGATGTACTTCTTACACCTGTAATTGTGGATGTTGTCAGGATGTGAATGATGACTTGTGTACTGTCACTTGTCGTCAATGTTGGAATCCCATGGTGGTCATGAAATACAATACGACAGAAAATATCACACTAACCTCAAGTATGGAACAAGATTGTTCGACAAACTTTGGTTGCGTTGATTCTTATTTTAAGATTTGGCAAATTGGACGAAATGTCACTTGTTGGTATAATCCAGAGAAACCCACAGAGTTTACAGTGACCAATGAATATACACAGTGGAAATTGGGAGTTATGGGGTTGTTTGCTGCCTTAGTCGTTGTTACAATGATTTGGATGTTGTGGATTTTAATTGTTTCGCTTCCAGCATGTATGTTGCTAAGAAAAATTCGAAGAGAGAGTGAAAAACTCAAAAAAGAAAATCATTCTCTCCTCCAACAATGAGATCAACATACTTAATTGTGTTTATTATAAATTAACTCTTGAATGTTACTTTTTGACTTTCGATTTCGAAATAGCGTTGCTTTTAGTTCAACAAAAAACTTCAAAAAAAATGCCCAAAAACGTTATTCAAACACCGACATTTACCATCGTGGAAGATATTAGCAGCAGTGAGGATGAAAGAGAGAACGAGGAACATACTTCCGATGAGGAGGAACGTATTCAAAAATTATTAGAAGAGGCTTCCCGAAAAAAGAAGAGGAAAAAGGGTGATGATAGTAGTTCGGCATTGGAAAGCAAGACAAAGAAGACGAAATTGCCATCTCTCAATGTGATGGACAATTTTGATGATGAAGTCAAGATTGGAGAAGTGAAAGTAGCAAAACCAATTGATTATGAACAATTGAAACAATCGGAACAGACTAAAGGTGTAATTTATATATCGACTGATTTCGGGAAAAACCCAGTGCCTCCAACATTGAAAGATGAAAAGGCTCTCCGCAAAATGCTCGCAGAATTTGGAACGGTGTCTAGAGTGGAGTCAAAGTATGAAAGGAGAGGTTTACGACATGTCAGAATTGGATTTTATGTTGAATTTGAGGATAAGAATATTGCAAAAAGGGTAGCTCTCACACTGAATGGAAGCACCGTTTCGAGGAGCGACAGCAGAGTGTACAGCGTCAAGTTTCTTTCTCATTTTGAATGGAGTGAAGTTGGAGAAGAGGAAGAGTTACAAAAGATGAAACGAAAATTATTGAAAGTAGAAGCACAAACCGAGTTGCGAGCAATCAAAGAGTTCAAAAAGAACAAGAAGTGGTCAGAGTCCATCAAGAATAATAAGGCTCCAAAACCAAACTCCAATTTCAGATTCAACCAAAAGGCAGTAATAAGACACGATAACTCAACAACTTCACACATTGACACACTAGAAATTTTTGCATCAAAGGATGACACAAAGAAACAACCAGTGTACAAGAAAAACTGAAGTGAACGATACTACAAACCAATATAACAAGATAATTCTTAAGAGAGTGAGTTTTGCTTATTTTTTATTAATGAGCTTTCTACTTTCATATTCTTTGAACCATGAACGATTGGGATACATGGCTGCATTCTCCTGTACAGCTCTGTTGTATTGGAGCTCGTCACTGAGTCCATGCGAAGAAATGACACTCTTTGTGCCATTCTGGGTTAATTCTTTGAGCAATGCTTCGTATCCATTTTGAAGGAATGCAGTTCTCTGTTTGAACACTTTCTTCGTCAAGGCAATCGGATTGAATCTCAATTCCAAGTCTGTATAAACGGTGTGAATGAAACGAGTCGATTTTTCTCCAACTTTCTGGAACATGTATGCATAGAGACATCTATTAAGGACACATGTGTTTGGTAACTCTCCATTGTCAGCAGTATGCCCAATATTTACATAACTTTCAATTCCAGGGTCGTAAAAGGAAGTTTGAGTACCTTGGAAGAATCGATTTTTGAAAAAGGGTAACTTCAAATCGATCAGACAATTACAAAACTGTAATGCCAAGGGAGGATCATCGAGGGAAAACATCTTCTCTTCAGCTTCTCGACTTGATGATTCGTAACTTAATTTGGTAGCTTTCTCTGCACCAATTTTTGAGGGTGACAAAAACCCTGTGAATTCCAACTTTTTAATGTTCTTATCAAGCCTAGGACGAACACCAATATTGCAATAGGCAGCCCACACGTCTTCGACTGGATAATCAAGATGCAGGATCACTTTTAGAATCCTCATTGCTTTAGAGTTTTCAGAATCTCCAATCATGTAGGACGTTTTGGAAATGAATGACTGACATAGATTTGGTTTTTCAGTGTACGCCAGTAGCTCCCAATCTGGCGTGTCCTCAATTAATGAAAAGGCAAAGAAAATGTCACGATCTGTCAGTAGTTTCGATGAAAAATCTTTAAGCTTGTATCGAATATCGAGAACAAATCCACCTGAAATGTTTAAAGCAATAGATCTCGTAAAATCCTCTCCCTTTTTTAGAAGGAAAAGGGCCATCTTTTGTGAACGACTATATCTCGTGAATTGATCCGTCTTGAGATCGAGATTAATTGCAAATTCAACAGTTTTAAATAATAGATTGGGTTCAAGCAAATTCAGAACTTGGATAGGGCACACACCTTCGAAGGATGGTCTACGGCTCAAACTTTCGCTTCGAGTGGTAGCTACTGTCACAAACTCAATAATGTCATTCACAGGAGACTTGGAGGATTTTCTTCGTTTGAGATTGGAAACGTTTGCCTTTTTCATGATATTGGAAATGATTTCATATTGCTCGTACAAGATCGAAGTTTGCGTCTTGGTCAAATTCAATCCTTTTACACTCTCAGGGCGAATGTACGTGTCCATGATATGTCCCAACATTTGATACAAGATATAGAGATAGGAAAAACATTCCTCAATCATCTCTTCCTGATCGATCAAGGTGATACTTTCAGGTTCGACTGTGGTAGTAGCAGTCATTGGTCCAATGGACGTTGGAGAACCAACTACTGAGGATGACGAGCTGCACGAACTCAATGTCGAAGAATTGTTGCATGACATTTGACTTGCTTGATTACCACACGTGTCAAGACCACAGCTCTTACAAGCTCGTGTCGTTGCCTTATATTCCTTCATGATGAAATCTCTAGCAAGCTCATATTCTTGTCGATAGATGGATGTTTCTTTTAAGAACAGAATAGGATCTTCAGAATGACCGTCTGAAAGAAATTCTTGAAAATTCTCTCTCGCTTCAGGACAATTCATCAATTCCTCATAGATGACCATATAGTGATGAATATCAAAAGATTTCTTTTTACTGTTCTTCTTCTTTGAGAAGAAGGTGTTCGTACTGCTTTTCGATGAGGACGACGACAATCTTCGCTTCGTTTGATTTGCAATTTGAGAATTTGAAGCAGGTGGAGCAACAAGTTGAGTATTGGGGTTGGATGAAGTCATGGATGATGAATAAGAGGCACAGGTCGAAGAAGTTGATGGTTCTAAATCTCCCAAAGTGAGGGTAACAGTTGTAGTCGTTGTTGTTGTGGTAGTTGATTTTGACAGTGATTTTGACGTGTTCGGTTTCCTAGTGGCCGAAGAAGAAGTGTCGTTAGCAGTTGACAGAGTTGTGTTTGATGGCATCTTTGGACGTTTTTTAAGATTATTGATAGCAGTGAGCGAGAATGAAGAGAAATTGAGATAACCTCCTGTTCATGACAGATGTTGTTTTATTGTTGTTGCTATGTGAGAGATATCTTGTTGTCATCATGAAGACAGAAGGTTTTTCAACCTGTTGGATCTTTTGGCAGAGCTGTTTTGGAGAGAGATTGTGGACTTTATTAACATATCTCATCGACGTTGTACACATCAGAGATAATCAAACAATTAACCAAAACATGTCTTGCATGGGGCAAGAGTCCAGTACTACTAGGAAATGAGTGAAATTTTTGAAGAGAATGGGTTTTCAACAATTGATGAAGTGTGTTCGAGAAAGGGAATGTTGAAGAGATGCATTGCCCATGTTGTCATTGTTCAATCATCCATTCTTGCTCACCTTCTTGAAATGGAAGTGATTACAAAACACAATAGAAAAATCTTGAAACAAGTTTACAACAAAAAAAAATGTCCGGCAAGCAATCACGAGGCTCATCAAGCCCCCAAACGCAACCTTCCCGAAAAAAGAATAACAAACAGAAAAATTCAATGATGAAATCATCAACAACATCCTCATCGGGATTTGATATGTTTAAAAGTGCAGTGAACTCTTCTATTCAGTTTGGAAAGGAATCCATCGCTGATTTGAGAAAAAGTATTTTAGATACAAGCTTTAATTCTGCTGCATTTACAGATGAAGCAGATAGTGATGATGAATTGTATAGATCTGCTCGGAGTGTATTTTCGAGTACATATTCAACTAAAGGAGGTGGAAAGAGCAAAGTACAATACGAATCAAGCTCGGAGAGTGACGTGTCACTGTGGGAAGATAAAGAGATGGTCCAAATTCAAAGTGATTCGCTTGTGAAACGTAATTTGACAAATCTATATTCCACATTACGGACCAAGCAAAAAGAACGACAACGACTGGAAGAAAATGAAAATTTCTTCTTCACTGATGACTCAAGCTTGCAGGCTGAATCGTTATTGCAAAGCGAGCACGAAAGCCAGAGAGATGTTGAGTTGGGAGAGAGTCAAAATCCTGAAGATGCAGAATGGATTCAATTGTTTGAAACTTGTAAAGAAAAACTTGCAAGCATTGCTTCTGGCATTGTTGATCTCAAAAAGTTGCACCAACAGCATGTTAAATTTACGGTACAGAAGGACTTTGCTTCCGAAGAGGAAGAAATCAAAGTGTTGACAAATAACTTGAAACAATCCATGACGTACTGTAAGAAACTAATTGATCAATTTGACAAGTATGAGCTTTTAGCAAAAAAGAAAAAGAGAAAACAATTTAGACTTGTGATCACAAATGCCAAAAAGTCACTCTTTACTTCACTTAGCGAGTTATCAACCGATCTGCAGCGAGAACAACGATCATTCTTAGACAAATTGACCCAACTCAAATCCAAGAAAAAAGAATTACAAAAAATCCATACCACAGCCACAGTGGAAGAATTTTCAAAAGAGGAGCTTGAAAGAATTGAAGCCATCGAGCAGCGATATTATGAGCCGAATGTGACACAAGAACAGGTCGAAGAATTAGTGAGACGTGAGCGAGAGATTATTCAGAGGGATCGAGAGCTCAGAGAAGTACTCGCATCCATTGTCGAGCTTCACGAGTTGTTTCAACAAATCTCTGCACTCATCATTGAACAAGGGTCTCTTCTCGATCGAATTGACCACAACATTGAAATCACGCGTGAACACATTGTTGAAGGCAATGAGAATTTGATTGCAGCAGAAAAGGCTCAAAAATGTGGTTGCTTCATGTATATTATCATTTTCCTATCAGTTGTAGTGGTATTTTTGGCTTTCTTGGTCATTATCAAATTGAGGTAAGGGTTTTACACTATTTTTTATTATATTGATTTTAATTGGTTAATATTATCATGCATATAATTGTCACTGTCACTAGTTTGAGATAATTTATTGTGTGAAATATTTACTGTAGAGTGACTTGAGAGGTTTTAGAGTGTTCGAAACATCTTCTTCCGATGCATTTAAGGTAAAGCTGCTATCAGATGCTGGATCAAGTTTTTCGCTCGTTACCGATGCATTGGAAGAGCATAAATAGGATTGTTTTTGAGAATTTTTCAAGTATACTTCCACCTTTTCAATATTTTCTGTTGATCCCACAATTTTAAAAGCAATTTCATTCGTTGAACCGATCAATGGACTTGATGATGAATGAATGCTACTGGAAATACTTGCCAGCGTGGTCATGGTATTCGCTGAAGAAGGTCGTTCAATAGTGTCAACACCAGTTTGTATCATGCTTGTCTGACAAGATTTGGACTCCATTTTCTCCTCATCCTCACTAAGGCTCGAAATATCTGAAATGTCATCACATCTCGTTGAAGATTTGATTGTTGAGGGAGGTGAATTTTTGGTTGATTTCTTGGTATGGTTTGTTGTTGATAGAGTAGAAGATTTTGGAAATTTTGGAACGGGAGGTTTTCTTGTGGCAGATGTGTATTTGTTCGTTGAGGAGGAGGTAGTGGTAGTTGACGTGACCCGTTGTGAGGTTTGTGAGGTGGACGACTTGCTTGGAGTTTTGGATCTCTTTTTGTTCGTCTCGCTTGACGATTCCCGTAAGGTACTGACTTTAACGGATTGAGGTCGTTTGGTTGGAGTTGTTGATGATTTTTTCTTAGTTTTTGAACTCTTATTGGAAATGAAATTTTCCTTATCACTATCAAAGATTGAGTCACTTGTCAGCAATGACTTTTTAGATTTTACCTCAACGGATGACACAGACTCCTTTTTTTTCTCATTGTACTTTTTCGAGTAATGATCCAACTTGCTGAACAACTCATCTGAATTTGTTGTAATGGTTGACCTCGAACAAATGGACAACAGATCATCCATTGGATTTGCTGACGCTGTTTTGAGTGGAGCTACGGATGAAATTGACGAATCTAACAGATAGTTTGGAGTATTCTTAATGGAGACAGGTGTACTTGTGGTATTGGGAAATCCATCCGATAGTCTGCTGTACAAGTCCGTAAGAGAGTCATCCAAATCCATGTGACCCGTTGTTGCTCTACAATTATACTTGTCAATATACTTTTGCAAAATACTTGAAGCTGAATCAAGAGTATCCGACAACACATGTTCCTTGTTTCGACTTGACGAAGGGAAAACTGTACTGGAATCTCGACTACAGCTGTTATTGGGTCGCAAATTGTCCTCATAATTTCGTTTGCTTCGTTCTTTGGATGAACCACCTTTTCGAACGGCATTATCGTGGATTTCCTTTGCTAGATAATTCATTTCCTCCCATCGAGATGCTGTCGATGCCTGACTCGAAACAGATGAATTAAGGATCGAAGATGACATTCTTTTTTTGAAAAACATGCCACTTTCATCTCCGTCATGAATCGTTGACGATTCAGAGATCATGGACGAGGAGGGCGACGCTGCCGAAGAGTGGTGAAGCCTTGAAACCGAGGACATGAGCGATGAATTCATGTTGCATTATTTTTTTTTTAATAAAAAATGTAGCGGGTGAGATGAAAAAAGGCGGGAAGTTGTGTCCTCCTTGATGGCAGATCTTCCTTGTATATTGACACTGTTTCTGTCTCTTGGCACTGTAGCTGAAGATCTATTTTCAGAATTGACACTTCAACACTGACTTTTCAAAAACCACAACCAGAATGCAATTCCACAAGAGTATTACTTCACAACTAGTGCTGGTCAATAAAAATAATAGAGGCAAGTAGTGTAATTCTAACACCGCGGTCTGCTCATCATTCAGAAGCGATTGGTGGCGTAAATCCACCCTTGCCTTTTGCTTTTGGACTTTTTGATGTAAAATCCTTGTCGTCATGAATTGACAAATTGGAGTGAATAAATATTTATATAATAATTTTTAATAATTCTTTCAAATTCGCTGTTTCACACAAAAAGCATTGTTATTACATTCTCCTCTTTGGTACCAACTCTCCAACACATTCATGAATCGTATCTCATTTTCAGCAATATATTTACAAATTATCAAATGCATGTTTCTTTTCTCGAGTCAAAAACGTATGATTCTCTTCATGGTCTGAATTTGAATCATATGACACTTCATGTAATTGGTGACGAGCATATCTCGAATGACGTTCTCGTTCCATAGCCTTTTCTAATTTATAACTTTCAATATTGTCATGAATAATTTTCACTGCCAAACACACAAACATAATGGCCAATGTAATGCCATAAAACCCAAAAATTGTTAGAAATGGTCGATTGGTATACCAATACGTTTGACAAGTGTCAAATAATAAATTATTGGCAGTGAACATGGGTCGATAGGATCCAGCAGGACTTGTAATCGAACTTGTTGGGAAGGTGGCTGTAGTTTCAGGTCCATCTTGTTTCACTTTAAATCCTTTGAGAGTCGAAGCAATCTTGGAGAACATGTTCGTAGGGAATTTCACAGAAATTTCAATATTATTAATACTTTGTGCTTCTTCGTATCCGATCGACCAAGCAACTCTTGACACGTTGTGACTCACAAAAAGAGGTCCATTGATCATGTACTTGTATTGTAAAGTCACTTGTGTGGTCTCCGAAGTTGGATTTTCGAACGAAACGAAAATTTGTTTCATACCATCTCCTGATTTCAAATACAAAATATCAGATATTTTAACTTGATTAGACATGGAAGTGACATGAATTTCTCCAATCATTCTCGCATAGCCATACGGTAAATTGGTAGGAATGTATCGAGAAATTTTTCGTGTAGGAGTAGCAAATAAATAGGTGACAATTTCATTGACTTCGACCATGCATTGATTCGAATCGGTCAATTTGAGTTCACTGTGAAATCGAGAAATACTGTATGTAGGAGTTGATGAAGCAGCGAGAACGGTACTGGGACCATCATGTTGAGAAATCATCAACAATACAAGAATCAAGAAGAGAAATTGACATGAAAAATTCATCAAGATCCTCCAAATCCATGGTTGTTGTTGTTTTGGTGGCAAACGCGGAATACACAATGATGGAGAGGTTAATGCTCGTTTGATGGACCATGATAGGCTTCTCGAAAAGAGGGTGAATGGACGTGTCGAATCTGTTTCATTCATTTTCATCATTGTGTTGATGCGAAAAGAATTCAATGCATTGGGTTGTTCCGAATTGGAATTTCTGAAATCTCCTCGTGGTGGTAGTCGTCGTCGTCGTCGATCGGTTGAAAGACCAAGTACTTGAGATTGATGGTACAATGGCTCACTAGTATGGTTCGAATGATTGTTGTTGTTGGTGTTGTTACAACGACAAGAAGAAACATCATGGTTCGATTCACGTCGATCGATCGAAATATTGTTCGAAGAGAAGAAGCGTTCTAAACGCACTGATGGCTTCGAGTCAGTGACGTGGTGGTCTTGGTGCTGTTGGTCATGATGATGTTGATTCGCGCCACCGCTCGATCGTAATGACATTTTTTTTTTAATTAAAATTTAAAGAAATAAAAAAGACATCAATGTCATGGATTAAATTGTAATTTTTTTGGAGGTAATGAAACAAGGTCCAATTGCAGAGACATGTACTTTTTGCTACAGTTGTAGTAAAGATTGAGTGAGATTGAATTATCGTATCGACCATGATTGAGTTTGACAACAGGTTGTTGGCTGTCAGTGATCAAAAAAATAATTGTTGCTGTGAACTCGAGCGCTTGGAAACCTCTCGGAAACATTCATCATTGGCATTCTTCTAACATTATCATCATGGCTTCTCATTGGCAACACTACATTGACAAGTATGTACTTATCATTATTCAAAATACAATAATTCCAATTTTAACAAAATTTAATTTTTTATTAATGATGAATGAATGATCGAACGTGTTGTCATAACTGTCATTCTCCACTCCCATCAACAGCAACATTGTAAAATCCCGATATTTTTCACATGGAGCCATTCATGGTCTCAATGGAACAAAATGGGCGCAATCTTCAGGAATTGACATTTCGAAAAATCAAATCAAAACGTTGTTATCGTATTTAGAGGAAGAACGAGAACGAAAATTAGAAAATCGAATGAAATCTACAACGTTGAATGGTGTGAAAAAATCACATTTTGAATCTCCGTTACATCATTCCAATTCCGATTCTGTTCTGATACAATACGATATTCATAACAATAGTCATCAACAAGCTACAAGTAATAATCATACAGGAGGATCGAATCATTCCAATTTGAATGAGCATGACATATTGAACTCTCTCGTTTTTTCTAAAAAAGGAATTTTTTCACAAAGTGGAGGAGCAGCAGGAGCATCTGCTTCATCCAATTCTTCTTCAAATAATAGTGTTTCCAATAGTTTTTCAAATAACAATACGAATATTGGATTAGAAATTAATTTTTGTGGAAACCAATTTTTCAGAATTATTCAAATCGATCAATATAGTGCCCTGTTAGCTTCTTGGAACTTTGGAGATGATACTTCGACGGCTTCCCTTCCATTAGCAAAGGTCTTCGATGTTGAACATGCCAAGTTCTTAATTCCTCCGACACATGTATTCTATTGTGTGACAACTTTGAAATGTATCTTGACAGGAATGGTGAATTTATCAGCACTCCATTTTCAACATGAAGACATGACCGTTCAGCAACAATTTGGAACTGTTCGAAAAACGTTGGATAAATTTGCTGATTATTTAATTGAATCAGGATTTTAAATGTCAAAGATAATATTTGACACTTTTTGTAATGTTAACTGTTAAAATTAACCAATATTCCCTCCAATTAGGCATCATGGACAATACGTCTTTTCTCTTTGATTCAATAGTATAGAAATAGCATAGAAATTAATGTTGTAAATAATTAATTTAAACAATTATTTGAATTTTTCTCCAAAAAAAAAATGTTGAACATTCTTCCATTCCGAACTTCTCTTTTCGGAAGACTTTCATGTTCTTCTTCATTCTTCGGATCATCATCAACCACTGCATGGTTTCATCAACATCATCCTTCGTTTCTTTTATGTACTAGAAAAACGTTCTTCTCTCATCAACCCCATCATTCCTATGCAACCGTTGTCGTTTCCAAACGACCCAATCGCAAGAACAACGATGAACATGATGATGATGAATTGAATGATGATATTCCTTCCCAATTACCATCCTCCGTACAACCTTCCCTATCGGAACATGATTCTTTTGTATTGTAAGTATTCATAATAATATTTCTCATCGTGATGATGAGATGAATGATTCATCAAATTTCTTCCTTTTTAATCTTTTTTTTATCATTTTCATGATGTAGAACTCTTCCCGTAACCTCCACCAGACAAAAAATATTTAAAGAACTTGGTCATTTACCTCCCGTATTGAATCAAGTAGAGAAGGAAAAAAGAGCTTGTTCCGAACGAGTTTCAAAATATTTATCGAGAATGGGAGTGTGTTCCAAGCAACAAGGAGTGGAATTGATTAAAGAAGGAGTTGTAAAAGTGAATGGAGAGGTTGTTACAGAGACAGGTTGTAAAATTAATCCGTTTTTTGATAGTGTTACGGTTAGAGGTGAAAAAGTAGGTGGAATGAGTATTTATTATTTAATTGTTGAATTATTTAATTATTTAATTATTGAACTATTGATGTAATTATTGATTTTATTACTTCTTTTGAATGAATGATAATGACTTATTTAACCATTTATTACTTTGAAATGACACCATTTAGATTAATAACGATAAAGTATTGAGTCATGTGAAAATTTATGCCTATCACAAGCCACGAGAAGTTTTATGTAGTCGAGTTGACAATCAAGGAAATCGCGAAACATTATATCAAAGACTTGAACGACTTGGATTTGGACATTTAATATCAGTGGGACGACTGGACTATAATTCTGAAGGACTTTTATTATTAACCAATGATGGACAGCTTGCACGTCACTTAGAACTCCCTCAAACAGGTCTACAACGACATTATTTGATCAAAATTCATGGCAAAGTGACTCAATCCATGTTAGATTCACTTCGAAAAGGATCTAGCATTGAAGGAGTTCACTACGCAGGAATGGATGCGACTATTCACAGAGAGGGAGAAAAATCGAGTTGGATCAAGGTAGTTTTACATGAAGGAAAAAATAGAGAAATTAGAAAGATTTTCCAACATTTACATTATCCCGTGAGTAGGATCATTCGAATTCAATACGGGCCCTACAAGTTGGAGAATATTCAAAAAGGACAGCTCAAAGCTCTTGAACTGCACAATGACATGAAAAAGTATTGCAGTTCCATCAGTAGACTTTCCGAGAAAATTATTAAGGATCGAATTGATGAAGACCAAAAAGAACAACGACGACATTCGAATTGATGCAGAGCTCAATAAAGTGACACATATATTCAACGAAGGTCAGTTCACACATTTGTGTTATTTCAATGAAAATAACATTCCGGTCAATTTTAGTGACCAGGTTTTACTTCTTTTTTGCAACCGTTGGTGGAGCCATTGAAGTGTCCATCTTTTTGAATTTTGTCTCTGCTGAAAAATAGCTTGTCTTCTTTTTCTCATGCTTCTTCTTTTCTTCCTCGATGAGACTTGGATTCAGAAGCTCCATTTCGTTTTTATCATTGATTGCCATAGATGTGGCTGTACCAGTTCTAATAATTTGCGTTGCAGTACCACTTTTAAATATCGAAGTGCTCGACAATGTACTAATACCATCAAAGTATGCTGCAGACTCTGAAACTGAAGCACCAGCAGCACTTGAAGAGGTACCCAGAGGTGTCTTGCTCGTTTGCTTCTTTCTATTCCTACTTTCATATTTTTTACCGGCAGAGAGAATGGCACTCTTCAATCGAAGGGATTGACCGAGTCCTTTGGCTCCTTCTTTCATGAGCATGGTACCTGAGCCGTCACCAATGTAAGAGTCATCAGTTCCCTCAGTACCAAATTCCAATCTTTCATATTTCTTTCGAAGTTCTGAAGTTCGTGACAACTCCTTTTCTATGGCTGATTTTTTACCTCCTCTGTTGGTCTTCTTGATGGCATCTGGTGCTGGTAGTGGCTTGTCTTCTTTTCTCTTTGGTGGTTCCATGAGTTTTTTGATAAAGGCAAGAACATCTTCTCTGAGTTTGTGTCCTTCAGATCCATCTTTTGCGGAGTTACAGCTATCGATTCGAGCTGCTAGAGCACATTTTGTAGCCACTACTCGCGAAACTTTCTTTCGTAATTTTTCACGTGGAGGTGTATGCTCCATTACTAAATCGCACAAACCTACAAAGCCAGTGTGTCGCATGTGAGAAAAGTCACTTGCATTATATGAAATTAGTTGAGTGGGTAAGTCTTGAGAATCTCCAACAAGGTTAGCCTTTCGTTTTGGTAACATGCTCATGAATGTGTTCGATGATAAGCCCTCAAGTTTCTTCTTATCTCGTCCTAGACATTGGAGAACATCGGCTGATGTTTGTGACAGGGATAAAATACCTCCTGCTGCTCCAATGAGTTGCGCTGCAATTCTTGTGCCTACAAGAGCGCTCAAATTTGGAGCTACGTATGCCATTCTCATGGAAACATAGTCCAAAATGTTCTCTTTAGATTCATCCAGTTGCAAAATGTCTCTACATAATTGTTCAATTTTTTTCCACTTATCTTCACTGAGAGAAACAGTAAAAGTTCCTTCGTTGGCAGCTGTAACTTTTAAAATCATGATTGTGGAGGGTGGTAATAAATCGCTCAAGTCAATATCAGAAAAGGTAGAGCTTGTTCCTCTTGGAGCTACCAATGGCACTCCATTTCCAATTCTTAAAACTGTTTGTACATAATTTACAGGATCTGTCACATTATTTTCCAAATCTTTAAACTTTTCAGCATAAAATCCTTTCAACTGAATAAATAAACTATCAATTTCTTGATCTATGGAAAGAATGTATGAATTGCTAGCTAAAATATATGGATATTCCTCATCCTCCTGTAACGAAGCTCCTGTTTTCAAAATTTTTCCTTCCGTTTTTGTAAATTCTTTAATTTTGAACATGTGACGATTGAAAGTTGCGTCCTGTAACAGTGCAGAAAAGCTCGTTATGGGTGGTGGAATTGTTGGAATTGTATTTTTTAAAGATAAAACGTGAAGGTTGGATATTGATGGTGTCGTCGTTCCAGTAGCACTGCTACTTGCTGCTGTAATGTCAGGAACAAAATGGCTGTGTGATCCCGACGAGAAAGTGCTCATGGATGAAGTCGTTGAGAGGGCATCATGATCTTGATGGAATCTATTCTGAGAATTTTGATTTAAACTGTTCAAATGAAGAGGTGCTCCCGAGCTTGAGGCTTCATCTGTGGTTGTGGAAGCACCATCATCATCAAGCATCATGGATAATTGTGAATGACCCTGATGTAGTTGTGGATGAAATATCATGCTGTTTGCAGAAGAAGATGATAATGCCGAGGTAGGTGTTGGAGGTGGTGGATGTTGCAACAACGAAGATGATCCGAGAACAAGTGCTGCTCCGCCCATACTTGTTGTTGTTGTTGTAGTAGGGTGATTAAAAATTCTTGATCCTGTTGGGAAAGCTCCTGCTCCACTCACTGAAGCCGATGATGCATTGGTCGTGGTGGATGAAACCGATGGAGCAGTATCCGAGGAATCGGCCACATCCGCAAAAAACTCATCAAGCAACGACATAAAAATTTTTTTTTAAATTTAATTTGAACAAGCATTGAAAGCGTGCTGGAAATTGTTCAAGAATGAATTTTATTGTTCACAAGCACGGATACAAGTGGTGATGATGAAAGTGAGAGAGAAAAGGGTGTTCCAGATAATTAATGGAATATACCGAAACGGAATGGATCATTATGATGAAAGGTGAGAGTGGAGAATTTGTTGTTCTTGCTGCGTTGAAATAACGGTTTTTGAATGTGATGGTGGTTATTATCGGTATTCTCTCAAAACTGCTACTGTGGGGCATTGGACTACTAGAATATTCTCCACCTCTCTTCAACAACCGTTATATTTCAACTACGTGTTGTTGCAACAACAAGAACATTATTGATCTTGGTCTCCGAATGTATTCTCTCCGCTGTAGGTAACATATAAAAATCCATCATCATCACGTTGTTCCTCATACAATTGACTCATCAGAGCAGCACTAGGAGGTAAAACGTTATTCACGAAAATGAAAATATTCGTTGTTGAATCAATCTTGATTCTCTTACGAATAATATAAACGAATTGAGCAACCGTGAGATCGGCTGGCACCAAATACTTCTTCTTATCAATATCAGGGAAGTTTGATTTTTCTGCCTTCTCACATATCACTGGAATACGGTCAGAGTATCGTTGTCTGATTCTGCTGGCTTCGGCCTTTCTCTTTTCAAAGGTATTTTCTGGGTCGTCCTTGTATTTCATGGTGTGTTGTTGTTGTGGTCAGAGTGTGATGAGATATTTTTTGCTTTTTATTTCTTTCGTGTTTGAGCACGGAGAAGAAAGAGGACGAAACTATTTTGAGCTTCTAATTCGAAGGCTCCTTTGGTCACCTCGACTCGGGCAACTCTCTAATTTCTCTCCAAAACCTTAGTTCTTTGCTCTCTCAACAGATTTTCTTACCTGATATTCCAATTATGAAAGGGCAAGCCATAGTTGTGAAGAGGATTCACATCAGTGACCTGTTACCAGCACAAAGAGATTAAAATCATTGACCTTTTAGCTTGTGCCTCATGGAAGACTGTTTTTTAAAGAAGTATGGTGTTGTCCTCTTCCATCTTGATGTTTATTCTACAAATTACTGCGCTCAATAATCCAAATGAATGATAAAATTCCTCACATGTTGTTTCACTACAAGTATTTCAAAAAAGTCACAACTTGCATTGAAATGATCTCATTCACATTATCAATCTCCCAAATTAAAACTCAAATCCATTACATAATTTCAAATAATTATTATAATTATTACTCATTATTCTTTTCCACCACAATATATGGATCTACCCATCTTTTCCGCCTCTCTTCCTCAGTACCTTGCAACACGTACTTCCTCAATCTCGAAGGAATTGACATGCTCGCTGCCATCATGACGAGTGCAAGTCCCAATATGCCCACTCTCACTTTATACTTTTTCATATTTTCCACCTTGGATAAATCATCGGCACATGAACCTAACACAACTCCTGTAATAATAGAACTCAATGCAAAGGCATTAGTTTCCATGGCTCCCCATGCCATTCCAGGAACGACTACACTATGAGTGGGATCCTTTTCATCATACCAAACTTTGACTCGTGTTCCGGGAGGCATGTATTGAGGAATGTTTAATTGTGCAACATCTCGTTTGTCCAACCCAAAGAAGAGATTGGAATAAACCTTGTTGTGGAGTGTTCGATAGGCAATAATTGGTGTTGTTGAGTTTGAATGCTCCGATGAATCTTGATGTTTTTCTTCAGCTTTAAATTCAATCACTGGAACGATGAGATGATTGGGATCCCGACGATCATAGGTCTGACCATGAGGCTCAATGACCGTTCCGACGGTTTCTTTAAATCTCGGAGTGGTGCTATGATAGCCATCCATGAAAGGTTCCCATCCCATGGATCCATATACGAGACCAGCAAAGCAAAAGGCACCTCCCAAGATGATACGAGAGGTCCGATTGGAGAGTGAAACGTTTTGGCTTGTGTTGAATCGAAACATTTTTTAAAAGTGTTTACAATTTGTGTTGGGTTTAACGATTGCATGATTCGAAATTTTGAAACCAATCGTGATGGTAATGAAGCATGATGAAAAGAATTTATCATTGGTCTGGTAAATTTCATGAAATTCCGAGTTTGTCGTGTGAAATTCGTGTATAGACATTTTTTCACCAAGATCTTTGGTCAGTTGAGTTTTGTATGTCCACATGGTTATCATTGAAAAGTGAAACCATACAATGTATCCAAATTACATTCGGTAAACCATCCTGTACATCTGTCACTAATCAAAACTTACACCAAACCATTACATTCTGTACATCTATAAAAGGCAAAAACCAATTCCTTGAATATTTTGCTATCCTTTTTCTCTAAATGAGTTCATCATTAATCCTTCTCCATTTTGTCCAAATAACACTCAAATACCTTCATGTCCTTTTCCTTTCAACGACCCGTACTTCAACAGATGCATCGTCCAGTGTTATTCCTTTTTCCATTTCCGTGGAAACACCCAAACCACGTGTAGGAACAATAATCCGATCTCCCCAATCGAGACTTGTTAACGAGGACAAACTTTTTACCGTCGCGCTTAACATTCCATTCGTTCAATAATTCTATTTGTCCTTCTGCAGACGCTCTTTAAAGTTACCTAAGAAACATTCCATACGTACGACTGTTTGCTACAATACTGTATTATTAATAATAATAACATTTCTCACACAACCATTGGTGGTCAATCAATATGAGGTCCTTTTTGAATCAATTTCACAAACTCTCGATTTTCTCCCGATTTGATTGGTACGATCAATATGGGATTCTCTTTTGGAATCTTCTTTGAATATCCTCTGCGCCCAGAATCTTTTCGTCATTTATGGTCGCATAAAAACCAAAAAACACGTTGTGTCCTTCATCACGTTGATGGGATTTTGGAAGCGCGCATTAAAAAAGATCGTGTTTTTGCAACCGTGCGAGCTCATACAAAAAAAAACAACAAACGTGCTCTGCTCTCGCTCTCTCGGATAGCAACGGTTGCTTGAAAGACTTAAAAGGCTTTGATGGGAAGACTCAATAATACACAAAGACTACTACTATTACTTGACTCTTGCATCTCTTAGCAACAAACATAACAACAACGAATAACTTTTCAACGACTACTGAAATCACTACAACAACAACAACAACGACTACTTCTATCTCTCTCTCAATTTGACCACTCTTGATTGACACAACATGGATCTTTGGTATTGCGAGAAGGAAATTGAAAATGCCGATCGTATGATTGAGCAATGGAAAGCTGAAATTGGTGAAGGCTTTGATGTCAACTTTATGCGTTATGAACTTCTTTCGGAAAGTTTGAAACATATTCAAAGAGAAGATGAATGCACACTTGACAATGACTTGGAGGAATGCGATGATGAGGAATGGGATGAAGAATGTGAAGAATATGATTATGATGCCTCTCAACAAGATTGTGCAACTCCGATTAGTCCTGCTGCAGTCTCTGCTTACTTTAGCTTTGTGAGTGAATGCAGTGACGACGATGAGGAGGAGGGAGAGGATGATGAGGAATATAGTGATGACGACGATGACGACGATGAAGTCACTGAAGAAGATTACGAAGAGGATTGTGATAACGACAATGTGTCATCATCAGAATCGGAAGAAATGGATACCTTCAATGTTATCTGTGACCAAACATGTACCTTCAAATTTGAATACTCCTCTACTGCGGATTCGACTTTATCCGAAAAGGATCATCACTGCGAACAACAACAACTCGACGATTCAACCAACGTAAAGACAATGCAAGATTTCATCCACCACGAATATATTGGTGGATTGTTGCACGAATTGGGAGGACCTTGTGTCACTCGTTCCAATGCCAACGCGGAATATGATTCGATTGAAGATCATTCTGAGAATGAACAACCAAGCACGAATTGTGACATTCTTGATGAAAACGAAACATGTCTCAATGAACAATCCTTGCTAAATGAGCATTCAAGCACTGTTCGTGATAATAAACAAGCAGCAGATTTCAACAACAACGAGACTTTTTGACTTGTTATCGTAAAACAATTCGTGCGTGCCACGAATGGAACTGGAAATCCTCTGAAACTGAGTGTAAACCACTCGACAAGTTCTTGCTACTGGAGGTATCAGTCCAGAACGGATTTTTGAGATCCTCCTTAATGAACATGAAAGAAACCTTTGTCTTCTATAACCGGAACATGGAGTTGGATTGGTTTTTTTTTTTTGAAATATGCCTTATTTTTCGTAGAAGTTTGTGACAAATGTGAGAGGTTGACCAAAAACTTTGTTGGAAAGACCACGTATTAGTAATGCGCGCAAATGGAGATGGGTCGGCAGTGAAGCTGTCTTTAAATGGGCCACACGTAAAAATATGGATCATAATACCAATAATTATAAATGGAAGGAGCGTCTAGTTTCGGATTTTCAGCACTCTTGCAAGATATTACTAAATGACGATGACCTAATTGACCTTTAGGTCCATGTGAACAAATGTCGTTGAGCAACAAGAGCTGAGGCCTTTGCTTTCATTCTGTAAGGAACAGAATTATCTGTTTGTTTAATTAAACGGTTCTTGATTTCGTATGCAACTCTTTCAGTGTGTGTTTTCGAAGCAATCTCGACAATACTGTTGAAAACAACAAGGAAAAAATCTGATATTCACTCTCGTTTCGGTTTGAGGAAATCAATCGTTACAGGCATATACACTCGGATGACAGGTAATTCTCATCATCCTGGAAATGGTCCACACCACACCAGACGATCGAACATTCTTCATCTCTCTAGAAATTTCCTCCTACTCGCCGAAAGAGGAGTCCCAATTATTACATTGGAGATTGAAACATGGTCCTCTTCCAACAATAAAGTTTGGCCTTCATAGATTCAAGGTCCATCCCAAACACTTCAAGTGTCGTGGGGAGTTTCAATGTAACCTCAGTGTGGTTCGTTGCCAAGGAAACAGCTCCTGAAGTGGAAACTCTTCAAGTTGTGAAACTTTCACTCGTGACACCTATCTGTTCACACCAAATGGCAGTGATACACGTTCACAGAAGGAAAGATGTTCTTCTTCTTTCCAAAAACAACACATGCAAACAGAGAGAGTTGGTATCTCTTTGACCAAGTGTCAACAATAAATTTATTGAATCAATTGTGTTTTCTCATGAGAGAATATTGCCAAATCATCACTGAGGAGTCGACTACTTTTACCACATCAAGAAGACACTCATCAACAACATGACAACCATCATCATTCCCATCACTTGCAAACTCTTCACAGTACTTGCCTCACTCCAACAATCAGTGGTTGGTAAACTATCGCATATTGTACTTGATGTACCACATGAACTGGCCAATCTTTGACAAGCACTCTTACAGACTTTCATTTGCATAGTATCAGTGTTGATATATTGTGAATTTTTAGGATCACAAACAGCACAAGCAGCCATCGCCATTTGTTCATAACAACCTTGAGAAATGATTTTACCCAAAGAAGCACTCAAGGAAGCAGCAGAATCTTCTTGAGCAGTACAACAGGAGGATGAGGCAGTGGCTGTACAGAAGGTACAACCTGAACATGGGGCTGGGTTAGCGAAAGGCTTTCTGTTTTTACATTGCTGAGCGAGAACGGAATGGTAGGAAGCTTGCAAAGTCAAGACACAGAAAAGGACAAGGAAAAGACACAAGGAAAGGCGTTTCATGGTCATTGTTAAATAGTACTAGTAGTAGTAGTAGTAGTAGTATTAGTATTAGTTGTTGGATTGGTTTTTTTGAATGAGCCTTTGTAATTCAGGCGGACAGGAGAGATGTTTTATGTGGTTGACCAAAAAAATTTCGGCGTAGGCCCGCCCCAATGAGGAAGATGGAACACAAGCTCATCGTCGCGTAGTATTTGTCTTGAAATGGTTACTTTTAAAATTTGTAACGTGATCCGAGGAGCTCATTGGTCAAAGTGAAGGAGCGCTTTGAGCCCACTACGATAACAAGAAATGGTGGCTCTACAACTTTCCATTAAGGAATTTTTAAAAGAGTTTTTTGAACTAGTAAATTTCCTTAATGAAATACTGTAATGCTGAATGGTCATTGTGGTAAATTTCATAAAGGAAATTTTTTGATTTTCATCGACAGGAGGGACGTCACATTTAAAAATATTGAATCAAGGGAGTTGGAAACTCAAGTGTCCTTCCATTACCAATAAAGAGCTGGCTCTTGTATGAGATGGACAATATAGAGGAATATTCGAGTACCAGATTTAATTGAGAGGGTTTTTGATAGTTATTTCTTGTGAGAGGAAGTCAAATTCACAACTTGAAGAGAGCATTGATGAAGATGCTGAAAGACAGTCTCTTAACGAATTGATCAAATAAATACCTGTTCATCATTCACTCAGTTGAGAAATTTACCACAATGACCACTCAGGCATTGTGAACAAATGTCCTACGGTTCGAGGAAATTCTATTAAGTAAAGTATTGGGGACTGTTTGCACGATGTTTGAGAATTCATGTAAAACGACTTGTCAAAACGAATATTTTATGTTCACTGTTTATTTGTGAAGATTTTTCGTAAAACCATGACATTTAATCACACTTGATGGATCGGTAAATGTTCTTAACAAAGGTTAAACTCGACAAAAATCCAACAGTAGCCATCATTAAGAATACTGCCAAACATAAAATAAACGTATATCCAATAAAAATAGAAACTTGCAAAATTCCTGACATGCCACTGTCCACAAGATAATACATGGAATAGGCAAAGATGAAAATACTGCTAGCTCCACCAAATTTAACACTTCTCCACCACCAGTGATGATTTTCTTGCGAGAGTGTCAAGTAAATGAGTGAAATGGTGATACAGCTTGTAACAGTAATCAAAATAATGACCACCATCAATACAATTGGGAATGGAACATGTCCATAGTGACCCCACATGCTCAAATACAAATAGTGCAACTCAATATAAATGGAGATGAATGGTAAAAATCCAGCAACAGATGCCAGCACATTTTCTCCCTTCCACCAAACCACTGGAGGTATTTCACGTGGAACCTTCTTGGTTCTACATGGTGCCTCAAATCCCTTAGTAAAGTTCTTACCTGTAATGGCACCCAACAAGAGAAGTGGGAATGACACTGCAACATAGAGTGCAACAATAATTGCAACAGTTTTGAAAGGTAAAGCAGCTGTAGATCCATATGAAACAGCAATGGTGTTCAAAATTGACCATGTTATAGCCATTGGAAGTGTGAAAACGAGTAGTGTGGTTACAGTATTCTTGATCCATGACTCACCACCAAACTTTTTGTAGTAGCTACCGGAAACATAACCATTAATACCGGTGGTAAGAGTGTAAACAATAACAAGTGATGTTGTAACTGCCTTGTATCCATAATCTTGATAGTATGCTCCCAATGCACCCAAGAACAGCAAACAAAAAATGAGTGATAATAATTGAGCTCCATTTCCGAGAATGGCAGATAAGAGATTAATGTTGGAAGGGAATCTAAACACATCGGCGTGTAATTGTTTCCATCCGGTTTCTTCTTTTTCTTGAGAGTCTTGCTCCAAGTCCATTGCATCATAATCCTTTCTGAGCATTCGGATAATAATAAATGTCAAGAAAGAAGTCAAAACTAAAATAAAAATCAAACTGTTAATCACTGAGAACCATTGAATTTCCAACTCTTCGCTGTTAAAGTTCATGTTGATAAAGTAATTCACACGTGTAACGTATTGTTTTGTTGTTGATTTCCATTCTGCAGAGTATTTGAATTTGATTTGAGTGACATCATTTGAAGTAACATCTACCTTTGAGGATGGTGTAGCGAGGGCAGTAATCACATGATTTCCATTGTAGGTCAACGAGAACTTGTAGCTGTTGTAAAGATAGTACTTGTTTTCAAGTGAGTCATAATAACCAATGTGAACAATCATTGGAATTCCATCATAGTACATGAGCATTAAATAATCATCTTTGATTGCTTGTCGTAATCGTTCCAAATCTTCCTTCTTTAATGATTTGGCACAAAGTTCGGTTTCAGGAGGAACATCCACTGTTTGATGGGTAATAAGAGTGATAAATATATGATGATAATGGGATAATTTTCGGAGAGAACGAGGTTGATGATGAGAGAAAGTTAAATAATGATTCGAGCACAAGGATCACGACGATAAAAATTCCAAACAATATATAATTCATACATTGTTGATAATGATCCGTTCAAAAAGGTACGGAAATGATTATTTCTTCGTTGTGTTCCATATTTTGAGTGATACGTACCTTGAAATCCAATATCATAACTTGAAATGACAGAATCACCACTTCCAGTGAGCTCCTCTCCCAAAGATGTTGCAGTAGAAGCCTTTACATCACAAAAAGGCAATTGTTTATAACCATAGGTTTCGGATGGATTTCCCTTGCTCCATAACTTTTCAATCACTAAATCAATGACATCATAACGTTCATACACCGAGTCTGTTTTCTTTTGTCTGCTACCCGCAGATTTATCCTTTTCTTCTCCCAGTACAACAACAACCACTCCGGTCATCATCATCATTCCTATTAAAATCATCATAGCCAAGGAAGCTAGACTTCTCTTTGCCATGATGTTCCGTCTTGTTGTATCGTTGAGAGTTCGGTTGGGAGATGTTAGAAGTGTGCGAGTCATCGTGATGACGTATTTTTTTTCTCGTTAGCCACGACGTGATCTTTTTGGGATGAGCAAATAACTAATGTGACCCCACCGAAGAAGCTCTATCAGTGGATAACTATCTTCAACACCCATCAATATTTCAATAACTAATACACATCAAACTCAACAATCTTGATTTTATAATAACACACACTAGCGCAATTCTCGCATTTGCAAGTTGTTGGATTCGATCGCAATCCATTATTATTTAACTTTACTACTAAAATTTGTGTATCGAAGATGATTTGAATCTTTCATTGTATGTTTAGCAAGCCAAGCTGAGTCATATGATTTCCATTGCAACACGTAGCATATTTCAACCGTTAGAGTTGTTATTTCGAAACCTATGGTAAAACAAGTATTGTGGTCTGTGAAAGTTGTGTCAAAATTTTCTTCGAAGGAGATGGAAGTCTTAATTACGATTTTTCCATCGTTTTAAACAATACCCGCTCTTCGTTTGCAAAAAAGTTGACCAATAGGATTCACTGTCAACGTTGTTGAATACTCCCGGTCTTCAAATTGGCTCTCTTTGAAATGCATGAAAAAATTAGCTAACGGTGTGGAGTTGTGATTTTCTCTTTAAAATACAAAAATAGAAAAAAATAGCAACAACAACAAGCCAACAAAACGGTACACAGGTCACCCACTTGCTGACGGTTTGTTATGCGTAACAGTTTCAAGCAAAAAGCACACCAAAACAGTGAAATGTTGTATTTATACTAGTACTTTATCCTTAAAAATGTTGGAAAGAGAAGCATATTAGTGAACGGACAACCTGACAATCAGAGCTGAAAAAGTTCAAGCACAAATACAAAATTATTGCCGAAGAAAATGCTAAATTGAAATTGCAAACGAGAGCCATTCTACAATAGGGCACCAAAGAAATGGTATGCTGCTTTGATTGATCAAATCCGGTGAACGTACGACGAACAGAGCTGTAGGTGAATCATTTACAACAAATGCTGCTCGTGATGGAGAATAGGCTGGAAGAGAGGTATTACGGAGCAGTGTTCTGCTGGTCCCTCTAGTTTTTCGATAGAGCCACCATTGTTTTTTTGAATGTAATCCGGGCGTTATCCAACACGTTACCCAAAAAACGGCCGTCCAATCAAAAAGCTGGAGTCACATTAGCAAATAACAAATACAACAAATCACAGTTGGAAGCCAGGGAAAGGACCCAACAATGGTCTTAAAAACAATGATCTGTCTGTTGAATGGAATCATTAACTCATGGAATTAATTTTCCTGAACACAGGATTTCAACTGAGCTAGATGCCATGGTTGCGAACAAAATATAAAGATCTACCAGTGCACTCAAAACAACCAAAATGCGACGGGTTTTTCCAACCGTAATAAACCTTTATTTTAAAATTGAATGTATGCTGCAATTTCTGATCGATTTCAATGGGTGGAAGCGACGGTGAGAACAATCAAGATGATGGAACAAAGAATAGAAGGACTGAGTTCATCCTGCTCTTGAAAAACTCAAAGAAAAATTGTATAAAACAACATTGAAGATTGAAACTATCATCAAGTTGCCAAATGAAGAGTCGATTTGAATCGATTACTTGCTCCTTCACACAATTCCAAATATCTTGGGGAGAATATTTACTTGTTGAGATTGGTCGAGTTTTGATATTGTAGATTCATTCTCACATACTTTTGGATGGAAATTAGGCAATTCAAGAACTCAAATTATAGTACATGATTAATTGTTAATTTAAGAGCGGCCATACATTCCCCAGGGAGTCTGAGGTTTTAAAGGACTGCTCTTGGGTCCTGTTGGTGCTCTAATTCTTGATTGTCGTGCTGATCTTTGTAAAACACGAATGCTTTGTAATAAGGTAACAAGTGTGTGGGGAAATATTCCTCTCTCGACGAGTGATGACTGATTAATATAGTCCTTTGAAAGTGCTTGTGATTCTTTAACTTTTCCAATTGCTCTTGAGAAATTGTTGAAGTTGAAATCATTACAAAGTATACATCAATCTCTTGTTTGCCGAACTTTTCAAACGCATTATCGGCAAAATTGTTCGTGTTTAACCAATCTACAACATTCAAACAACTATCATAATTCCTGTGCTGTATAAGGAACAGAGAAGTGCGATTGTGAAGTGAAGTTTGTAACCAAAAGTGAGCATTGACACAAGGATGGGTGCTTAATGTGTATGAATACACTTCCGAGAATTGTTTTCTGCATTTCGAGCAGTCAATATCATACTGCGCCACGTCTGAGCCTTTAGTAATAAATGTCTCTGTGAGATCTACAACTTTGAACATTTCTGTTGTTGCTGGTAACGTAAACAAATAATCTTTATCCACTCCTGTCACGCATGAGGGAAATAACTGTTCAATGGTGATTAAGAAGTTACCACGTTGTTGCAACATAAAAATTCTATAACAAAGACATTTCAGATCAATTCTCTCAAAATATCGTGGATCAATCTCAAGTTTGGTTTTTGGTAATTTAACAGCAATGTATGAATCTGCTCTGATCACAAGTTGGAAATAATGTGGAGCAATGTACAATCGTCCATTTTCAGTGAGATAAATCTTTCCTAATTTAAAAAGATCTTGTTCTTCATTAGTCAACGGTAGCGACAAGCCACAAAGCAATCGTGCCACTAACGATTTTTGGAAGGTATGGTTGGTAAATTTTGTCTCCTGTCGAAGGTATTGTGAAACCTCTTCATCAACCTGTTCTTTCAAATTGGGAAACAACGTGGAAGATGACTGTTTCCATGTATCAAAAGTGATAGATTTCATAAAACTAATTATTTTGTTTAGAGTAAGCGTGAGAACTTCTGGTATTACCAACGCCTCTAATAACATAATTCCCATAGACCGCACAATCTCTGTTGTCTCTATTTCAAGCATATCAAGCATTGAAGTTTTGCACAAGAACATTTTACCTCTAAAAACATCTTTCAAAATGTCATGTAAATTTGACGGGCTTAATGGTGGTAAAAAAAATTCTTGATTACCATACTCGGGTGCCTTAAATGCCAACTCTTCATACATAATTCCTGACAATATTGGAATGAAACAAATATTATTTCCCAAATTTTGATTCAATTGCTCCGTATTTACCATAAAACTACCAATCGAGTACAGTGGTAGTTTCCATTTTTCTCGAAAGATGCTAAAAAGATGGTGAACTGCATCAACGCTTATAGACCATATTAAAATCTCATTATCTTTAAGAAATTTTTTGAATTTCTTTGCAATATTTTGAATTGTGAAAAAATTAGACTTGGTATAAATAGGTTTGAACCAATGACCCAATTCATTCACCAATGCAAGTACTTTTTGCTAAAATACGTAATCCAATAATCTTTCCTTCAGTTATTTCTTTTAAAGGATCACTCTCAACCTCAACACTTGTCAAATAAGAACCGTTATCCAAAGTCATATATGTGTGGAGTTTACGATAGTGTAATCCATTATTGTTTTTGTCGCCAATTTCATTGATGTCCATATCCATGATAATGTTTTGGACTTCATTGCATGCTCTTGTTTTACCATTTCCTGTTCCGTTTGACATGATTCCATATTTGAACGAATTTTTTCTGTCAATAGCAGCTATTTTGTTTTTGTGAAAATGTGTAATATTTGCTTTCACAAGTTGTTTAACTTTGAATTTAAAGTCGTCTCTGTTATAAAATCCTTTCATGGTGCCAGAAGGAGGTTCATATCTTTGTTCCAACTTTGTTTCAAAACACTGCTTCAAGTCAACAGAGAGGAATGTTTCCAACCATGTAAAAGGGTCATCAAGAAATCCGAACGGAAGTTCTTCATTGTGTGGTCAGTATCTCTGTTATTTCATTCAAAGTACTTACCATTAATGCTTGGCTGTTCAATGAAAACCAATGGTATCTGTATCTTGTTTTTTGCTACCAAATCGGCTTTTACCCACTCCATCAAAGCTGTGCAAGTAGATGAATCAATTTCCATTCGGAGAGTTTTGTTCACTAAATCAACATCAGTCAATGCACTACCATTCTGTTCATTCTTCTCCAATTCATAAATAATCCTTAATAGAAATGTTCCATTAAACCCTGCCTGATACAAAGGCTGAACTCGATCCTCAAGTAATCCAGCACCTCCTATTAATTTTTGTTTGCAGAGTGCCGAATCCCATAACCCAAAAAGCTTGGGAATTAATGTATTGTTGACCCAATTAACAATGGTTGTACAAGTATCAGAAAGACAAGGATTAATCATACCAGTGTTGTCTTTGGCTTTGTTTAGAAGTTTTTCAAGAGCATGCTTGTCGTTGTGTTTCCTGATATCCTGTACGATATTGGCAAGAGAGGTCCCATCAAAGCCTGCGTTATATAAGGTCCGAGCTTTCTCAACGGCCAATGATGCTCCGCCATCTAATTTCTTCATACAAAGCAGAGAAGCAACTTCATGTGCTATCCATTTCTTGTAATTGTGGAACGAGAGAATCTTCATGGATGATGCACGATGAAATTGTCCAACATTGGTGGTTGTGTCATAGGATGATGAGGCACTAGCATCCATTGGTACATGAGAATCATTAATGCGAAAGCTTGATGAAACATTGGTTGTGTTAGATAGAGTTTTCTTCTTTGTTTTAGGCTCCATGGTGTTGATTGGGGTTTCTTCATCATGATGCTGTTCGGAAGTATGGTTGCTATTTGCTGTCTCCATCTTTCTCTTTCGTGCCGATGAATCATCTATTTCTTGAGAATGTACATCCATTTCCATGTCGTTTTTTGGAGCGGTTGAAATGATGCTGTGTGTTTGCGGTGGTATCATGATGATAATATTTTTCTTCTCGACTGTAAAGGTCGGATTTACGTTGATTTCAGAATTCGAGTACTTGACTTCATTTTTTTGACAGGTTGAAATGATGTTTTTGAAACACTCCGGACAATTGCCACTCTTGTTCCATTAAGATGTGCTCCTGATAATTCTAACTGGAAGAAAACATTTGTGGAGCTAGTCCACAGTTATCTTATATGAATAGAGAGAACAGAAATAGCTATGAATTGCAAGCAGGTAACTAATAAATGCAAATTATTTAAAGTGCTCAACCCCACTCATATGTTTGTCACAATCGAAACTCTATTGCCCTTCATTCGTTCAGAACAAGTCTATTGTTCTCTGCTAAACTTCCAAATTTGATCAGTAATATTTCTTGAATTATTCAAACGATATTTCAAAGAACAAACGTTAAAAAATACCTTGTGGACTGTCCGTTTGTGTCACCCAACGCTGGTGGTGGTTTTATACATCATTACCCGTTACTGGACATGTCATTACAACATGATGATGAAAAGGAACCTTTGGAAACCATTGCATCAACAACCACACTTTCCGACAGTTCATCGTTGCAACAAAATTCTGGATGGCTCCGAACAACACACCGTTCGGACGACACGACTCCATTTCAACACACAGTTCTCACCATGAGAAGGAATTTACATTCAAACAGCTCCGTTGCTCCTTCAAAATTTCATAATCTTGTTGATGATGATTCTCATAGAAATTTACCTCCACCCAACGTTGGGTCGTCCAACACTCGGACCATTTCATCATTCTTAAAAAAAATGTATTATTACAGTACTAATGGTGAATGGGATGAATCATTGGCCAATGATTACGAGGATCATGGGAATGATATTGAAAGAGGAGTACGAGAGGGAGTGAATTATGAAGAGTTTAGAGATTCAACTCCGACATTACTTCATACAGATGATCAAAATCATCAGGTCATAAATAATGATAACCTCAATGAGGGTGATGATGAGATACCATCACACATCAATTCTAATAGTGATCAGAATTCTCATCGATATTTTGCGGAACAGCCAAAAGCACAATATCATGGATTAAGGAAGAGAAAAAAATTCAGTATTAATCCATTAAAAGCTTGTTTGGGAAGTACACTGACGTTTATTTTATTGGGAGTCATTGCAATCTTTATATTACTAATGGTACTCTTGCTGGTAGGTTATTTTATGTGGAAAGAACATTGATCGTTGACTGGCGTCTGGTAATAATATTGACACAACTACTACAAATTTATTGGGTATTTATTGAACTATGATATTTTAATATTGACAACCTTGTTGGACTCGATGATCCTTTATTTCTTCAACATTTAACGCATTCTCCAAAAATATACACTTTTAATATGAACCTTGCGATGTAAACTAGGTGGAAAAACCAAGACAAGTTATCATAGTCTTGTCAATTGATGGATTCAGATACGACTATTTGGACTTGTATCCACAATATGTGCCGACTTTGTTGAAAATGAGACGAGAGGGAGTTTATATTGACAAACTAAAGCCCTCGTTTCCAACTAAAACTTTTCCCAATCACTATACAATAGCAACAGGTCAATATGTACAATCTCATGGAATTACCTCAAACAAATTTTACGACAAGAATGCTCCTTTTGATTCGAAAGTTTTCACACAACAACTCACTGACCCCTTTTGGTGGGAACAAGGAGAACCAATTTGGATTACCGCTCAAAAACAGGTTGGTATTTGGCAAGAGAATTGTTTTTCCATCATGATTGAACACTTCGTTTATTGTTATTAATCATTCATTCAACAACCCTTAAATCATGGATTTTCAACATATATTTTTTCAGAAAATATCCACGTATGTATTTTCACAATTTTCTTCTGGAGAATAGAATCACCTTATCTCTAATTATTCCATCTCAGTGCCTGCTATGATTATCCTGCATCAAATGTTAAAATTCAAGGCATGTTTCCGACCTTCTACGAACCAATTTACATTCATGACAATTATGACATTCAGAAAAGAATTGACAAGTTAAATACATATTTAAGCATGACCAAGAATCATGAAGCTCTCGCTCCTAAATTAATAATGTATTATTTAGGGTGGGTTGATGACGCTGCCCATTTTCATGGCATACCCGACCCTTCTAAAAATCTCACCTCTGAAAGTTTATATTTTTACAATGCTCTCAAAATGGTGGACGATATGGTTGCAAATATATTTCAAACCATTTCTGCTTTAAAATTGGAAAGTCATGTGAATGTCATTGTGTTATCGGATCATGGCATGGAAAATGTGAAACAAAAAGAAGATGGAATTTGGATTCAACCCATGTTAGATCGTTACTATTCATATATGAACATGGCACCACTTAATATTTACTCGATAGCAGAAACATACACTTCGGGTACTTTGGTTGATTTCTATGTCATGCCAAATAATACAGATCACAGTGCACGTCAATTAGCCATCCGTACGCTCTATGAAGGAATTAAGGGAGCCATTGATTTGTTTTCTTACAAGTGCAAAGTTTACACAAAGGAAGATATGCCATTCCGATTCAAGTATACCAATAATTCGAGAATACCTGACGTTTTGGTAGTGAGTGACATTGGTGAATACAGTGCACTTGATTCCATGTTTTGGTGGGGAGAGAAAGCGTAAGTAACATTTTGTGCTCTTTATCAATCAAACTTGTATTTTCAAACATCAATTTTCCATCTCTATATTCCACAAAAAAACAGAGATCATGGATACGACAATGAAGAACCTACCATGCAAGCTTTTTTCCAAGCTTTGGGACCTCTTTTCAAAAGTGGTGGCATCAAGGCCTATGACTCTGTTTCCAACATTCACATTCATTCACTTCTTGCGTCTTTACTCAAAATCAAACCTTCCACACGAAATGAAGGAAATTTGGATGAAATCAAAAATGTATTATCGTATGAGGACACTAAATAAGAGAAAGCTGATGGTTGTGTCTTTGTATCATTCTCGAGTGGACCATTTGTGTTATGTTGTCATTTTGTAAATGAGATGATCAAGCGCCAAAAATTTTACAATTTTTTTATGGACCCTTATTTGGCCACTTATTTTTCCCAACACTAAAAAAATGCAACAAACACTTCTCGCCTTTGGTTCGCATATTTGTTTGAAATTGAGCCGAAAGAAGGCTTGTCTTGATCCGAGTACCTCGACAGAAGAGTCCACCACATCAAGTTTCGTGATGGAACGAAAGGGAGAAGGCTCTCTCGTATTTTCTGAAAAATCCGAGTACGGATCCGATGAGGATACGTTTCTGATTACCATGCCTGGAGGATTACTTCCGTCCTATATCAAACCTATTCATTACGGAGAGCCTTTTTGTATGAAGCATGTGGCAAGTCAGAAATTTGTAGTGGTGGCAGGCTCTGAAGGAAAACATTTGGATTGTGTCTTTGATTTTGTATGTGCTAAAGGAGAGGAAGAAGTGTGTTTGGTGCGGAGGGAGAGACCTTTTGAGAAAGGTTCAAGCGAAATGATAGATTGTTCTGATCATGGAGATGAAATCATTCTTCGATTGGGAGATGGCTCGGATTATTATCCCTATGTGTTTGTGTCATGTTCTAGTATGAATGATTTGAGAGTTGCAAAATTAATTTCTGAACCGGAGCATGCCTGTGTTGCGTCAGTGACAATACAACGTGAATTTACACCTGATCAGTATGATGAAAAGAAATATGGAAGATATACTTGTCTCTTGAAGAATCATTTGATAAAAGAGGGTGATTACATTGGAGCACACCAAGCCTTAATATTTGATGCTAAAGAACACGTAATTTTGAGCTCGTTGCCAATACCCCAAAATGAAGAAGAGGAAAAGCTAGTTCCCTCACTTGAAGAACTCGAACATCTGTTTAGCACAATTGTGAAACGAGAACATGTTTCAAACGCGTCTACCAAAATTTGTTTATTGGGAAATGATTTCATTGTTCCAGAGGAGAAGGAAATGCTTCTCATGCTCTTAAAGAAAGCCTATGTAGACACGTGCGCAGTTTGGAGAGCAACTCGAACTCTCAACGATGACACACAATTGAGAGTACTTGCAACAGTGATTGACGAGAGGTATCTCATCTTGGCAAATTGTTCATCAGACTTGGACGTTTTTATGAGAGGTCGTTCTCTGATGGCCTTGCTTGTCAAACGAAGCGTTGACAATGGAAAATTGTTGGATTTTTAGAGAATATATTCGAAAGATCAAGTTCATTGTTCTTAAGTGTTTTGTTGTTCTCTAATACTTTTCACAAGACTCTTTTCTTCTTACAAAATGTGAAACATCATTTAAAATTATTTTGGACCTCTCTTTGGTCTTTCTTTGCAACATGATGAGTTTGCGTTGTTGTGAATTGTTGTGTGAGTTCATGTTGCTTGATTGATTTTTTGAAGGTGGTGCATTTGGAACAAATCTATTTGAAGATTCTTGAGATGATTGGTTTGTTTTTTTGTTTGATGCATTTTCGTTGTGTGATGTCTTTCCTTCATTCCAGGTCTCGGCCAATTCATACAAATCATCCCATTCTTTGAGGATGAATTCATTGTCTTCACATGCATTGGCCAACCATTTTATCAGCACCACAAACAATAAACATCTCTCTCCCAAATCTTCCAAATCGAAACACTGACAATACTCCCATTCTAAGACCATGTTAAACTGTTTCTTAATACAAAAGACATATGCATGTTTGCGATCAGCCAAAAGTCCCATTCCTGTTTTCAAATTGTGTTCCTTCATGAGTACTATGGGAAGAATACACACTTTTCTGATGTCTGGCAAAAATTCAGTCACATTCTCAAGCTTGTATTCCATACAAATTGCCTTCTCTTCAACACAAACATCTGGTTGACAATACTGGGAATCCATTCTTGAAATTCCTGCACTTGGTGTCACTTTACAATTTTTCTTTACATTCAGTCCGAAATCGACAAGCATTCCTGTTATCCATTGCAAATGAATCACTTCCAAGTGGTTTTCTGAAGAAATCCATGTGTTTCTTCTCTCCCAGCTATATCTAAATTCATTTATACATCTCAAATTGGTGTCAATATTCACTCTATTCTCAACACAATGCTTCAAATATGAGACAAGAATCGTTGCATTATTGTGAATGTATTCTCTTAGATAGTTGGTAATTCGGAAAGGAATCTTCTCCTTGTCCTTCAGAGACTCTGAGATCTTTGCATAAAATGGTTTTAAATCTTCTGCCTTATCAAAGACAAATTTGTCATGAGAGAACTTTTTAAATCTGCTCAAAAAACATTCATCAAGAAACGTATATACATCACTCTCATCGCTTTTCGATCGTGTTGGAAGGAAGGATGATCTTGAATTATTAAAATCTTTTTTAAATGCCATTTGCCTGTGAGATGATAATCCCGTTGATACATTAAATCCAAGTAATTCTAAAACTCTTTCAGTGTATTCCTTCATTTGAAAAGCTCGCAACTGCCATTGTGCATAGTCAAAGCGTTCCTCACAACAAGTTTCGCCGGATAAAACCCTCATATATGCGTTCAATAAATTTACCTTAATCTCTTCCTTGGACATTTTCATTTCCAATTGAGAAGGCTTTTCACGAACATGATCGGCTAGATGGTTCACCCATGCCATCAGTGGGCTGTTAGAATCAATGAATTCTGAAAATAATGGAAAGTAAGTATTAGAGTCTTCTACCCTAACGCACGTACAAGGGATTCTACTCTCTGGAGCATTCTCTGCTTGGCTTGTTTCAGAGTTGGAATGATCATTTTCAATAACATTAGGATGGAGACTAGTAGCATCATGATTCAAGTCCTCATTACACCCGTCATGGGGATGATGCACTTTAGGTGTGATTTCCAATTCATTCAACTGTTGTATGATGGTACCTGCTTTTAATTCATCTTGTTTCTCCGATTCACTCGAGTGAATGTTCCAATCCTTCTTAAAATCTCCTGAATCAACCTCAATAACGCAACTACTACTGGTATCAGTACTAGAATGATTTAAAATCTCTTTGCTCTCGGAGAGTTCAGAACTTGCATCGCCCTCTGTGGACATGGTGTTCTTATTAGAAATGAGGAATTATTATTATTAATAATTTTTTTTAAGGATCGTCGTTCCTTAATTAATAAGCGCGGTGTAACCATCCACCCATTGACTAGTTGTATGAATGAAATATAAGAAGTTATGAGCTCATGTTATTCGAATGATGTATTTGGAACAGATCTTTTGATTACAATGATCAATAATAGCCACAAAACTTTTCTTGAAATTCGCCAAAGCTTTTTGGAAATTGTGAAATTGCTACGTTGGAGCAGATCGAATATCGTGTTAACAAATCCAAACAAACTTCATAGCCATCCCTGACAGTATTGAATAAATTATTTCTATTTTCCTTCAATTGCTCAAAAAGAAGGGCTTGAACGTTCTTTGCTCGTTTCAGTGGTACCTTCTTGAAGACCTTGTGCTTTAGAATTCCTCCAAAATTCGAAATAATGACATTGCTATATTTACACGAAGTTTCAGTCACTCTTTCTACACACATCATATTAATGACGATGCCTTGCACATCCTTTTCCGAAAATGTATAATTCTCATTGAACAAAATGGGCTTACTAATGGAATAGTATCGCTCTGAAGTAGGATCATACATGATCGATAACGCTTGATAACAACATCTCTGGTTGGACAACACAATGGGTAAATCAATGGCCAACTTGGTGACATTACCTGGGAGAATACCCTCCATATGTCGATGTGGAATTGTTTTCAGACAAAATAACGTAGCGTCGACATTTAACGTTTCATCCAATACAGATTGAACTAGTTTTGAATGCATGGCTGAAAGTACTTCCTCGGCGCTGAATGGAAGATTGGCTGTTTCTTTAAAGCAGCCAAATTTGATTCCTAATGCTTCTTGATCCACATAATATTTACCCTTGCTATAGTAGATTGAGAAAGGAGAGTCTGTAGTTGTTGGTTTTAGAGTTTGCCAATTTCTTCCGTGATATGAAAAGATCACTTGCTTTAGAAAATTAAAATCTTCAACATTGACATAATCTCTAACAAATTCCTTTTTGGTAAATTTCGTGTAACATTGCCCGCTATGACAATTATTAGAACTCCACACAGAATTCGAATAATCCAATACTTGAGCGACAATGTCTTTGTGAGCAGGATTTGAAAGGAAGGAGAGCCAGGTATCAGATTTTTCAAATCTAAACAATACATCTGTTTTGAGTTGACGTAAAATGATAATTCGCAACTCATCAAAGATCGTTTCAAAGAGAGAGCATGTATGCTCATTTTCACAATTCTTGAGAGACTTGAGGGATGTTTGGATGGATGATCGTACGGAAGCATCAACGTTAATTTCTCGAGTGGATTGAGGTGAGAGGAATTCATTAAATATTGCTTCAGCTTTTTGTTTTAGACTTTCTCTACCTTCTTTTGAAATATCCTCTATGTGAATTTGATCTCTCTCGCTTCCTCCCAATGTAAATAGCCCTGACAGGGATTGAGAATATGAATCGAGGCCCATATCTGAGTTCAACTTTTGTTGTAATGCCTCCAATAAATTATTATTGTTGAACAACAGCGCAACTGACTGTCGTTTTGATTTAAATGTTTTGGAATTCGACGAAGAAAGTGATACTCTCTTTTTTTTTGTATCTTGTTTTCGTTTGTCACCATTTGACGAAGCCATTCCAGAAACCATTAAATCGTCGACGGATATCGAACTATTGTTCAAATTCAATGTAATTCTCAAGTCATCTATTTTTTTCTTGTGAGCCTCACTTTTAAATGTATCAATTGCAACGTAATACAATCGAATCGATTCCAAACAATCAAATAATTCCAACACTCTAATTTTTTCACAATAGTCTTTGAAAAGAGTTTTTGTTGTTGGATGCAGTAAGAGATGAATCAAGTGAATAGATCTTCCCGCAATACCACATGTGAAATCATAAATATTGTCATCTTCAAAGATCATTGATGAATTGAGAGATGAGAAGGAACTTCTGTTCGTTTTGTGTTGCGATGATTGATTGCTAACACTGTCTTCATCATCTCCGGGGGTATGGGAAAGAAATACGAAGGAAATTGCAAAAACACCAGAAAATTTTAGACAATTCATAACTTTCCCATGCTTTCCGAATGCTTCAGCCTCTTTCTCGGTATTTCCAATCAGTTTTGCAAAATTCCGAAAATTTGAACGGAAATTCATAAAACGTGAAGAAGCAAACGGAATCCTCAGTCAAAAACAGATAAAAAAACAGCAGCACACCATGGAGAAAAATTGTCCTATTTGCAACACCAACATTGATGCATTAACGTTCAATCGTCACATTCCCAAATGCTATCATCAGTCATGTGTTGCCAATGAAGAGATTCCACTGTGCACATGTTTGACATGAAAAGGAACAAAGACACATGATGGTGATTTTCTCCACAAAATACAAAATTCAACCACTCCCCATAAAAGAAGGTCTGTAACGGCTCCAGCAACATTGGGATCAATGTCTCAAATACAATCCTTAGGGACTTTCAGTGAAGATGTCTCTCCAAAGCTTCATCCTGATAAACTTAGCGGTAAAGAATGTATTTGTTGCACCATCTGTACGGCTGCCAAAGGATTCCCCAAAATTTACGTCGGAAAATATCGAACACTAATACTATGCAAGAAATCTCATGCTCTGGACAACACTGAGAATAAAAGATTGGCTGAAATGATTGACAAAATCAATGATGAGGTCATTTCAACCAATGATTCAAAGCAATCAATTCTTGATGGAGAATCTGATGAAGAGAATGCTATTGAAGACGTTATGTGTAGTGGTTGTAAAAATGTTGACTCTTCTTCAAAGTGTGGCGCTGTTTGTAAGGGAACCCTTTACATTAAGGAAAAAAAAGGTCAAACCGAGTCTAATATTTTTTTCTGTAAAGGTTCTCACTTAATCAAATACTTGGTTCGCCATTATTGCAACCCAAAGCAAAACTGAAGTATTACGCATTGCTCATATGCGATGGGTAGTTGTTGGTGCTTTTTGCAACTTAAATTGGACGAGATATAGTAATAAAGACTTTGAAATGTCTTGCCCATAAAATCCGATGGAATTTAAAAGAATTTAACAGAATCCGAACAAATTTGAAAGAATTTGAAAGAATTTCACAAATACAACAAGACGAAGCATTTTTTTTGATGATTCTTTGAAATTTGATGGAAGAGCAAAGATAGCTTTGGAAAAGAACAGACAAAATTTGCCAAAAATTTCTCATTTCGCCTTCGTATTTCTCGCCCTCGTCTCGGGAGGTGAATAAACTCTAATATTCATTACAGAAGAACTTGTGGGCGATGTTGAACTATTCGCTCGAAATGGATAGTCCCTTGTTAAGGGAAGTGAAACAACGGGAGGAAATTGCCCTGCATTTGGCGATTGTTGATGACTATACATGGATGAATAATGAATATTATGAGGCGAATAATGAAATTGTTGAGAATGATGTTGCTGCTGAGAAGATGGTGGTGGTGGTGTATTTTCCCTAGAAGAAAATAAGGACGATGTAGAAGAGGAATGATTCGCCAGTCTCTTCAAGCTTCTTCTCTTATCTACATTTTTTTCGTGATGGAGGGAATGACCGTTTCCTATGGGGTCCATCATATTCGTTGCTGCTGTAGATGATGAAGAACCGTTGAATGAAGTAGTAGTGGTCGATGATGAGGAAAGAATGGAAAGAGATTTGGGTCGAGAACTGGAAGGTGTGCTCGGAGTCCTAGGAGATGAGTGCTGTGGCTGCTGTTGGGTGTGGGCTGCTACTGCTGGAACGGAATGGTTTTGATTGCTGCCATCGGTGTTGTTGGACGACGGTGAAAGGCTACTCGAAGTCGTCACGGAAGAAGAATCATCGTTCAAAAATTCAAAGAAGGAAAGTGAATTTGATGGAGTTGTTGATGATGAGGTTGCTGCAATGAGTGTGTGGCTATGACTACTACTTGTATTACCATGGTCGTTGAGATTTATGACATCCGAGCCCGAGTTGTAGGAAATATTTGGAAAACCGTTCTTTTCTTCTTGATGAAATTCGTTTGTATAATTATTGGTTGAGATGGACATGGTTGGACGATCATGTACAATCATGTTGTTGTTGATGTCGTTGTTGGTATTGTTAGAATGTTGTGTTTGTTGTGGTTCTCGTTGTAGGTCAATGAGTGGTTCGCACGAATGAATGAAAAACTGATGCTGCTCTGAGACAATCTGTTGTTGTTGGAAATTGTTATTATTATCTTGACCAAAATTGTTACTTGTGCATGACGCAAGTGTTGGATTTGGTGGTTCACGAGTGTTTGCAACTGGTTGACAATGATGTGAAGAAGAAGTGGAGGAGGATGTTGTTGCTGTTTTTTGTTGCAAGTGGAGAAGGGAGGCAGTTAGTGTTGATGACGATGACATTTTCTCAATGTTGTGTTGTAGTAACTGCATTCAACACTAGTACTTGCGACGGAGATATATTCTGTTCCTGTATGACAGAATACAACATGAATGGATGACATCTCACCAGTTGAGGTAAGTCTGAACAAGTATGGATTTGTCGAAATTGAATTAGTTCAAACAAATTTCCACAACGTTCTCTTGCTGAGATGCAATAAGAGTCGGCACTGCTTTCCAATAGCCGTTTTGTCCAAGTTTCCAACGAGCGAGTAAAGAGAGCCTGTTTCTTTGCGATATTGTTCAGTGAATAAAATTGGAAAGAAAGAGAACAACGTCTCTTCCAATCATTTTAAGGCCAACGCCATTCCTGTAGTTGAGGAGGATTTGTATCATTGCAGCTCTCAACAATTTTCCAAAGATTACACTCTCAATAAAACAGCGAGCTTTTGTTAATTTTCAGAGAAACATTTTTGCTCTGTTCTTCTCAAAAGGAAAGTAAAAAATGAGCCAAATCAACCAACGAGGTATTGGTGATGGAATGATGACCACCACTTCCTCATCATCATCGCCAATATCAAACCCATCATCAGCATCGGCATCATTAAATCCTCCTCCACCAAGTATGATGGGAGTTATTGGTTCCATTACTTTGAATATTGCTGCTTCGGTCGGAACCATTTTTATCAACAAGCACTTGTTTCAAAATTTGGGTTTTGTTGGTTTGGGAACCACACTCACGGTTTTTCACTTTGTATTTTGTTTTGTATTTACTGGGTTAACTGCTGTATTGGGAGTTTTTCAACCAAAGAGATTACCCTTGTTGAAGGTCCTTCCGATTAGTTTGGCCTTTTGTGGATATGTTGTTTTCAATAATATCAGTTTGGCCTATAATAGCGTGTCGTTTTATCAGGTGAGTAGTTGATTCATGAATGATGACGAACCATTGATAACGTGCGTTATCAAATTATTTTTCAACATTTGTGGACACCTTTTTGATGATCTTTTTGGGTTGACCATGTGATTGACCATTACTACTCGTCTTGTTTGATTTCACCATTCATAAAACACCCTTGAAATTGTACAATACATCGTCAACGCTGTCCAATATTTAAATTTTCCGAAAATAATTCAACAGGTCATGAAAATTATGTGTACTCCTTGCATCATTCTCATCGAATACTTCTTCTACCGAAAAACTCCAGACAGAAGAATATTATTTCCTTTGATTCCAGTTTGTGTTGGTACATTTATTACAGTCTTTACAGATTTAGAAATGAATTATTACGGAACGGTCATGGCCGTGTTAGCTGTGTTGACAAACTCAATGTACACAATTTATGGAACTGAAAAGCAAAAAGAGTTGAAGGCCAATTCTCTTCAAATTTTGCTCTATCAATCGATCATGAGTGCTGTAATTTTATCCGTCACCATTCCTTTCTTTGATGACATGGAAGTATTGCCAGAATATGATTTCAGAGATACTAATAATCTTTTCTGGATTATTTTCAGTTGTGTCACTGCATTCTTTGTAAATGTTAGCTTCTTTTTAGTTGCTGGAAAGACCTCACCTTTAAGGTAAGTTTGAAATAACAAAAACGTTGCAGTACCAACAGACAATATATGATCTGTAATATCATACTGAATGTATTATCCCTCAAATGATTGATGTCATTTGTGGATCAATTCTTTTCATGGACCATTCATACACAGTGTCAACGTTGTGGGTTACTTTAAGACCGTACTTGTTTTCATTGGAGGTATCATGCTCTTCACAGACATTGTCTCTGCAAAGAACTTGTTGGGTGTCACCCTTACCTTGGTTGGTGTTGCTTGGTACACTTATGAAAAGTACAAGATCACACAAGAAAGCATTCTCGTATTACCAACCACAAATAAGTAAAAATGTTCCATGATTAAAGCACAACTCATTCAATCAACAAGGTGGTTTCAACGTTACTGTAAAAATCGGAATTAAAGATGGTTCAGTTTCATCAAGTAGATTGTTATTTGAATGGAGCTTTTGTGATCTCCGAGTACTCGTTTCCAACTCATTTCACGAATTTCAAATCAACGAAAATCGGTTCAAAAAAAAATATCAACACATTCACCCGTTTTCACCGCACCCTTGGCCATTACTTTTTCCCTCATCCCATGCTCTACACACCTCAAGCGAATACCTACGCTCCTTCCATGAATGCCAACTATGTCATCACGTATGATACTCTCCTCGAAAAATTTGAAGACATGTATCCTATCGTGTTGGAGAATCGTGTGAGTCCTCAACAATTCTCGGAAACCATTGCCCGTGCGAGTCAAATCATGCGAGAGCATATGTCTCATATTCAGACTCGTCCTCTCCGTACTTTTTTAGCTGTATTTGGAATTATTATGGTTGCTACCATGCTCTTAACTGCTGTTCCCTTGTTGATCTACTTTCTAGCCTATGCCGATAATGGACAATATAATAACGGATGGTGGGTTTGGATCGCCTTCCCCATGCTCTATGTATTTGTCATCATTGGAATTACCATGTGGTCCATTCGGAGAAGACAATTAATAGTCAAGCGCCATGCTCAGTGCAAGGCTGATTTGCATAATTTCCTTCAATCCGAAAACCAAAACAAGTACATGAGAATGGGAGTTCAATTTGTGTTGAATTATAATACGAGTGTGATTATGGGCAATCGATACACGACTGTAATTACTTATAAGCATTTAATCAGCATTCCATCCATTGCTCTCTTTGTGAGCGGTGGAAATGCTGGCATGGTGATGGTTCCAGTGGTGGGACAACCTCAACAACCCATCATGGCATTTGGACAAGCCGGATATCAACAACAAGCCATGCCTTATCAACCACCAACCACTGCAACAACCACAACTCCAATGTATTACACACAACCTACTACACAGAGTGATGAGAAATTGGATCAACCCTTGATGCAACAACAACATTATATGTAAAACGATTGTGTTTTCGGAAAATGTTGAAATGAGGTGAATAAACCATAGAGATTACATTTTAGTTGGAAATGTTGACAAGAATTTTACAAAGTTATCAAGGAGTATGATATAGAAGACATTGATTCGCCTGTCTTGAGTTGCATTTGAACATTCTGATTTTTTTTCATTTATTAAGGATTGATGGTGATTTTAATCTAAGGACTCTTGTAAAGTACACAGTGCATAAAAGCTTAATTGGATTGAATAACAAGAAATGTCAATGTTTGTTTTCGCATTTTATTCATACCCTTAAGAATTTACATCAATTCAGCAGGTTGTCCACAAGCTTTGAGTAACTGTACAAAGTATTCTTTTAGTGATAAGAATGCTCCTTCATTCTTGCAAAATGTGAAACATCATTTAAAATTATTTTGGACCTCTCTTTGGTCTTTCTTTGCAACATGATGAGTTTGCGTTGTTGTGAATTGTTGTGTGAGTTCATGTTGCTTGATTGATTTTTTGAAGATGGTGCATTTGGAATAAATCTATTTGAAGATTCTTGAGATGATTGATTTGTTTCTCTGTTTGATGCATTTTCGTTGTGTGATGTCTTTCCTTCATTCCAGGTCTCGGCCAATTCATTCAAATCATCACATTCTTTGAGGATGAATTCATTGTCGTCACATTCATTGACCAACCATGTTATCAGCACCACAAACAATAAACATCTCTCTCCCAAATCTTCCAAATCGAAACACTGACAATACTCCCATTCTAAGACCTTGTTAAACTTCTTATTTTTCTGAATGAAAAAGACATATGCATGTTTGCGATCAGCCAAAAGTCCCATTCCTGTTTTCAAATTGTGTTCCTTCATGAGTACTATGGGAAGAATACAGACTTTTCTGATGTCTGGCAAAAATTCAATCACATTCTCAAGCTTGTATTCCATACAAATTGCCTTCTCTTCAACACAAACATCTGGTTGACAATACTGGGAATCCATTCTTGAAATTCCTGCACTTGGAGTCACTTTACAATTTTTCTTTACATTCAGTCCGAAATCAACAAGCATTCCTGTTATCCATTGTAAATGAATCACTTCCAAGTGGTTTTCTGAAGAAATCCATGTGTTTCTTCTCTCCCAGCTACTTCTAAAATCGTTTATACATCTCAAATTGGTGTCAATATTCACTCTATTCTCAACACAATGCTTCAAATATGAGACAAGAATCGTTGCATTATTGTGAATGTATTCTCTTAGATAGTTGGTAATTCGGAAAGGAATCTTCTCCTTGTCCTTCAGAGACTCTGAGATCTTTGCATAAAATGGTTTTAAATCTTCTGCCTTATCAAAGACAAATTTGTCATGAGAGAACTTTTTAAATCTGCTCAAAAAACATTCATCAAGAAACGTATATACATCACTCTCGTCGCTTTTAACAGAGCTAACTGAAGCTATGCTTTCTACTGATGTTTGAAGATTCATTTTCATTGGTATTTGAATATAAGAGGCCAACTCCCTTACTAAATTATATCCAAAGGAATCCAAAACCCTTTGGGTGTAACCCAACATTTGACCACCGTATAACTTCCTTTCTTCATCCGTGTAACCATCCACACAAAAAGGTTCGTTGGTGATAAAGCCAGTTAAAATCTGCATCAAGTTTTCCTTAATCTCTTCACCTGAAAACATCCTTTCAAATTGAGAAGCCTGATTATGTGGTTTGCAAGCCGAACGTTCACCCCATGACATGAGATTGCCAAAAGAACCAATGTAATTTGAAAGTATTGGAAAATAGGTGTTGGAGGCTACTTCAAAACACTGACATGGGTTTTTCTCTTCTTCCTCGGACCGACTAGTTTCAGAAGTGGAATGAAAGCTACAATCACTTTCAAACTCATCACTTTGGAAACTTCTCTCATCTTGATCCATATCCTCATCATGCCCGACTTTAGGATCAATTTGGAACGTTATATCTTTCTCTGCATGTGGGATGGGAGACAGTCTCAATTCATCTTCCATGCTGAACGAGATGTCTGTTTTGGAAGCCTCTTCAAACGATACATCCTCCAAACTAATATAAAGCCTCTCCGAGCCGCTGCAACGCTCACTTTGCATTTTGTTCAGTTTCTTAATTGATTTTTTTTTAAGGATTCAAGGCGCCAAAAATAATTGATCTAGCCTTGTCGCCTTCAAAACCCATATCTTGCGGCTTTGCATTGATAAGATTGCCTACTTGTTCTTTCAATGTAGTAAGATTTCAAGTGGAAAGAGTTTTGACTTTGGATCTGGTTTTGTAAACTGCGTGTCGGATTGAAACTTTTGAAGTGTGATTTCTGTTGCGAAAAAATTCATACAAGCTCTCTGCAAGGTTCGTAATTCATCATGATGATCGTGGTGCAATCCGATCCGTGTCCAACGTTACATTCCTTCTTTTGATTTGATTGAATTCATCATCCTACGTTACTTCTTGTCATGATGAATTTCGAATGATGATTCTCTACCTAATTGGATTCATCTATATTTGAAACTGTTACATTTTCGAAAAAATCATTCGTGCTTTGAAATTCATCATCAATGAATTCCAATGATTCATCATCATCGTCCGAACTCAAATCATCATTAGGTAAGTTTTTGTGTGGAAGAGCGTGTTATTATTAATTTGTTTCTATCACCATGGTGCATTTGTCGGGTTGTTCGAAAACACAATAATATTATTCTATTGTTCACATCTCCTCATGATCATGTTTCTTCTTTTTGAATTTGGACCAAATCCCATCACCATGATCCCTTTCTCCATAGAAATGCAAGGAATCAAAAAAGTCTTAACTACTCAAAGTATCAATCCAAACATTCTCAAGACGTCCTATGCCGTCCGTGGTAAGGTCGTGATTCGTGCCAATCAAATTGAGCATGAATTAAAGACCAATCCATCTGCCTTTGCTTTCCAAGATATTGTCTATTGTAATATTGGTAATCCACAACAATTGAAGCAAAAGCCTTTAACTTTCCATCGTAATGTCCTCTCATTGCTGACTGCTTCCCATTGGTTAGAGGATTCATCCAAGAAGGAACTCTTGAGCCAAATGGTGAATCGGGACGTATTAGAACGAGCCGAGAGAATCTTGTCCAACATTGATTCCAAATCGACAGGTGCCTACACTCACTCCCAAGGCTATGAATTTGTTCGTGCCGATGTTGCTGAATTCATTGAGAAGAGAGATGGACTCAAGAAGGGAACCATCCACACCGAGAGAATCTTCCTAACAGATGGAGCCTCTCCTGGTGTTCAATTGTGTTTGAAAACTTTGATCCGAAATGAACACGATGGTATCATGATTCCAATTCCTCAATATCCATTGTATTCGGCTACGATTGATTTGTGTGGAGGTTCTCAAGTTCCTTACTATTTGGAGGAAGAGAGTGGATGGGGATTAACCATGCCAGAATTGGAGAGAGCCTATGAAGCAGCAGTCAAGAAGGGACAACACGTACGAGCTTTGGTAATTATCAACCCTGGAAATCCAACAGGACAAGTCTTGGAAAGGTCACACATGGAACAAGTGATTCAATTTTGTATCAAGAAGGGAGTGGTCTTGTTGGCAGATGAAGTCTATCAAGAAAATAATTATACCAATGGAAAGAAACCATTCTATAGCTTTAACAAGATTGCATATGAAATGGGAGTTGAAAAACAATTGGAAATGATTAGCTTCCACAGTGTTTCTAAGGGGTTCACTGGTGAATGTGGACGAAGAGGTGGCTACTTCCAATTGGGTGAAGCTGTTGATGCTGCTGTTAAGGAAGAACTTTACAAGATTAGTAGCGTGAATTTGTGTCCAAATGCTGATGGACAAATTATGGTTGATTTAATGGTCCGTCCACCTGCTCCAGGAGAAGCTTCCTACGATGAATATGTCAAGGAAAGAGATGCCATCTTGAATAGCTTGAAACGAAGAGCTGAAAAGTTGGTCAAGATGTTGAACAGTTTGGAAGGCGTCAGTTGTCAACCAGTGGAAGGTGCCATGTATGCATTCCCACAAATTACCTTGCCAGAGAAGGCCATCCACAAGGCTAAGGAGTTGGGTATGGCTCCTGACTTGATGTATGTTTTGGAATTGCTCGAGCAAACTGGTATTTGCGTTGTTCCTGGATCAGGTTTCCAACAAAAACCAGGTACTCATCACTTTAGAACTACCATTCTTCCAAGTGAGGAACAAATTGAGGGAGTTGTTGACAGAATGGCTAATTTCCACGCCAAATTTATGAAGCAATACAAGTAAATGAGCTAATTGTATTATTTAATATTATTTTTATTCGAATTGGTGCGTGCATTTATCAAGCGTGCTTCTCTCAAATGACTGTTAAAACATCAAGGCTAAAATATCACTCAAGAAGAGGCAATGAATGATTAAAACATAATCAAAAATGAGTGTTATTTGAACAAACGGTTCAGTTGTGTTCCAAATGCAATAAATAGAACTTGTTTCTGGTTGAGAAATGACAATGATCCTCTCTCCTAATGTTTCATCTTTTTGGTCTCATCGAAGGAAAATGATTGTTGAACGAAGGCCCATAGTTTTCGTTTCTTACTCTCAAATGAGATGGTAATATCTTGGAATGGATCAAAAGGTTGTAACAAATCACACAGTACGTATCTCTTGGCAGGTGTCACTTCACTCTTCTTGTAGAAATACACAAAAGTTCCTCCACAAGCCACTCTATCATGATGTACCTCAGTTTGAGACCTCAACTTGGTGAAAACTTCAAGCATTGGATTTTCATTCGTTTTATCTTTTCCAGCAAGAGCTGGGAAAATCCATGCCTTTTCACCAAGGGCATAGAATGAATCTGCCGTTCGAGCAATAGTGTATCCCAAACCACATTGAAAATCAAGAACTGGATCAGGAATGGTTTCTACTCTCTTGAACATGAATTGTGGAATACTTTCTGCATTAAATTCTACATCCACATCCTCAACCATATATAATTCTCCATTTTCACATAATACAATTGTCCTAAAAGTATCGAATCCAATTTTTTTGATATGTGTTGGAAAACCAATAGTTTTTTGATATTTAGGCCCTATGGTACTTCCACAAATTAATACTTCATGTGTTGTTAATGTCACGATCGAAAAAGAAGGTCTAAATGCTATAAGTTTGACATTTGGAACTGGATCTGATATATAGGTGAATAGATTTCTATTAATACAATCACCACATCCTAATTCTCCTCCAATATTGACTCCTAGAGTGTGTGAGAAATGTACATTGCATTTTTTAAAGGAATATGTTTGTTGTTATGTCATCACATAAATGTGATGGAAAAATGATGGAACAAGAATGTTTGAAAAAGGAAAACACTTCATGGCTCACTTACCTGTAACAAAAAGACGTCCTTTCTTTGAAATGATTGCAGAATAATGTCCTTGACACACAATATGATCAACAGCGTCATCAAAAAATATTAAGCGAACTCTTTGAAAGGTATTTCGATTAATAAAGTCGCCTAGTCCTAGGGCTCCTGCAGCATTAGCACCACATGCAAACACTTTGCCTTCTGTTGTTAAAATCATGGAGTGGTGATAGCCACATGAAATTTGTTGGATGGACATTTTACAATCCCATTGAGCCTTTTTTAAATGAGTAATGTGACGTTTGGCAGGAGTTCCCACGGCACTGTATGTTCACAAATTAACCCATTATTCAATAGAAGCCAAGAAATGAATGATCATGAAGTATTCATGATTCCTGATCATTAACCATTGAAACGATAAACTACTACTTACCATTGGCCATAAGTATTGTCACCACTTGCATATAGCTCATTGTTCACAGTGGCAATTAATACAAAACCATGTCCACATGCAACATGTTTTATACTGTCTCTACATAATTTCTGAACGAGAAGTGATTTTCGTGACTTGTCTCCACACGAAAGTTGTCCAAAAAAGTTATTTCCACAGCAGCTATAGACACGGTCTAACGATTCAATTTCATCCCAATCCATGCTGTCGGAAAGAGAGACGGGCGATGTTGGTGAAGTCAATAACAAGTTTTTAACTTTTTCGATGAGCATTCTGTGAGATTTTCTCCTTGGTGATTTTTGCGTGTGTGGATTTGTGGAAGTTGATGAGAAGGGGTTTGCAATAGTGGTTGTTGTTGTTGTTGTTGTGAGAGAATCGGTGAATGTTGATGTCAATGACGAGAATGAAGAAGAAGAAGAAGAGGTAGTACTATGTTTGTCGTCTGCATCGCTGTCACTACTATCAGAGGTTAAATCCATATCCTGATTGTTGGGATCTAAAGTTTGAGACAGAGAATTGTGTGACTTTTGGAGTGCAACCTGATGCTGACGACGATGTTGATGGCCAACTCCAAACACATTGGCTGATTTTGCCTTGTTCACACCATTTATCAGACTAAGCACTAACGAGTTCACAACTTGGTTCGATGCAATAGGATTCGGTATTGGACCATTATTTGTTAGAGATGATGAAGATTTCGTTGATGTGGCTGATTCCGGAGTGTGAGGAGGAGAGGTTGTTTGACTATTCTCGTCAACTGAATTTCCGGGAATTAAATTCGTTAAATGAATATTACGATTGATGTTTGTGCTTGTTGATGATGTTATCGCGGCCTCTTCGGAATATTCTTGTGTGTGCGTTAAATTAATTTTCTTCTTCTTTTCGGGTGGTTGATAACCATCATCACTGCTACTATTATGATTTGTAAACGGATGGCTCATGTTGTTGAGTTGAGGCTCTTCTCTTATGGATCTGAATGATTGATAATATAATTATTATAACCAGAATGTTTTGAAAAATTCAATAGGATCCGATGGTCCAAGGATGGGTGAAAATATTTAGGCTGGTTCTTGTTTCTTTGAAAATGAGCAGTTAATATGTAATGGAGGACCAGAAGAAGAAGGAATTTTTTTGTTTGTTCATGAAAGCTTTCAACCAAGATTGGAGTTACCTTTTATATTCAAGAACCGCCGAATGCCCCAAATAAATGTAAGCGAAGGGATCAGAGTCAATGGTTTATCTTGTTGCACTCGATATTATTATTATTAGATCAAGACATAGTACCATAGATTCGGACGAGGAGCGAAAACGAAAGGGTCGATGAATTTGAAAGAATTTTTATGAACGAGCCACTTGTGAAAAGTTTGACTTTACAAAAATAGATTTTTCAACATGGACAGTACTCCCTTAATTGAAATGAGAACCACCCACTAATGTTACTGTAAAACCTCATTGATGAAAGGAATCGTTATTTTCATGGATCAATCATTTCTGATTTTGCTTGTAGTTGGAATGTTAACCATGCGCAGAAACACAATTTTTGCGCAGCACTTTAACAAAGCACCAAAAAGTGCGACACGTTTTGGATTTGAATATGCGGCCGAATGTTCTTTCATCATTCATTGAAAAAAAACAAGAAGAAAACCAATCCGAGGTCACTATTCCACAACCGTTGATTCCTCTCTCCATCTTCTCATCTTCTCAATTTTAAAAAAAACAATTATTTGAAAGGTTCAAAAATTGGTTAAAATTTACAAAAAAATGGCTTCATCGTTACCCACTTCACCTTCCGAGTTGTCATCATTTCCTTCCGAGGGTGAAGGAACACGACAACCTTCTCAACAAGTTGTTTGGTATTTTGCCTACGGAGCGAATATGAGCTCAAAAGTTTTGATCGGAAGACGAAAAGTTAAACCCATGGAATCGTATCCATGTCATGTCGAGGGTTATGATTTAGTGTTTAATATGAAGGGATTGCCTTATTTTGAACCTGCATTTGCGAGTATTGAAAAGAGACAAGGATGGAGAATGCATGGTGTTGTGCATAAAATTACGAGAGCGCAAATGGATCATATTCGAAGAACAGAAGGTGGAAATGGACATGATATGGATGTAAGTGTTTGCGTGTTTATTAATGAATTGAGTTTGTGTGTGACTCTTGACAAACGAAACAATTCACTCATTCTAAATGGTTTTATTTCGAACCAATCATAATTTGTTCCACCAATATTCATGACATTTGGACCTACTTGTTGTGACAACCTGTGTGTCCCATTGTTTGGATATTACCTTGATCACATTTCAGGATTTCGGATATCGTGAAATTATTGTACAAGCTACAATTTATCAACCTTGGTTTGAGTATCAAGATTCCAATACTGTCACCTCTCACGGAAATCCAACCATGTATTTCCAAACTGTGAAAGCCATTGCACTTCAAGGACCACCTGACATTAATGATGCAAATCCTTCTGCTCGTTATTTGAAAATTTTAAGAGATGGAGCAAAAGAATATGGCGTAGCCAAAGAATGGCAAGACCACCTCAATCATACGCTCCAAGAATACAAGTCTGCTGGTACTGTGAAGACTGTTGGAAAATTCTCATTTGTGCTCGTGATACTTCCTCTATTTATCATTCCAATAATTATGATGATTTTATCACATGTATTCAAAGTACAATCACCCTATTTTGTCACACGATTGTTCAAGCATCTCGGTTCAGTGGTTTGGTGGGTACATGACACAATTTGGAGTAAATTATTTGGAAGTGGAAAAAACAATAAGGAAAAATAGACACTTGTTGTGACTTAACAATTTCGTTAACAATAGAAATTGGTTCAATACAATAATAATATGCAATACATTCAAACTACTAGTATTTTGAAATATCTTGAGACATGTTGTTGTCACAGTACCATTTTCTCTTCTTTTGTACCAATCTCCATGAATGGAGTTTTCATGAAGGCCGAGAAGACCATAAATTAAAAAATAATGAACAACGAAAACACGGCATCGTCTTCTCCGAGAAGGATATCCCTAGACGAAACAGTTTCTGTCGGTACTCTACCAGGTTCCAATCATTCCAACAAGACAGCAATGAAAGGAGTAACGATGGATATTGAACTGAAATCCACCAAAACCAATAACACGGCAAGCAGTCCGAGACAACAACAAATTCATAAATCCTCTCCGAAACAGCAACAGCAACAACCATCCAACCATCATCATCCAAGACCAAGATCGTCCTCTCTCCACCATCACCATCATCATTATGCTCAATCTCATGCTCATCGGAACAACCATCATCCAAAAACGAATATATATTCATCAACCCGAAGCACTTCAAGAAGCTCTTCTCCTACAAAGGGGCTGGCATCCGTAACGACAGCAGGTGTTGTAAATGTCTCTCCTTCTTCTTCTTCAACTTCCATGATGAATAGTAATAATGATTCACCTCGGATTATACAATCGCTCTATCTTCATCAGTTGCACCATAATGATGTCGGAGCGAGTATTGTCATTGGAAATTCTAATCCAGGAGGAGAGGAAGAAGAGGAAACTATCATGATGGAAGATGTCGAAAGACAACATCAAGCAGGAATTAGAGAAGAAGACTCTCGAATTCATCAAAATGTTCCAACTCATCATCATTATGGGAATAGACATTTGCATCGTCACCACTCTCGGCACCATCATGCCCACAAACACCGAAAACATTATTTACATCCACGACACCACGGTAAACGAGCGGTGGAGAATGAACACGAAAATGAGGAAGAGGATGACACTGGCGACCATACAACAGACTCACAAGATAATATTTCAGAAGTGAGCTCATTAGCTTTGTCTGTCATGTCCAATACTGATTATGCAGAGAGTAGGAATTTTCGATTTATTGACGATGGTTCTAATGGATTGGAAAATGACAAGCGACAGCATTTTGGATCTGTTGTCAGTTTTTTATTTGCTGCTATTGGATCAAGGTAATTATTATATTTCCTGGAACGAACTTTCAACAATTATTTCAAACATTCTACAAATATTATCATAATTAATTGTGAAATATCAATATTTTCCAAATTTTAGTGTTGGCTTAGGAGATTTGGTTCGATTTCCTTATCTTGTTTATACATTCGGAGGAGGATTTTTAATACCCTATTGTATTTGCCTTGTGGTTTTGGGAGTTCCCTTAACTTTACTTGAATTTTCTTTGGGAACCATGGCACGTAGATCCTCGATTTTGTCCGTCTCCAAATGGAACAGAAGAGCATGTGGTGTGGGTAAGTGGAGTGATTAGGTTTACTAATCAAACTAATTCCAAAACGTAATTATGAATTTCCTCTACTTAGGACTTGCAATGTCCATATTCGGAAGCCTTCTCATTCTAAGTTATTATAACGTTATTCTCAGTTGGGTTTGCGTTTATTTTGTAAACTTGTTTCAAGCAAGGTTTGTAGCAACACAATTTTAAAGGTTTTGAGACATGACAATTTTTCACACATACACAACAGTCTGCCCTGGGTGGGAGCAGCAGAAGAGTTTTTCAATTCCAAAGTGTTACTCAAGTCAGCAGGGCCGACCACCCTCATTAGCAACTATTCTTCAAATTTCTTCAATGTCAATTTCATTTCCATTCCAATATTACTGAGCTTGATAGTTATTTCTTTCATCAACTTTTTTGCATTGTTTAAGGGAGTGAACAGTATCAAATTTGTGGTTTACATTACTGTACCACTACCCATTTGTTTACTGTTTATTTACCTAATGAGAACATTACTTTTTGAGGTTGGAAGCAGTACCGGTCTCTATTATTTTTTCAAACCTGATTTTAATGTGTTGCTTAAAACAGAAATTTGGCTTGCAGCTGTTGGTCAAGTGTTTTTCAGCATAGGAGTTGGTAATGGAACCAATCTTACTTTGTCATCCTATCTTAGTAGAAAATCAAATATTATCATGGCATCCATAGTTGTGGTTGTTGCTAATTGTTTGATTGCTTTCATTAGTGGGTTCACAATTTTCAGTATTTTGGGAGTAATGGCCCACGAAAAATTTGGTGCAAATGGTGAGTATCATCAACTCATGACTTGTTTCACAATTTACACAACATATTTCATCTTGTTTATGCGTTACTTTTCGCTTGACGCTCATCACATACCATAGCAAGTGCTGACTTTGACAAGCTATTTACCAACGATGTGTTATCAGGTCTTGGACTTGCGTTTATTGTGTATTTCCAAGCAGTAAGCTATTTACCTGTTCCACACTTTTCTGCCCTCCTCTTAATTATCACCATCTTTTCAGTTGGTATTGATAGCGCCTTCTCATGTGTGGAAACAGTAGTTAGTGCAATAATGGATTATTTCTCGATCAAATGGAATTTGAAAATTCATCGCTGGAAATACGTTCGAAAAGTGTACATGGAAAATTTCCAATCTGCTGAAGCTGCTGTTGAGCCTTCTCAAAAGGAACAACACAATATGGGAAGTGAAATTATTTCACAATCACCAACCGAACATCTTACTGCGGAACTTACTTTTGATGCTGCCGACAATCATGATCTTTTACACGAGGAAAATATTCCTGAAATGCCCTTTTCATACAAGCTTTTGACCAATAGGAATGTGGTAGTATTTCTTGTGTGCTTGCTAGGATTCATTCTTGGAATACCATTCACGTTAAGCAACGGATATTATTTAATTCGGATTGTGGATCACTACGTTTCTAACTACTGCCTCGTCATGATGGGCATTGCTGAATGTGTTGTTGTGGGCTATTTTGCATACGGATCGAAATATTTTGAAAATGACGCCAGTGATCTCGAAGAAACTGTAGTCATCTCCAAATTACAAGAGATTATATCTGCCATGAATGAGACGCACGACATTTCAGAGAAATGGGAAGAAGAGCTCAATCGAATGATTGACCCCAACGATGAAGAATCATCCTCTGTAATTGTGTCTCAAGTTCTCAACAATCGTAAGTATTTGCTTCAACTCAATACGATGAAATCCAAAATTATTTTACACGTCACAAATTCCAGACTCTCCACTCGGAACCAAGATTATTTCCAAATGCAAAGCCATGGTGTCACACTTTGTGGTGTTTTTCAAATATCTCTTTCAATTTCCTAATTTTTTAAAAGCATTCAACAAATTCAGACAATCCCCCTCTCAATATTGGAAATGTTTCTTTTTCTTCTCCATTGAGAGATTCAAAAATCACATTATTGCTAATAAGAAGAAAATTATTGAGAAATATGCACAAGAAGAGCCAACAGACGAAGAACCTGGATGTCTTAGTGACAACTCGATTGTTTACCGATGTATGGATCAGTTCACTCACCTCTTTTTATGGATTTGGTGTTTTTTAATCAAATACGTGGCACCCATTATGCTCTCTGTTATGCTAATTTCCACCATGATTACAGAGACAGTTTTCAGATTTCCATTTTCTTTCAGCTCAGATTCAAAGTCAAGTAATGACGAAGAAGTCGTTTTCAGTCTTGCTTTGGGATGGTCTTTGGTGATTTCATGCCTTCTCTGTATGATTTGGTTTGCTGTATTTCCTTTTGTAGAAAGAGACTCTGAAGTGTTTGGAAAGAGAAAGGTTATTAGTTGAAGAGTTGAGTTATTCTGATTGAGATTTCACATACATGATTTTTTGAGAAGCTAATACATGCTACTGGTTTTACTGTAGTGATTCGAATTTACTGGTGATGAAATGTGTTAACAATCATCAAGCTAAAGGGGTTTGATAACATTTTGGACAATGAGATGTACATTCTTGTTTTGTAATCCAAAGACCCTTCGAATCATTCAATAGAAATTTTGAAATCTTAAAAGTCTTTCCTCCGTCCATTTCAACCACCTCAAACAATTTTCTAGATGCTCGAAGGATGATCTCTTTTTAAAGAAGTGTCGAGTGCGTGTTATCTTCCAAGCAAAATCCCTGTGCTTCAGAAAATCCAAAATGTTCGTGACAGGTTGACGGGCACTGCAAAGAGACAGCTTTCACCCTTCAACATCACACACAAGTCATCAAAAAAAAAATTTCAAAAACTCGTCGAGTTTTAAACTCGCTTCTCTCAGACGGTAGGTTCAACTAACAGGTTCCTTCTTTGACTAATCCCATGTTCATTCTATGATGTTGTTGTGTTGTTGTTGTCATGTTTTTTTAACTGTGCAACTTGTATGTGAAAACGAAAATTTAAATGGTCAATGATTCGTGCTCCTTCTTGTCATGATGATAACCAATACGATAATATAACCACACACACACATACTCTCTGATTCTTCTTGGTGTTTTGTGTTTTTCATTCGAATCCAACTTTATATATATAGAAAAACAAATCCCAAAGAGATTGGCTAGTTAACCACTCGTCATTCACTCCTCTTGTAATCATAGTACTATTCGATTCATCATCATCAATTTCTGAGAGAGAAGCTCCTCCTCCAATCATTAACACAACATGTCCGTCACCAAGATGGATCTCTCCATTGCGGAGAAGAAAGCCTACGATTTTCTCGTTCGTCAAGAAGAAGCCAAACGTTGGATCGAAGAGCTCGTACAGGAAAACCTTCCTCCAGGAACTGCAAACTTTGGTGAAAACTTGCGAGATGGTATCTTCTTGGCCAAGTTGGGAAAGATCTTTGCTCCAACTGCCATCAAGAAGATTAATACACCCAAGAGTGGAAGTGTGTTGGAATTTATGGCTGTTGATAACATTACGCAATTCTTTGAAGCTTGTAAGAAGGTGAACTTTCCTGATCACTATGTGTTTGGTAAGTGTTTGAATTGTTATTGTTGTGTAGTAGTTGTTGTTATAATTTTGAAATTTGAATCGAATGTCAATGATGTTTGTGTTCTCGTTTTTCAAAACACACATTGTAACCATCTTGCTCCCTACAATGGTTTGTAAACATTGAATAACAAACACCAACCACCAACCACAACAACCACAACAACCTCAACCACAACTCGAATCATATCATAACACCTCTGCAGAGGTCACTGACTTGTGGGAACTCAAGAACATTTACAAAGTCGTTCACTGTCTCCATACTCTCTCTCTTCACTTGTATCGTAACGGTCTTGCCATTCGTATGCAAAACTTACAAAAGGCCAACTTGAAATTCTCTCGTGAAGAAATTGAAAAGACTCAAAAGTTGATTGAAGACATTGCCGATAACGCCATGGCTTTCCCAGTCGATATTGAAGAAGTTGGAGATGAAGGAACTGATTCTTCCATGGATGATGTTTTGGAAGATTTGGCAGATCCTTCCATGTGTGATGCTGAAGGAGATGGTTTGACAAGAGCTACTGCTGGTATTGAAGCTTCATTTACCATTACTGCTCGTGACTCAGATGGTCAAGTATTGACTGAAGGAAATGAGACATTCCGTGTGACTTTGTTTAGTGTGAATTTGGAGTCGTCGTCGAGTGCTGAAAGTGGAAATAGTGATGCAGCTGCTCATGAACGTGTTGTAATTCAAGCTCAAGTGAAGAATAATAATAATGGAACTTACTCGGTCTCTTATACACCAGAGAAAGCTGGTCAATACCGAATGGAATTGGTCTTGTGGGATGAAGAGACTCAAGAAGAAGTCGATCAATTGTCAAAGGTCTCTCCACAAAATGTCACTGTCTTTTCAAATCCAAAATCTGATCCATCCAAGAGTGTTTTAGACGGAGCTGGTATTGGTACTGCTGTTGCTGGTGTCAAGACTGAATTCACCTTGACTTCCTTTGATAAATATGGAAATTTGGGACGTGGAGGTGAAAAGTTTTCTGCAAAACTCACTTCTGGTTCCGAAGTTGTGGCATGTGATGTTGAAGATTTGGGTCAAGGAAAGTATCGTTTCTCCTACACTTGTCCAAAGAGTGGTGACTATTCATTGAATGTGAAATTGGAAGATGTTGACGTTGCTACTAAGAGTGTGGTTGTGAAGGATGCTGGTATTTCTGATCCTTCTCAAACTGAATTCAGTGATATTGACTCTGTTTTGGATAAGAAAGCTGGTGAAGTTTCTAAATTCACAATTCTCGCCAAAGACAAGCACGGAAATGATCGTTCCTCAGGTGGTGAAAAGTTCCAAGTGTTCCTTTTAGATCCACAAACTCAACAAGTTCATCTCCAAGCAGATGTCAGAGATTCTAACGATGGTAAATATCATGTGGAATATACTGCCAACACAAGTGGCAAGTATTTGTTGCAAGTCAAACTTGGTGACGAACAAGTCACTTCCAAGAACGTCGCCATTCATGATTCAGGCGTGACTGATCCTTATCAAACCACATTTAGAGCTGCTGAGAATTATAAACATTTTCCAGCTGGATCTCCACTTCAATTCCATGTTGAAGCAAGAGATCGTTTCGGAAACAAGCGTGAAACTGGTGGTGACACTTTCATTCTCCAATTCACATCCAAGGCCACTATGGAAGCTCTTGCTGGAGATTTGATTAAATTCACTGACAATCAAAATGGTGAATATACATTCGACTATACCATTGAACAATCTGGTGAATACGGAATGGAAGTTTTATTGAAGGAAAGTGTTGATTCCCGTTCTGAGGGTGGTAGTGATTCTACCTCCTTGTTGAAGGCCTTCTTGAGAAAGTACAAGTACACAAACATTCCAGGATTCCCTGCAACTGTTTTCGTAGATGATAGTGGTCGAACTGATCCACAACGAACTCAATTCGCTGGTGATGGTGTTTCCAATGCTGTTCAAGGAAAGGAATCTGAATTTGTCATCAAGACTAGAGACAACTTTAACAACATTCGTCAAAGTGGAGGTGACAAGGTTGAAGTCACAGTTTCCAATGAAGCTAGAAAGATTGATATTGCTGCTACTGTGAAGGATAACCAAGACGGTACTTATACTGTTGTGTATACACCAAAGGCATCAGGAAAGACCAAACTCATTGTCAAGATTAATGACGTTCTCGTTGATTCTGACATTTTGAGAGGTGGTGTGTTCGTTTCTCCTCCAAATATTGAAGATACTTCCATGCTTGACACCATTTTGGATCATGACTTGTTGTCTGCCTTGTTGAATGCTTTCAAGGTTGAAAACGATTCTGATAGCTTGATTGAAAAGATTCAAAAACTCCGTGAAGAACTCATCAAACAAATCAGAGAGAACACTCGTATTGAGGAAAATGTTCGTGACAAGGACAGAAAGATTGCATTGCTCGCTGAAAACAGATACGATGCTGAAACTATTTTGAACCAAAAGGGAGGTATTGTTGGCTTCTTCCAAAGAAGAAAACAACGTGCTGCTGAAGAAAATGCCAATGTTGACTCCAAGGACAAGTTTAACATTAAGGATTATGTCGATTACTACAGCAGCTTGTTCTACTTGCTTCAAACCAATCCAAAGTATTTGGCCAAGTGTTTGTTCTTGGTTCCTGCTCGTGACATGGACCAATTCATGCAAACTGTCACACTTACCTTGTACGGTTATGCCTTCTCTCCTCGTGAAGAATACTTGATTTTGAACTTGTTCAATGAGACACTCTCTCTCGAAATTCAAAACAGTTCCATTGACAACTTCTTGAACAATAACCCAGTATTGATTAAGTTGGTCGTTAACTATTGCCACGAACGTATTCAAGGCAAACAATTCTTACAAAAGGTTCTCTATGACAAGATTTTGGAACCAATCATTGAAGAGAAGGACTTGAACTTGAACCTCAACGCTGTGACAATTTTGAAGGAAAGAATTTCTCAACAAGAAGTTGAAACTGGTGTCAAGAGTGACATCAATATCAAGGACATGACTTATGAAAAGGCCATGCAAGATGAATATGTCAGCAAGTTGGTTCAACAACGTACTAAGAAGATGATTGACATTTGTCAAAGCGTTTTGGACACCCTCAATGACAATATTGCTGAATTGCCATACGGTTTAAGATATGTCTGTAGACAATTGAAGACCATGCTCACCAAGAAGAACCCAGAAGCTCCAGAAGAAGACGTTAACCGTGTCGTTTCCTACTTATTGTTCTTTAGATTCCTTAACGGTCCATTCTGCGGCTGTGACGCTTACAACTTGACCAAGAAGAAGATTTCTGCAAGCATGAGAAACAACTTGGCTTGGATTTCTAAGGTTTTGATGCGTGTCTCTACATTTAAGGAATTTGACAAGACCTTTGATATTCACTTTTGTGTCATGAACGATTGGATTCAACAAGCCATTCCATCCTTTGTTGACAAATTCTTAAAACCAGCCATTACCATTCCAGAACCTGAGGAACAACTTGGTGTTCACCAATTCATTGAACTCACTCAAAAGAAATCCCCAACCATTACCATTACTTTGAACGAAATTGCTCAAACTCACAGTTTGTTGGTCAAATTCATGAACAGAATTGCTCCTGATGAAAAGGATCCATTGCGTGAAGTTTTGGAAAAGATGAAAGACAAGGTTCCAGAACAAGTTGAAGCATCCAAGAATGAAGAAATTAGTTTACCACTCCAAGTTCGAACCAATATTGAGAATTTGGATCTCGAAGTGAAACCTGAACAATTATACGAAATTACCAAAGAGAGTTTCCGTACCTTGTTGCGTATTATCACTCCACAACAATTGGGTGACAATGTTGCTGAGACTATTGAAAAGGCAGACAAGTATGCTGATGATTTGATCAATGCCAAGTCAGCAGATGGAGCTCAACTCAAGAGAAAGGTCGAAGATTTGAGAAAACATTTACCAAAATTGGTAGAAGCTGAAATTCTCTCTAAAGAAAATGGATACAGAAGGTTATTGACCGACATTACCAAAGAAATTCAAAACAGAGGAGAAGTTAGAAAGAAGCAAGCTCGTGAATTAGAACGTCTCTCTGACAGCTTAAAGTCCTTGAAAGAACATCAAACCTTCCTCAAAGAAAAGGACAAGAGTTTGGACGACTACATGCAACAAACTCTTCGTAACTATTATGAAAGCAAGAATAAGAGAAAGCAAAAATCTGGCAAGAAACAAGTCTACAAATTCAGTTACGAACAATTGTATGAAAAGTATAAGGTCATTGCCGAAATGACTGAAGGAGGAGTTTTGAAGAAGAAGATTAAATTCCACATCAGTATGGATGAAGCAAATCCAGGTTTCTTCACAGTCGAAGCGAAATTAGCTGGTGCTGAATTGAAGACAATTAATTTGAGATTGGATGAACTTTTGGATAAGCGAGGAAAGGGTGAACAAGTACTCAAATTGGATGGTGTTTCGTTGAATGTGAATATGACCATCCACATGATGAACAAACTCTTTGTTTCCAAGTAATTTTGACCACTTGATGTTACAATAAATTCCTATAAATTTCCTAAAGAGAACAACGAGTTGGTGTTGTAAAACAATGTAATCATTCCAAGGTGGTGTTATTAAACAATGTAATGGTCGTTCTACCATCTCATGATGCTGCTTTCCAGTTCAATTGGATGATAGAGATCACATAATTATGGCCATGAACTCGGAACATGAGATGGATATATTACAAAAAAAAATATCTTCACCCAGCTCCACAAACACCCTACTCCCCGTTCGTTTAGGCCACAGTGCTCTCTTCTACAATCAACACATTTACTTCTTTGGTGGTCTTCAAAAAACAGTCTCTTCCATTCGTCCTCTCGAATTTGTCGATGATTTGGTTCAAGTCCATTCTCTCACTCATGAAATTACAAATCTCACCTCCTCTCGTCATCCGAATGAGGGTCCATGTGCTCGAAATTTTCACACCACGGTACTGAATACGTCTTCAAATGAAATGATTCTTTTCGGAGGAAAATCGAATGGATTTCTCAATGATGTTTGGAGTTTTAATTTCGCAACTGGCAGTTGGAGAAGATTGGATTGTGAAAATTCTCAATTGATCACTCCAAGATATGGACATTCGAGTGTGATTTATGGAGATTCCATGTTTGTATTTGGCGGATATGATAATAATGCATTTACAAGCAAGGAATTGTTTGAGTTGAATTTGAAGACTTTTGAATGGAAGAGCGTTGGATTGAAGTTGTCAAATGCCAAAGAAGGTGTTGAGCAAGAAGTGAGTGGTCGATTCTATCATGCTTCAGCTCTTGATGAAGAGAATGGAGATTGGTATTTGATTGGTGGAAAATCCTCCAATGGTCTCACCAAAGATTTCATTAAAATCAAATTATCCACCCTGTCAACCGTACCTGTCACATCATCAGACAATGATAACAAGGATTCCAAATCCGTAGAATTTGAATTTATTGAAAGTTCTGACGAGAATGTTTTAAGATATGGTCATTCATGCATTCTTGAAAAGATTGGAAATCAAAAAAAGATTTACATGATGGGTGGTTGCAATCAACAAGTTGACTTTTTTGATTGTTATTGTTTAGAATTGAATGATGCTTCTCATCCGTCATTATGGAAGAAGGTGAATGCCAATGAACATGTTCTTGCTCAACTGTTTAAAGAACCTTCCAAGTCTACGAGTAATGAAAGTACTCAATTTGAAGCCTTTCCAGTTTTTCACACCATCACTCGTTATGTGAATGTCAATGATCAAAGTATTTCCTATTTTGTCTTTGGAGGAACTTTACAAAAAACTCAAGTGGAAACTACTTCCACAAAACAGAACGCTGTTGAGATTGTGAGCACAACAAACAATGCCAAGAAACAAGTTGAAGAAATGGAACTTCATTACAAGGAATTTGAAGACATGCTCAATGATGACATTTTCAGAAAAATTCTTTCCTATTTGCAATGTGTTGATTTGATGAGATTACAATTGGTGAGCAAAAGATTGAGAATTTGTCAACTCACGACAGAGGATCAATATTGGAAAGATTATTACATGAAAAAGATTTCTGATTTGAGACAAGCGACAGCTATTTATTATTACGACACGAGTGCCAGACAAATGCTTTGGAGAAATGATTCACAATATGATCATTTACCAAATCGAAGTGAGAATTTTAAACAAGGATTGATCGAAGTGTTTAAAACATTCATAACCAAAGCTGAGAAGAGCTCGAAACAATTGACAAGTGACCTCGAGAGACTTTCTTTTGTAGCACCCAAAAGAAGATTTTTCACACCAGATGAAATCTTGGCCTATCCTAACGAGGATATCAATTTTGGTTCTCCAAAAGATTTTAAATGTGTAACTATTGGAGATGGAGCCACAGGAAAGACGAGTAAGTTTTTGTTTTCACAATGACAGTCATTACTCTTGACATCACTGATATGAATATTTTATGATGAAAACACGTGTAACAGGCATGTTAATTACTTACACCACCAAAACGTTTCCTGTAGACTATGTTCCAACTGTCTTTGATAATTATTCTCACCCAAGTACTTTTATGCCTAATATGAATTTGGGTTTATGGGATACTGCTGGACCAGAGGATTATGATCGATTGAGGTACGTTCCTTTTTTTCAAATGATTTCATTGTGATTACTTGTTAAAAACATTTTGCAACATTGTAAATTGACGACACAATTTTTTCGAACATTATTGACATTTGACATTTCATACAGACCTCTAAGTTATCCATGTACAGACCTCTTCCTTCTCTGCTTTAGCATTGTATCCAAGGCCTCTCTTCTCAACATTTCCACAAAATGGATTCCTGAAGTTAGTCATTATTGTCCAGATTGTCCAGTTCTACTTATTGGTACTAAAAAAGATTTAAGAACAGATCCTGTTCATACAAAATCCATGTTAATGAAATATAGTGAAAAACCCGTGACAAAAGAACAAGGAGAATTGATGGCTCGTAAAATGGGATGTATTTCATATATTGAAACAAGTTCAAAATTGGGAGAAGGTTTTGAGAGATTTGATGAATTGATTATTAAGGCAGTTAGTGTGGGTAAGGATGGTAATTATCAACCTTTCTCCAACCACTCGAAGAAGAAGTGTTATTTACAATAATTGTGTACCATGATTGGTGTCAAACTGCCAAACGTCAACGAGTGAAGTTAGGCACAAATCTATTGACCCTTTTCAATGCAACACTAATATAAACACTTTTTCACATTGTGCAAGCTGATTTTCATAGATGGATCTATTAACCTCACTATGCACCTCACAAGTTTGAATCTAATCACAATAATTTTTTTAAACTTTTAAAGCTATTGTACAATTCTAGGAGCGAAACAACATCGATGTTGTTTCACAGATCCAATCTTGTTCAATGAAAGATATGAACAAATTTCGAATATTCCTTTTTCACATACAAGATTTCGAATCTTTTCAAAAGATTCTCTCGTCCACACTTTTTAAATACTTAAAAATATTTCCAAAAAAAAACGAATTAATACCTTACCATGTGTTGGTCCAAAACCAGTTCCTTTTCCTTCTTCACGATTGGCTTGATCATGACGTTGGACCAAGTCCGAAGAATGATGGCCCTCAAACAACATCAACGTAGCCGCATGTTCTCTCAAGTCGTTTTATACCTTGCCTATACACTCATGGAATTATTACAATTCTTGCAATATCATTTCGGGATTGAAGGGACTTGCGGAACGAGTCAGAATTTAATCCTAACAACTGTGGCCCATATTCTGATTTGGACGCAACCTCTGGCTCATAATTATTGGTGTTTACGGAACACTCGGAAAGGACGATCGGCCATGAGAATGGCTCTCTGTTCATCCATTGTAACCTTTGTTGTTGCTTCAATTTCCTTATGGATGGGATATCATCATGTTGGAGGGTTTGGATTGGAATCCTCATCCTCCTCCGAGAGTAAGGACGGAAGTTTCTTGTTGGGCATTGAAATTCAAAACATTCATCCAGTGATGTGTTCTCATCAAGGTCCCAATCACTTGTATTGGATGTTTCCATATCATCCTTTATGGGGTCATGGAATTAGTTGGTACGTTTGGCTCATACAAACCGTAATGCCTCACTTGTTTCGTCACTCGGTGAAGGATAATGATTTTCTGGGTAAGAATTGGGTCGTCGGTAGTTCTGTCGTGATGGGATGGTTAGTGGCGGTCGTGATTACTTTACAAGTTGGTGGAATTATTCATGAAATACCATCGTATTGGTGTTTAATTTCAATTCCTTGGTTAATTCTTCCTTATTTGATTGCGTTTGTGAAACCAAGAAGATTTTTGGTGAATGAGGAATTGTTTATGAAACCTCTTGATGAAAAGAAGAAATGCTAGATTGCAAAGCGTTGAGTCTATTGACTCAAAATGTGTATGATGACGACGTCTTATTGTTAAATGCGTAAAGATGACACACTCGTCTCTTGGAGATTCCGTTGCTGAAGGTCATTTTGGAAGGTCATCCATAAAAAGGAGAAACTCTAAAGAGAGATTAAGAAGTAATGCATCCTTGTGTTCAATTTAATAAAACATTCAATCATCACCATGAACCGGATTATTTGCTGAGTATTATTTTGGAGGAATTGAAATTGTAAAAGAAAATCAACAACATGGAACCAGTCCAAATCCTTTTTTTGTCAATGATCGCCGTTTTTATCATCTGGTGTTTTCCCTATGTTAAAACCTGCATGCAAACGAAGAAAACCCATCAGAACAATTCCCACCGATTGGAATCACCTTCAAAAGATTTGGCTGTGGAAGAACCGCATCCGCGTTCAACAGCGACAGCTACTCCCGAACTTTCTGCACAATATTTAAATGAATATAGACCAAGTACGTACCGAACGAAACAAGAGGATTTCGATAATGATATTTGTGGATTACAGCATCATACATCTTATGGCCATCAAGATTCAGAATCCTTAATCGTTTCCAAATTTTGGGCAAAGTTGTATCAAAACATTAATGAACATACATTAAATCAGAATCACCGCGAGGATGTAAAAGGTCAACGGAAAGAGTTGTAACTTTCAAGAAAATCTAAACTTTTCAACCGGTTTGCAGAACATTAATAAAAAGTGTTCTTCATTTATTCATAGTTGGTACATTGTTAAAATTGGAGATCGACCAAACACACCTTATTTTCTTTGACTAAAGTTATTAAGTGTGGTCATTCCTACGACTGGATTTCCACCAGCATTGCTTGAGTGGTAACCTTGAGGAGATGTAAATGGTTGAGGTGGTTGGTTTTGTGACATTGGATACATTGGTACTTGCTGAACCATTTGTGAAGAAGGATATTGACGTTGTGGTTGTATTTGTGGCAGAATTTGTGGTTGAATTTGCTGTTGACGTTGAGGTTGAATTTGTGGTTGAGGTTGCATATGTGGTTGACGTTTAGGTTGAATTTGTGGCTGTTGTTGATGTTGAGATGGTTGAGATAGTGGTAGAAGTAGTGGCTGTGACTGAGGTTGAGATGGTTGTGATTGAGATTGCGGTTGCATTTGTGGTTGACGTTGAGGTTGACGTTTCGGTTGAATTTGTGGCTGTTGTTGATGTTGAGATGGTTGAGATTGTGGTAGAAGCAGTGGTTGTGACTGAGGTTGAGATGGTTGTGGCTTCTTCTTGTTATTCTTTTTTGGTTGATTTTTTGGTGGATTTGATGGTGCAAGGTGTTGACAGAATAATTTGACAATTGGAGAAAAACCAACAATCTCAACACTTCCATCCATTTGAGAAGGTTGTCTCTGAATGATATTCAGCAAGTCCGATTTCAACGCCTTAAATCCCTTGTTGTTTTCCAAGAAACTGTCAAGTGCTGATTTTGACACTGTCACTGTCTTGGAAATCTTCAATTGATCAATAAACTGTTTGTAATTGACAATGGTAAATCTTTGAGTAAAATCTTTTGGAGAAATGAGTTTGATCATGTGCATTTTCGATCGTTGACCAATGATCTTCTTTTTGGTGTTTGTGGTCAGTTTGAAAGGAGCTGCGTTCAATTTTGGAATTTGACAACTCGAACCATCGTCCCTGACACACCAAAGATTTTCATTATCAGACCATACGACATATAAAGTTTCTCCTTTTTTGCAATAGGATGGAATCTCCCGTTGACATTCAAGAATTTTGAGAACTGGATATCTGACAACACTGGTTCTATGATTATTCGATGTGTCAACTCTTTCAATCGTGTTGGTAACATTATTGAAAACAATGGTTGCGTCCTTGATTGAAATAGTGTTCTGTTTGGCTTTGTAACCGTTTTCAATGAGAATATTTTGAGCAGGTTTGAAAGCCACACTTTGTTGAGCGTCGTCCGAATAAAAGTAAACCGAGTCAATGTATCCTTCACAAGCTTTCTTTGGAACGAGTTGAATGTCATTAGTGACACCTGTTCTAATGTTCGATTGTGTCATTTCTTTAAAATTAATGTGATACTCAACTCCTTGACCATCTTTGAAATTAAAAGATGCATTAGGATTTTGAATGTAGAGCTCACATAATTGATTATTTTCTTGTTCAGTAAATTTCACAAAACGCTGGAGAGTGGAATTATAGAAACGGAAAGTTCCAGTGTATTCTGTAACATCCATCTCTTCGTTTTCGTGTGCCTGATTTGGAGTGTGATTGTTGTAAACAAGTATAGAGTGTTTGAGGGAAGATAAGGCACTCGTCATTGTTTTAAGTACCTTCTTTTCAACTGGCTCTTTTTTGAAAAGGTGAATTTCGCGAATGGAGCTGTTTGGATGCTCACTGAAATAGTTGGCAATAGTTTTGACCATGGTAGTGATTACCATATTTAGTTGTGGACCTTCTTGGACGAAAGGAGGAATTGCAAGAGATTTGATTTGGTTTTGTTCAGCAGTTTGTAAAATATTGTAGACTGCTTGAACAACATCCTGCTCTTCAATAGTAAGGAGCATGATGACATTATAGATAGTCTTGACGTTTGACAGATTTCCTGCAGATGTCTCAATTAAAGAACCAACCATTGGATCTGTGCTTCCCTTCTTTTGGTTGAATTCATGTTCCACATAGGAACCAGCAGAATTCTTAAACTCGTTGGAAAATGGAGATCCCTCTTGGAACGGATTAGCACAATTCACCAAAGCTTCTACATGCAAATTCTTATCTAAAATGTTAACATTATTCACATAAATGAAACAGTTTTCAACTTGAACAATATCGAAAACGGTATCCTTGTTCACAAAATCAATGGCAGTATAATACTTGTCTGCTTCAGCTTGAAGTTGTTGTGCTTGATTGGTTTCCTTCCAATGATTGTATTCATATATTGTGACTGGAAGAAATTCATAGTGAATGGGATTTTTACCAAATTTGTAAAGAGCATTGAAATGAGGTAAAACTTCCATGGAGGAAGAAGAAGCTTTGGCAGCTTTTGCTTTTGTTTGTTTTGTATCATCGGTTGTGGGAAGTGGAGGAATTTGAGATGGATCTTTCATAAAATCTTGAAACCAATAAAACAATTGATTCAAAGCTTCCTTCACCTTTTCGGCATCATTTCCTTTGAGCTCCAAGTGTTTTTTCTCATGAGAATACTGGATAGAGACTGGATGGAAATGCTGTTGAAGAGATTTCAAGAGCTTGTCATTCATGACAAATAACACTTGAACTTGAGGTGTTGGAATGTTGATCGTGTAGCTGGTTCCTTTCATGACTTCTTTGACTGCCTTTTCGACCTCTTGGCGATTTTCCTTTCGGCAAACGATCTTACAAGTGGCTTTGATTTTTGTCATGATCTCATTTGAAGGTGAGGATAACGGATGAGAGAAAACAACAAGATGATGAGGAGGTAATTTCTTCTTGAATTCTTCATCTTTTAACGCTTTCTTGCAAGTCTTTAGATTCGATGCTTGTATGTTAGACGAAATGGAAAATTCAACAAGCTTGTCTTGCTCTTTCCGAATCTGTCCTGAATTCAATAAATTACTACGGAGTGTAATGATCACAATGTCTCCTGTAGTGGTGTAAGTATAATGAGTGGTGTCTTGCAACAAGGAGAATTTCTTCAAATATTCGAACATTGTACGTGGCAATGTAACATTAGGTGTATCTTGATAATTCATTGGATTTTCCTTCTTTGAAGAACTAGAGGAGAAACAATCCTTGTCAACAATAATGATTTTTCTGTCTCCCACGGGCATTTGATGACACTTGGTAATGACTTCCTGAGCCACCTTCTCTGCCTTAATTTTTAAATCTACCTTAACCGTACCGTCGATACTCTGCTGGATCGTATTGTGTTGTTCGTTATGAATCGAATAGTTCAAGGAAGGAACTTTTTCTTTCAAAAGGTTCACTAACTGGGTGACTGAGATCTCCTCAGGAATGTTGGAAATTTCCAAAACAACATACTTGGGAATGTTGTTTTTGTTTTTTGGAGAATTGAACTTGTTGGATTCTTGTGGAGTGGAAGGATTGCCCTCTTTCAAAGTCACAATCAACAATTGATTGTCAACGATAAAGTTCTTGCTGCATTGTTGGGCCACTCGTTGAGCAATCCATCGATCATTCACATTGATGTAAAAGTAGTAGACTTGTTCAGTAGAGTTCTCAGTTCCCAATTTCTTAATCTTGTGCTCGTTCACAATATGTCCACTCAGAGCTGGAATCATCTGTTTCATTTGCATCAACACTTGCTCGACAGGAGTTCGAATTGCAACATTTGCAATCTTGATCGTGAACGTCTGGGGTTGAGGCTGATTGATATTCAATACAGAAGGAACATCTAACGATCCATTCAATGGTCGTTGTTGTGGAGGTCCTTGATTCAATGGATTCGAACCTAATCCTCTTCCATGACCGTTTTGTCCAACATGTTCAGCATGGAATTGTGAAACAGGTTGCAACAACAGTGGTTGTTGTTGTTGTTGTGATGGTTGTGGAGGTTGAGAAGGTTGAGGTCTCATCATTCCATAACCATTGTTTGGAACCGTTGGAGGAGGGCCTTGATTTACAGAAGGATCAACCAACATTTGATTACCAACATGATTGGTATTTGGCATTGGATGACCAACAACACTAGCAAAGGTTGGATGCTGTGGTAGTGTTGGAGGAGGTCGTTGCAACGATGGTTGAGAGAGACCCAAAGGTGGTTGTTGTTGCTGTTGTTGTTGTTGCTGAGAATTTGTTCGAAGATACGCAAAGGAACCGTTGGGTGGTCTCTGTGGATGAACCATGTGGTTCGCCATAGAGGGATCCTGTTTCTGTTGTGGTGGTAGTTGTTGTTGTTGCGGAGAGTTGTTGTAGTGCGGTGGAATCATGATGACGACTGGCAAGTGGTTTTTTTTTGGCGTGATCGATGCGAGAAATGGGAAATCGAGGATGGAATTAAAATCAAGGCTTTGGGAATTCTTTTCTGGCGTAGTTTACAATGAGAGATCACGTCACAATGAAAGGAGACAGATTGGACATGTCAAAAGTCGAGTGCTTGGAAAGTAATAATGGTTTGTATGTTGTAACTACAGTTTACTCGATCATCAGAATCACATTGACACAACATCACTTACAACAAACTAATTAAGGATTATAAGTTATCAAGTATGAAGGATATGCCTTTGAGTTCTGGTACACAATAAATACATCTGAATTGCCAGTGAATCCTTTAACGCTATCATATCGAACAGATGCAAAGGCGGATGTTGATTGACCAGGTTTCTCAGGAGGCAAACGTAATGAGTTATTGGAAGGAGTTTCAACGTAGTCTCCAAGCAACACGTCAGCGAAGAACATCTTTTTGGTGTTGTTTTCACTTGTAAATCCATAACTATTGGAATAGCTTGCATTCTTGGCAAAATAAATTCCTTGTCCCCACATTCCTGAAGCTGAAAAACGCATATCAAAACCATCTTGCCCATTGTAAATGAGAATTGGATTGGTGCCTCTGGTCCCATGGAATAATTGCGCAGGTTTGCATGACCAAGAGCCGTTCAGTTCTTTTTTGATGCTTTCCAAACGATCCATTTCATTTTTGAACGCTTGGTAGAGGAATTTGTTTTGAATTCTCTCAATGCTGACGATTGTAGAGTTTGGCATGGTCTCCTTAAACCTATTTAAAATTTGTAGGTATTCGTTTGAATTGTTAGCAACTTGAACAATTTCAAGATTGTTCAGTTGAGGTGTCCAAGAAGAAGGATAAATCACACCCTGAGTCAACGAAGGAGAGTTTGCAATCTCGAATACAATTTTGTTGCAGAATTTGTCCACCGAATATTTGAATCCTTTGACCACAATTGGCATTTTGCTAGTGTCCACTTCAATTAAATAAGGTGGAAGAGTTTTGAATGCTTTGTGGTTTTCCATAAAAGTGTCAATGATTCCTTTCGTACAACTGGTTGGAAGAGTGCAAGAACGAACTCGTGTCGGATCTTGAATCAATTGCTTATAATGCATTTTGAACATGTCCTTGTCTTGCTTGAGTGAAATCACTTTGAACATGTAAATCTTTTGCTTTGCCACAACTTTTTTCTTTTCCATTTTAGTGACGCCAAATGGTTTCACATTACTCTCTTGAATGATAAAATGTTTGGCCTCATAGGCACAGTATAAGGTTCCATCATTCTTCTCCTCATAAACATATAGCAAATCTCCTTGCTTACAGCAATCCATGTCAATTTTACACTCTACAATACGAATGACAGGAATTCTTTCAACCTTTCTTTCATACTTCGTCTGTGAGTTCACTTGTGTGAATGTACCATTGTTAAATTTCACAATATACACTATATCTTGATTGGTGTACTTTGTGTTGGTCATTGGAATTTCTACCTGGGCTAGGCCCTCTGTGTAAGCTGCTTCAATTGCTCTACATTGATTTTCTCGGTATAGGCAAAACTTATTGTTGTCATCTTGGTAGAACCAAAGAGCCTTAAGGAAGTGATTGTTGCCATGAGGTACAAAAATAATCTTTCGTTGGAAATTAGTGTCTTGATTTGTCTGTATCATTTTTCCAAAGTCAACCAAATACTTTTTCTTTTGCTCAGCTTCAAAAACAAAACTTCCTTTTGGATTTTCCAAAAACTTTTCACACAACAATCTGTTTTCATTTGGAGAATAATCCAAGTATGCCTTTTTGATATCATCAAAATATCTAAATACTCCAGAGTATTCATAATCAATGCTCTCTTCCAATTCATAATCGTCTTGAGAAAAGTTTTGATAAACAGTTGTAGAATGGAAATTCAATTGAGAGAAAGCATATGAATACGCTTCAGAAATTTCAGATTTGTCTTCCTTATTGGCAAGATGTATCTCTCTAATGCAGCTGTTGAGGGTACTGGAAAGGTGCTTACAAATGGTTTCGGCAATAATTGTGGTTGCTTTTTGTATGGGGTACCCAAAAATGCCCATAGCAAGCGGAGGTATGGCAATAGATGCAACGTGATTGCTTTCAGCTTTCTTCAGAATATTGACGACAGTTGCTTGCAAATCAGCCGCGTCTTGTGACGTTCCTGAATATCTAGGAGGCATGGCGTTATAAATTCCAGCAACATGCGAAATGTTGTGAGCACGAGTTTCGATCACGTCTCCAGTTTTGAAAGCTCCTCCATTTTGTTGTACTTTTCTTTGACACTCGTCATCAAAGCCTTTTCCAGCTGCATCTTTAATCGCTTTCGCTACTCCAGAGTCATGTTGCATCTGAACGTTTGCACTATTCACCAAAATGTCAGCGTTGAGTCTCTTATCTAAAATGTCAACATTTGAAATGTAAACAAGACAATTATTGATCTTTTCAATTTGGAAGGTGAAACTTTTCACATAATCAATTTCTGTTCCATATTTCTGTGCTTCAGATTCGAGCTCTTTAAATGACTTTGTCCAATATTTGTATTCATGATGAGAAACTGGAAGGAAGTCATAGATAATTTGCGACCGAGCATCCTTGAGAATGGTGTTGACATGTATATTGAAAAACTTGTCAAGGTCTTGATATTTTCCACTCAATTTCATAATGAGACCTTGAGATTTCATAATCTTCAATCCGTGTTGCTTGGCTTCTCTTTCAAGAGCAGGTTCTGCAACTTTCTTTTCAATCACATTATCAAAATAGATTTGTCTTGAGCGTGTTTGAGAATTTGAGAGGGTAGCAGTAATATTTTCGTAAACCAAATCTACATCGTCTTGATTGATACCTTTAATCCAGACAGTATCTTGCTTCCTGAACGCCACAACTCCTTTGACATCTTTTGTAAATTCTTTCAAAGCCAATTGTTTTGTCGACTGAAGAGTTATGGACTTTTGATATCCTGTCATAATCTCTGTAATGGCTTGTTGAACGGTGTTCTCGTTATCTGGATTTTTCAACAAGGCAACACGACAAGTAGCGAAAGGGGTTTGTAACTCTTTCCAGAACACAAAAGCAGTTTGAATGGAGTCAAGAGATTTCAAATATTTTGAAATTTCGCTCTTTGTATCATCAACTAACTCTTTGTCGACTTCTTGACGAATTTCAATGTCTGTTAATTGGCCAATCAAGTTCTGAATCTCTACCTTTTTCTTCAACATGTTCCCTTCCAATACAATGGATAAGTTGTTCTGATTTATCTTTTTGCATTTGGATTTCAGAGCAAAGTGTTGTTGCAACAACTTGAGTTTGGCATTAGAAATAGCTGGTAGTGTCACTTGCTTTGATTCAGGCTTATGGTTTTTCTGTTGGTTGGCCTTTTTTGATGAGACTTGTTTTACAGAGCTGTTGGAATTTTTGTCTTGGACTAGCTTTGATAATTTAAGAAACTCCTCTTTGTTGGAACAACATGCTTTTACCTCAATACCCTCCGATTTTGCCTTGAACTGTAACTTATCATTGCTTGTCAGCTGAGTTAACTTATCACTTCCATGAGGAAGAATTCCAATCGTTGAGAAGAATAAGTCTTTGAGCGAATCGAGGATGATCTTCTTTGAGAGATTACCTCCAACAGTTAGTATTTTCTTGTCAGTGTCATAACAATATTGGAGCTTGTGGGTTATGAGTGAGGTCAGAATAATAGAATCACAACGTTCCATGTAATAGGTTTCACGGAAAGTATGAATATTGAGAAGGCTTTTCAATCGGTTTTCAACATCTTGTTTGCTCCACATGGTGTTGAACACAGTAAATGTGTTGTCGCTCACATCAAGGAATGACGAGTTAGATCCAAATACATTATCTCTTACATTAGTAGGGACTTCCTGTAAAAGAGCACATGAAATAGGATCTAATTGGATTGTTAAAGTCTGTTGTTGGTCACAAATGACTTGACTACGAGAAGGTTGTACATTCTGTTGAGTATGATTACTGGCACTAGCGGAAGCACCAGTGTCAATGTCTATGCGCAAAGTAACGTTACCAATTTGGATCTTTTGTCTGCTCAATGCATTTGCAACTGCTTCATCCTTGACCAACAGTATAATAAAGTAAGTATTAGGATATTTGGTATTTGTTTTCGGCTGAATTTTGTCCTCTTTGTCGATATTGTCACACAAAGCAGGAACTTTTTCTTTCAACAGTACCAAGAGAGCGCCAACAGGCAGATTGTTAGGAATATTGATAATTCTGACTTTAACTATACGAACATTGCCATTTGTAGGTGTAGCCTTGAAAATAGGAGGTTGTTTGGATACATTTGGCATGATAGGTTGTGGATAGTTCATGTATTGATTCCCAACCACGCTGTCGCTCTTTACAACAGGTTGGCCATTGTATTGAGGATACAGGTTGTTGGTGGTCAAATTGAGTGTTTCTTGTTGGTAATAGGGTTGTTGACCCATCATTCCTTGAGTGTTAACCTGGTTGAATGACTGACCATATCCTTGCTGAATGTTGGAGGGTACATTGGGTACTTGGTAATTTAGAAAGCGTTGTTGATGTTGCTGCACGTACTCAATAGGCTGTTCTTCTCTTGGTTGCAAGTAACCAACACTGCTGTTCGAATGAACAACAGCATTTGCGAGAGAGCCTTGTGGATTAAGTTGTGGATCGGTGGTATGCTGGTAATAAGCACCTCCTTGTGATGGTATCAAACCCATTTGTTTGTGTTATGTACAGAAATTTTTTTGCTTGTAAGAATTGTGCAATGTGCCTTTGTGCGATTAAGTACTTTTGACAGTGGGAATTCTCAAGTCATCAACGCCTGTTGAAGTGGGTCTATTAGTGGAAATCGCTTACAAAGACACCAACTGAATTCCCGCTTCAAAACCTTTCTATTGAGGTATTGATGGCGTCGTTGTAGTTTGATTGATAGCGCTATCAAACTACAACGACCAAGGCGATACACTCATTCACTATCTCTACAAGGTTCATGATTCAAATAACAGCCTAAACCATCAATAGTAACAGGTAAATCTCTCATTTTCTTTGTGACTGGAGAAATGTCGAGTGAATAGGAATTCTAATTCTGTTTCAGGAGAGCGGCATATATTTAAGGTGTAACGGAATACAAGTCAATCTGATGTTGTCCTTTTCTTAATACATGTGGGCCAAGTGAAACACTCAATGATGAGATGCTTGTCCATATAAAAAAATTGATGTGATGACTGGGAATAACATCGGGAAGCTGGTAGTATACCTGCTTGAAAACAAAATAGGTTTCATCAAAACTCTTGCTGTGCTGTGTGCAATGAATTTGTTTTCTCATCAGAACATGGCAAGAACAATTTCCAATCAAAAAATCATCCAACAACCGAGCTATCATCCTCATGTTGAAACGAAGAGCCTTCCGAGCCCCCAAAGATTTCTCTTCTACTGAGTGTGCTCTCAACTTGATGAAGAGCCTTCATCGGGATAAATTCATGATGATTCCCAATAGCAAGTTGAGCGGGTCGTTTTTTTCTTTACAACAATTCTCTCAACAACGACGAAACAAAACCATTGGAATTGATCTCGGATCCACCTATACACGTGCCATGTATTGGCAAGGTAATGATGAACCACCTCTGGTCATTCCGAATATTCTCGGTCATGAAAAGATGAGGATTGATGGTATTCCTTCCATGATAGTATTTCATGATGGAAAAGTATTGAGTGTTGGAGGTGATCAAATTTGTCAACAACCAACACGATTACCGAAAATTACTGTGTTTGAATTGAAACGATTGTTGGGTCATACCTATCGTGATCTTCTTATTCAAGCTCCACATGTTCTTCTTTCCAACCAAAATCAAATATTATTCATACAAGGTCAGAATGGAGAACCTTTGATTCAAATAGGAACTTGTAAATATTCTCCCGTCGAATTGTTATCGTTGATATTTGAAAAAGTGAAACACAATGCAAGTACGTTTTTTGGAGAAGAAATTTCTCAAGCAGTTGTTGCCATTTCACCGTACATGAACGACGAGTCGAGAGCATTCATTTCTCAAGCTGGTCGTATGTGTGGTCTGAACATTTCTCGTTGCATTTATGAACCACATGCAACAGCGTTGGCGTTTGGTTTGCATGAGCAGCTGAAACCCATTCAAACTGTGATGGTTTGTGACTTTGGAGCTCGATCATGTAATATATCAATTTTGGAAATGGATGAATTTGGATTGTTTGAATTGAAATCAACTAAATGCAACTTTTTATGTAGTGGACTGGAAGTGGATTTGAAAATAGGGGAATGGATTTCAAACGAGATGAAAAAAATTGGAAAATGCACAGCAATACCAAAAGATAGATTTTTGATGCATGCTGAACAAGCAAAAAAGGAATTATCAGTCAAGAGCTCCACTGATATTAAAGTGCCAATCTTGTTGGACGATGTTTCACAACATGATGCTTCCACGGAGAAGTTCACATTATCGCTTACTGAGATGGAGAGAGTCATTCCAGACTTTGCAGAAAGGGCAGAAGAAACCATTCAACAATGTCTGACAGATGCCAATTTGCACAAACAATCTATTAATCATGTATTATTAGTGGGAGGCATGTCTAAAATGCCACTTGTCAAACGAGTGGTATCAGAAAATTTTGGGTTTTTTACTACCCCACCTAACCCACAAGAATCTGTGGTATTAGGTTGTGCAATTCAGGCAGGAAGGATATTAGCATAATTCAAACCTCAATTTAAAAGGTCCCTTGTTGTACAATTATGAAACCTGTTTGTGTTTTCCCTCATTTGCTTGAACACTTGTTATACTGTTGTTTGATAGAGTCAGCGATGATGTGTTTGTCCTGAACTTTAGCTGTTCCAAGAACTTTTTTGTATTGTTGTTGTCCAATTCAATGAGACGAGATTGTGTCAGTCTCAAAAGGATTGTGTTCGAGACAACCTGCATCTGAAGTGTTCTTATCATCAGAATTTTCTTGTTTCTCATCATGATTGACTCAATGACAACATCAACAACGAATTTAAATACTATTCTTTATTGAGAGAGATTCTCTGAAAATTCTGAAAATCCCATTTCTTTATACAATTCAATCAAATCAGCGTACACATAATTTGTACAAAACTGTTCATACGCTCGCATATATTCTCGTAATTGTTCTTCTTCTGATAAATGATGAACCGGAAGAGGATCTTGTTCTGCTGTATGACACCACATGTATTTATAATTTTCGAGTTGTTTATGAATGAAAGAAGATGAAGAAGAGGAAGAGGAAGAAGAATTTGATGAGGAAATGCTCGAGTCGGAAGGGGACAGTGATGATGATGGGTTCATTTGAACAGATGTGTATTGGAATTATTGTTGTGTGGATGGTTTTTTTTTTGAACGTGATGATGGACTATACCGAAAGCATTTAAAGAATTTTTTTGAACGATTTACTAAAAAAGGCTATCACGTTGAAAGGAAGATTTTTTGAACCAAAAAAGAAGGAACATGCAAGACAAGGCAAGCAAAACGAATAACTTTGAGTTGTTATATTTTGGCACCTTACACCTTACACTTAGTGTCAGTGCTGTTTGCATTTGACACTTGAGTGCCAAATGAATGAAGTGTGATTTGTATTTGACACTTGAGTGTAAGGTGCTATTTGTATTTGACACTTGAGTGTAAGGTGCGAAATGGATGTTGATTGAAATGGAGGTACTAGTTTGTGAACCTAACCATTCTACTTCGTGTTCAAACGAATCTATCAAACAAAAAAAAGGCATGATTTAATCTCATGCATCTACTTTCCTTTCGTATGTTAGCTTGGACCTTCGTATGAAAGGAGTTGGGAGGCACAAAAGATGATATGTTAACCTTTCATTCATGATGATAGACTCAGCCGTTAAGAAGTATGACTACGAAACAAAAACTGATTCCAGTTCCCTTAATTGTACCCTTCTGATTGCTTCAGCTTGACTTTTGCTGTTACCGTCATTCCCAAATCACTCAAATTCGATTACATCAGCCAACAACAGTGTTGAGCACCATTCTCTTGTTCTTCTCACCGTTTTTGTAACAATTGAACAAAAGTACATGTCACTATGAAGAAAAGCTGGCAAGTTTCACTCCCCTGTTGAACCAAATGAAAATGTTTTCCTACATGTACTGCAAGTGTTTTTCCTCAACATAAATCGTCTCTCAAGTTCATTCAGCAAGCTCTGACATCCTGTTCGACAACTTCATCTCAATCTCTTTCAACGCCGTGTTGTATGGCGCAACATCAACTCAGAAAACAGGTGCTGAACGGTGGAACATTATTTGAACCACTTGCCTCACAACGCTTCACCTTAGAAAATGAGCGTGAGTCTATTCTTCCCTCCATAAACTAAATTTCGTAGATGATCATTTGGTATTGTCGTTGTCAGACGAATTGTCCAAAAATTGCGTTCGTGATGCTGTTTCCTATACTCGATGATGATTGTGTAGTGAAGAGAATTTTGAGGCCCGTTGCTCACAACCGTGAAGACGGAGGTTTGTAATTTCAAAATAATATTTAAATAAATTAAAAAATATACAGGTGCTGATGACACTCGGCACTCAAGTGTCAGGTGCTGTTTGCATTTGGCACTCCAGTGTTAAGTGCTATTTGTATCTCCTTTTTGGGACTACGTGCCATTGCAAACGGCACTAAAGTGTAAGGTGTAAGGTGCTAAAAGGTATGTCCTCAATAACTTTACACGGCAAGTATTGCATGAATTATGTACGCGAACTACTTTTTATGTCTCAATGAAATGGCAGTTACCGTTTCTCACATTCAATTTTTCACACTTCACTGTGATAAATAGAAACCAGTGCGTCGAAGAAACCTTCAAAACCATAAAAGCACAAGTACACGAATCTATTCATCGTGGCTCCATTCTCTTGCATTCAATTGTCTTCAAGAATTTAAGAAACCTTTTACCTGGCAAAGCAACCTCTCACTGTAATTATAGACATTCATTCGTGACTTGTGAAGGTTCTTGTCAGCCATGTGCACGTGATAGGAATTCCTTATTATCTAATGTTCGACCAGTAATAATTGTTGAAGACAAACCAACTGTTTGCAATTTCATTCAAAAAAAAACAAACTCAAACTGTTTGAAACAACGAAATGATTGCCTCATTGCATCATCAACACACGGAAGTGAGCATTCTTAATGGTGCTTCCACCGTTACGTCCTTCGAAAACTATTCATTAGAAGAAGGCAACAAACAAACAATTCCCATCTCTAATTGGTTTCATGCGTTGTGGTTGTTGTTGAGAAGAGAAGTGCGAATGTTTCATTTACATTGCAAGAATGACTATAATATAACGATCATTCCTTCGGTTGCATTTGCATTGTCGTGTGGAGTGAGCCATTTGATTTCAATGTGTTTAATGAATCCTGGCGTTGGCTCCTTGTCAGACCCCTTACCAAATATAGCAATGAGCTTTTTCTCTCTGATTGGGTTTCTTATTTTTGCCGTGTTCTTTGTTTATCCATTTACCATGTCCAACCAAATCGATGGAATAGAAGAAGACCGCCTCAATGGTAAAACGTACCGACCTCTCGTCTCTGGAGAAACCACTTTGGAAGAAACCAAACTCCGATGGGTCATTTCTTGTGGCATTTACTTGACCATGAGCATGTATTACCAAATATTCTGGTACGGTGTGGTATGGACGCTGGCTTATTTCCTTCACAATAATTGTGGATTTGCCAAGAATTGGTTTTTCAAGAATTTGTCCAATACCATTGGAGTGGTTTGTATGATCATTCCGTATTGGCATATTTTGAATGGATTTCATGAACAGGATCGTACTGTGAAGGGGATGGTCATGATCGTTGCAGTGACATTTTTAATGACCATTGATGCTCAGGACTTTCGAGATGTTGAAGGTGACACCATGGCAGGTCGAGTGACAGTTCCAATTTTGTTTGGTTCCTACTCGAGAGTTTTCTTTTTAGTGAAAAGTATCGTTGCTGGACTGTTTTATTATGTGGCCATGATGAAAATGTGTCAATGGTATTCGGTGAGAATGGAGAATGAATGGATTTTTCGAATGTTTTGCTTGTGGACTCCCATTCAATTTTTGGGAATGTCGATTGGTTTTATGATGAATGGAAATTTGACAGGTGACTGCGAGAAGAAGAGATATTACGATGATCGTATTTACAAAGTCTTGTTTACCACCTGGTATGGAATTCAATTGTTAGGTCTTCCTATCATGCAAGCGTTAGTATTTAAATAAACTGATTTATTCAGTTCAAGCTCCTGGTAGAAATCGCAATTAGCTCGAAACGTGGTTATTTCTTGGAAAACAGTTCATCAATTTCCTGTCCACGATCAACAATGTGTGTTTCTTTTTCAATCATCCTTTTCTGTTGTTCTTTCGGTTCTATGATTGGTGGATCTATTTTAATTGGCATAGCATGTTCCAAGTGGATGTTTGGTTGAGTGGTGTTGAATTTGAGATCTTTGGGAATTGAAATCGAAATAGTCATGGATTCAGATTTTACATGAATAGGAGTTGTTGCTTTTGGATTGAATTTTTGTTGGGACGGAGCCTGAGAGGTACGGTATGTTTGGTCCTTTCTCTCGTTAAACGAAGATCCTTTTTGAATTACTTGTTGCATTATTCGTTTGTCAATTGTTTTCATGCGTTGTCTGATTTCTGCTTTTCTGTGTCTGCTTCCTATTCTTCGTTTGCCTTGTGTCACTGGCTTGAGTTTGTAAGATTTCATTCGATTGGCATTCTTGTTTTTAGAAACAAGTTTCTTCTTTTTGATGGTTGAATTACTATGATTGGTAATCTTGACATGACGCTTGATCTTTTTGAATTTTTGAATCATGAATGTGAAATCCAAATTATCAGTGTCCAAAAGATCATCGACCAATTTTTTACACAAGCGATAATAATGTTCACAGACCCAAGAAACAATTTCTCTGGTTCCCTTTTTGAATACATAGTAAGGAATTTTGGAAATGATTGGTTTTCTAATTCTCAAAATTGGCTCGGGAAGATGTCTCAAGTATTTCAATTCCACGTTTTTCACGACATCACTCGTCAATCGTTTGTTCAATTCTTCCTTGGACCAAATTTTCGTTTGGTCTCTTCTTGAAATCACCAACGGTTTCTTTTTCATGAATGTCTTTGGTAAATCCGCAATAAATGCTTTCAATTCATGTGAAGGCATTTGTAAAAATTGATAAGGAATTTTTCTTCGATCTTGTTTCTTAATAGCGAAATAATCTTTTGGAACGTGTCTCAATTTTTCAAATCCTAATTTTTGGATCACCGTTCGAGGAACATGTTTCTTTAAAAATTGAGTGGACCAAGCTTGTTGTTGTGGAGTCAACACTGGAGGAGCCAACGATTGCTTACTTGGTTTTTTAAACGAGGGAGCTTTGATTTTTTGAGCTCCAGGACCAAATTGATTTCGGTACTTGGTAATAGTCTTTGCCCACATTTTGTGACCATCTTTTCTTGCGAATTTCTGAAGCTTACGTGCAGACATGACTGGGAGGTGTTTCCATATTTGAGCAAGTTTGGAGGACGGAAGTCTGAATCCTTTTGGAGCGGATGGCCTCTTGAAATATTGTGTCTTTCTTCTTCCTCTTTTCTTGTTGTTTTGATCATGTTGATATGATCCACCTTCATGAGGATGGAATGCAATTTGTCGATTTCTTGGAAGAGAAATATTCTTTCTACTTTCTGATCTCGATGACGGTAACAGCTTGAAAATTGGTTTTCCACGAGCATTTCCTTCAATGGGAATACATATTTGAGCTAACTTTTTACGGAACTTGGTGGCATTGATCTTAATACTTGGTAATGGTAATTTCACAGTTTGTTGTGGTAACGCCACGAACAGTCCACCCTTAAATTCTAACGGTTCCAATCCATGTAATAACATGATACAAACATTACAATTTTCAATAGCAATTCTTGGAATAAATTTGTAAGTAATGGTTGCTTCAACAAAAACTCCAGCGCTTAAAGCAGCAACTCCTATACCTGCTCTTCCTCCCAAACTGATGGCTACAAAAGGTTCTAGAGAGACTGATGCTGAAATTCGATTTGGACATAGACCATAACTTAGATCAACACCAACTGTAATGGTGGCATAAAAAGCAAAACTCAATGGAACAGGTCCAGCAAAGACTTGAATTGGAATTTTTGGTTCTGCCGCTTGTTTTTGGAAGAGATTATGAGAAGGGGAAGTGAAACAGGCGTCTTCCTTGTCCTTAATGTCATTGGGCACTAATCCTTCGTTGTAAATGGTGACAAAGAACATTTTGAAAAATAGATTATCATGCACAGGTTGATTGGGTCTCTTTGTGAATTCTCCTCTTCCTTCGAATACTGAAAATTCTTGACCTCCAAAGACTGCATTGATACTAACTCGGGCAAGTAAAACAAAATCGAATTTGGAAACGTCACCACATTCAAAGGTAGCACCAGAATAAATCATTAAGCCAGCATAGACATGAGAAGGAGAATATCCTTGAACAGTTTCATACAGAAATCCCTTGCTCTTTCTAATCTTGTTAAGAGCTCCTTGTTTTCGAATAAAATTTAACATGGAAGGATCTGCGGTACAAATCTTTTCATGTTTCACATTCACATCGACACATACGCGTTCTCTTTTGAAATTTGTTGGCTTGGAAAATGCAAGTTTGATCTTTTTGGCAGTTTCGACCATTTCTTTGGCACTGTGGACAATTTGTTTTGCAAATTTTACAAAGACCTTAACCACTCGCCCTACTTTCTTGGCAGCTTTTTGTAAGGATCTACCTAACTTGACAATTCCACGTTTGATTCCTTTTCCTAGCTTGATTAAAAAGCATTTCAAGTCACACTTTTTCCGTTGTCTTTGTGAGGGCTTGTGACGCGATCTCAAACGTTTCACTCGTCTAATAAATCTTCCAATCGATTTAAATAATTTTCTTCCAATCATTCGGATCACTCGTTTACCAACTCTCACAAAATGTTTTCGAATTGAGTGATGGAAATGTTTGTGAATGTGTCGTCGAATGGAACGAAGCTTGGCAACAGCTGATCTCACTCGATGAAAGATATTTCTAAAGAATCTGGAACGGAATCTTCCCAATGTTTGTGCATGTTCTTCTTCGTTTAACAAGTCCAAAATTTCGCCATCCATATGAATGTCTTCGTCTTCCGAGTTGTTGGAATGTTCATTCTTCTTTCTGGAAGAAGAGTTTTGTTTTGTGCTTAATTTCAAAGCTTTTGAAAGCGCATCTCCTGACTCCTCTGTGCCAACCGTATATAAATATCTTCGAATCGCATTCTTGGTTTCTTCACACGATGTTCTTTCATGAATTTTTGAAAAATACTTGACATGAGAGGCAGTTCTTAATGTTTTTTCTCTCTCTGTTTGAGCGTGAATGTAAGTGGCTTTCACAAGAGATGAAGTGTCAGGGCTAGATACAATGTCTCTTACAAGTTGATCAATGAATGGATCGTCGTGTAGTCGTTTCTTTAAATTGTCTGCGAGCATGACCTTAATTGAATCTGGAATTTTATCATTGGCCAAATAGGTGTAAAGAACTCCCATAGGCACTGCTTTTCCTGCATTGTTCAAAGCATGGATACAAGTGGTCAATTCTTCAACATCTCTTTTCGTGTTGGAAGTAATTCTCTGAATAATGTCTTTCACAATTTTCTCAGATAAACGGACATCTCTGAGACGAGACGCCAGATCTGAATAGGTTAGAAACGCTGCTCGCTTCACTTTTTCGTTCTCTTCCTTGGAGATGTTCTTGCCAATTCTTTTGAAGAACGGAACGAGTCCTTTTGATTGAAGGGTGTGCAATAATTTAAAGGAATATTCTGTTGGGAATGCAATTACAATAGAGGCATAAATGTAATTTTGAGCTAAATAGGGATGCATGGTTGAGTACTTAACGAGCTTGTTTTGAACTTTGGCACTTCTTACGGTTGCCAATACATTCTGTAACAACTCACAATATTTCTTGGAAATGAATTTGTCCTTTTTGCTGAGCTGGTATTTTACAAGTTTGTGAATTTCATTCTTGAGTTCTCTAAACAGAATTCTCGATGCTTGGATGGGATGGAGACGACTATGTTTCACAATAGCTGCCAAAACCATGTTAGACTCTTTTGAAATGTTTGGATTTTCTTTAAATGCATGTAATAATCTCATGAACAATTTGTATGAAAAATGTTTCTTCTGAGAGTTTAACAAGTGACGTAAATCATCTTTGTGCAATCCAAATGTATTCTCAAAAGTAAATTCTGATCCCAAATTTGCACCTCTTCCATTCTTTTCCAATTCAAGCACAATTGCAGATACTTGTTGATCTACCTTTGTAGAATCTACAATTTTTTGAAGTGAAAGGTGACCCACTGATAAACTTTCAATATCTTTAGTCGGAACAGCCATTTGACCACTTTCAGAGGACATGTGATTGGAATCGTTTGGAATTTTCGAAATCTTTTCGTAATGTCTGAATGCTGGATGATTTTTTCTGTGGTTGAAATGAATCTTGATGATCAGTTGTGCAGATTGAACCAAATGCTTTTCTTTAGACACGTTCACTACGTGCATGCCTTCATATTGCATTCTTCTTTTCGTCAATGGAATTCGCATAAAATCCTTCTTGGAGTATTTTTGAAGAATGGTCAAGTGTTTAGAAGAATGAGATTTTTCATATCGTTGAAAGTATTTTCCTCCAAAACCATCGGTTTGACCTCTCGACATTTTGACAGTCTCTGTAGTGAGCATTCTCAATAGACCTTTCTTGACAGATCTCATTTCACGAAGTTCAGATTGTTTAAAAACCAAACTGTGAATATGTCCGCTTGGCGACATGACAAACAACATGGGATGAGCATTCATCTTACTTGTAAAATCATGTCTTGATATCAAATGACGATATTTCTTCAAACCCTTTCCTCCTTGGTATTGAAGAAATTGAGCTCTTTCAAATGTCATCATGACCACAGAAAGTGGGCCACGACTCGTGCTTTCATGAATTCCAGAAATCTCCAAACTCTTTTGTGTCGTCTCACGAGAAGCACATGTCAAAATCATGATACCCTCGAATAGAGTTTCCACATTGTCCATTCTACCGCGTTTTGATTGAATCAATCCTTGATGACCCATCACGAGTGTGTTTTTAAATTTGTAATAGATGGATTTCCCAGGTGGACATTGTATCAATAATGGATCAGATGCTGTTGATGATGAACTGTTCGAAGATGAAGAGGACATGGGAGTGGAAATTGAGCTGGTAGCGGCCACATGATAATGAACGAGGTGGTGGACAACGATGATCGCCAGTACCGCCACGAAAACCATGTGATGGAAATCGAGGCGGCTCTTGTTCTTCATCTTGGGTGAAAGGCTTTTGTTTTTTTGATGATTATTTTGATGTTGCTCGCCGAGTTTAGTATGCCTTTCGCGGTGGAGTAGTAGTAGGGTTGGTATTATTGTTTTGGAATGGGAAAGCAGACGTTTTAAAACTCGTCATTGATTTAATGACATTCACTGACCGAGAAATAATGGGATAATTCCCGTCCTCATCCTGCTGATCATAACCTTCAAGATGTTTTTTTGTTTTGTTCTATGACCGATACCAAAAATATTCAACATGATTTCCACGTTCTTCGGGTCGGCCACTTTTACATCAATATAGCTGAAGCTGATAGCACACGAGTTGTAGAATATTTTACAAATCAAATCTTTGATTAGACAAAGCATCATGTTATTGTTTCAGCGAGCCTCCCATCTCCTGAAAAAGTGTTATGCTTCATCCTCTCCTGAATGGAGCCACCATAGCGGTCCCAGAACAAATCATCGATGGCCTTTGCTGATTCTGTTGTTGTTCATCAATATTGCAGCAATTATGGTGTTTACCTTCTATTGGCGATTCAGTTTAAAACATCTCGACATGATCCGAAAAGCCTCATCATCAAGAAATAATAATTATTTTCATCTGTCCAAAGATAACACATCATTAAAATCTGCTCAGGGTGATGATGAATGTATCACTGAAAACAATTCATTACAACAAGAGATTCAATCACTCACAAGAGTATTGAATGCGTGGAAGTTCCCAAACGGTCCTCTTTATCAAAAAACTGAGTCCACTATAGTGTTCGGAACACAACCATCAAATCCTTCATCACTTATCTCAAACCATTACAAGGCCAAACTCCAGACAAATCCACAAAATGGACCTTTGCCGATCAATATGTATGAAGATTTCCGCCTTCAATTAGAAAAAAAGAATAGTTGGAATAGCATGACATCTGGCAGATGGAAGCTGACATCCAAACAGTACGAAGAAAACAAAAAGTGGAGTCCTCGTATTCGAGAATTCGTTGCAGACTACAGATCTCATTGGGGACTGAATTCTTTGACTAATGAGTTCACAGATCATGTCTATTATGAACCTAATTGGAACGTTCTTGCCAAATGCCCAAGCAATGAAAAAGATTATGAAACATCGTTGACCATCAATCCATTGACTGGAAAACGAAAACAATTAGGAGTATATGTTGTCATGACAGATTTTTCAAAAAACAAAGTTCACAGGGAAGGTGAATTTGATCGTGGTATACGAATTGATTTATATGGAGCTATTATTAATTGGAAAGATAATGTTTTCAAACACTTTCCACACCCTTTCATCATTTTTCATTATGGAAAATTATTGGAAGCAGTGAAACAATTTGTTGAAATGGAATTGGCACCGCTTAACATGACAGTAACATTTGTTGAAATTTCAACACAGACATTTTTGAAAAGAAACACTGACGGAAAACCATGGAGAAATGCAGATATTAACTACAAACATTTTTGGGGAATGAACAAGTTTTATACTCATGACCTCTTTGCTCATCCACTGATGAAAGGTTTCGAATATTATATGAGATTTGATGATGATTTTCGATTGATGGAACCTTTCAAATACGATATTTTCAAATTTATGGAAGAAAACAATTTACAAGTTGGTTATTCATGCTTGGGAATGCCAGATCATGCAAGTGGTTTTTGGTCCGGTCATTTACATGAAAGAATTTGGTCCTATTTTTTAAGACAAGGAGTTTTACCGTTGGAGGAAATGAAAACTGCCGGAAAATGGGGACAAGCTGACACTATTCATG